AAATTGGGATCAAAAAACTAATTTGGCATTAAAATTAGAAAGATCATATCATAGGGAACATGTGTACTAAGTTTCAAGTTGATTGGACTTCTACTTCATCAAAAACTACCTTGACCAAAAACTTGAAGCGGGACAGACTGACGAATGAACAAACGAACAAAGGAACGAACGCACAGACCGAAAAACATAATGCCCCTATACTATCGTAGGTGGGGCATAAAATCACATGTCAAAATAATAATATTTTTTTAAGCAGTCACTGAACCATGAAAGAGAGGTTAGGGACAATGGAAATATATATGCTAGATGGAAACTGAAACATAAGGGGTCTTTTATCTTCTGAAATATCGAGCTTTATTGAAAGAGCTTAAGTCCCTATATCTTGCATTCTGTGACATTTGTCATAGGCAAGACCAAAAAACTTGTAACAACAGCTTTCTCATGACCCAAATGTAAACTTTTCTGTGATTTTAGCTTTCCAAGAAAATGTAAACATGGAATATATTACATTTCTACAACTTACAATATTTCCTTAGTATTCAGCACTTCTTAATATGTTTTTTTTTGGCATGTCAAGAAAGTTTGCAGGACTTTTAGACATAGAAATTCACAGTTAATTGTTCAGACTGCTAAGAATAGATGGTAAAAACAACAAATTACTTGACTTAAAATTATTGAAAGTTATGTGATATATTCAGTAAATGGGAATTTTTGAATTGGTATTGTTTTTTTTTGTCTTTTTGTTATGGATTTTTTTGTGCTCAATGGCAATTCGATGTGTCAAGCCTTTTCCAACTGATTTTTGTCTTGCCTGAGACTTCTGCCGCAGAAAGCAAGACATAGGGATAGTGATCTGCAGGTGGCGGCGTCAACTAATTACTTAAAAGCTTAATATATCAGAAGGTAGAAGACCTGGATGCTTGATAATTTGTATATAAATGCATTATGTTATGAAGTTCCACCTGTCTTATGTCCATTGTCGTTGACCTGATTGTTATAGTTCAGTGACTACTTGAAAAAAGTGAAAAATTTTTGTAATGTTAATTTCTCTCTTAGTATGAGTAATAGGATAACTATATTTGGTATGTGCGTACCTTGTAAGGTCCTCATTCCTGTCAGACAGTTTTCACTTCACCTTGACCTCATTTCATGGAGCAGTGAACAAGGTTTAGTTTTTGTGGTAAAGTCCATATCTCACATCCTATAAACAATAGGTCTACTATATTTGGTGTTCGTAATGATTGTAAGGTGTACATATCCAGGGCTGCCAAGTCTCACGCATTTAGCGTGAGACTCACGCATTTTCATGCATATTTGGCGGCATTTTCCTTTGATCTATTGTTTTTTTCTCTTTGATCTTTACAATTTTTGCCAAATCTCACGCATTTGCTTCATGAAAACTTGGCAGTACTGCATATCAAATGGCAAGTGTCATCTGACCTTGACTTCATTATTTTGTTCATTGGTCAATCTTAAATTTTTATGTTTTTGTCTGTTTTTCAAGTACTTTAAGCTATAGGTCAACTACATTTGGTGTATGGAATGATTGTTAGGTGAACAAGTCTGTCTGACAGGTATCATCTGACCTTGACCTCATTTTCATTGTTCATTGGTCAATGTTAACTTTTTGTGTTTTGGTCTGTTTTTCAATTAAAATAAGCAATAGGTCAACTATATTTGGTGTATGGAATATGCAAGGTGTACATGTCTATCTGAAAGGATTTATCTGACATCGACGTCATTGCCATGGATCTTTAAACATGTTAAGTTTATGTGATTCTTGTAGTTGACCTTTATCTTAAAGACTTTCAACATAAAATCAATGGTCAGTAAGCAGGCGAGACATTTCAGCATGTGCACTCTTGTTGTGGTTTGGTCTATTTCTCAGATACTATAAGCAATAGGTCAACTATGTTTGGTGTATGGAATGATTGTAAGGTGTACATGTCTGTCTGGCAGGGTTCTTATGACGTTGACCTCATTTTCATGGTTCATTGGTCAATGTTAAGATTTTGTGGTTTGATATGTTTCTCTGGTACTATTGGCGATATGACCACTATATATGGTGAATGATTGTAAGGTGTACATGTCTGTCTGGCATCAGACTGTGATCTCATTTTCATAGAACATTGATAATGTCAAGTTTATGTGATACTTGTAGTAAAACCTTCATATTACAGACTTTCAACATGAAATCAATGATAAGTAAAACAGGCACAACATTTCAGCATGCACACTCTTAAGCTTGTAATAATTTGTTCTTATGTTTTGCTGTCAGGTTAGACAGACGGTTGAGCACTCTCAAATATGTTTAACCTGGTAACATTCTTTGTGTGCCTGTCCGAAGTCAGGAGCCTGTAACTCAGTGGTTGTTGTTTGTTTGCAGTCTGCCATATTTGTTTACTGTTATATAAAGCATAAATCAGGCCACTGTTTTCCTCTTTTCAATTGTTTCACATAGCTTAATACACTATGTGTTTGCTCATTGTTAAAGGCTGTACGGTGCCCTATAATTATTAACATCCTTGTCCTTTGGTGGATAGCTGTCACACGTGAGCACAGGCATCTTGTGCTTATGTAAACAACATGGTTCTGTTAATTTTTTCTTAAAAACATTATTTATACAAAGTCCTCAGAAATGGTCCTGATTATTTTTAACTGTAATTTGTTCCATATTTGACTAGAGTACCTATTTTGGATTGTAAATATACTAAAGGTCCATTCATAATTTGTTGTAATGTTGTACTTAATATTTGAGTGTGTGTTGTTTATACTGTACATATTTCTCCTTTGGTCAGTGGATGTGTGTTTTGTAGTAATAAAAAGTATATAACGCCTGAGTGAACATCCAGAAAAACAGTTACCTCCTTGCAAAAATCTTTTGACCTGACATTAAAAACCTGTCTGAGTAGGTCTCTGTCCTTAACTCCAACTTGCCGAAATATGTGCCCAATGAACAAAATCCTCAAAGTCACACATAATGAGTTCCTAGTACATTTAATCTAAGCAATATTTTAATTATCCTGATTTGATTCAGAACTCTCCATTTGAACTCATGATAGGTAAAATTAAGCATTTAGTACTCATATCAACAATATAATCAACATAGTTCAAAGTCCTACTCTATCCCATTATAAATAAACTCCTGTGTAAATACATGTATTGTGTAGCAGTGCCAGTTGTATCCAGGTTTGAATGAAACATAAATCATAAATGAACTATAACTTTTATTATTTTATATTCATCACTTAATTTGGTCCTTGGGGAATCTACTCAGCTACAATTAAAATTTTTGCTCCAAGCCTAAACCAAAAGCCTATGTGCATACTGAAAAGTACCTAAGTATAGACCCCTGGCTTGACATCACACCAATCTAAAACTATCCGTGCGAAAAACAGAAACTTTATCAAAATTTAAAAATAAATTAAAAAAGAGTTCTACAGTAGGTAATAAAACGGTGCCAAGTTACTTTGCATTTGGTCCAAGAAACCTTAATATTATTTTAACGCAATTTAGATGTTCATCTACATTCCTTAATTATGATCTCTTTCAAATAAATATTGTATCAGATCCATCTTGTCGCTGTGGAAATCCCCGCGAAGATTCTAATCATTTCTTCTTTAAATGTCCTTTATATACAGATTTACATCACATTCTTAGGAATAGTCTTAGATGGTTACCAGATGACCTCGTGTTGGATCTAGAGATTTTAACATCTGGTAGTATAAATCTGACAAATGAGCAAAATGAAGAAATATTTAGAAATGTTTTTGATTATATAAAAAAGACCAAAAGGTTCCTTGTTTAATCATGTGCATAAGCTAAATGTGATCCACACACACACACACACATGCATATATTTTGTTTTTCCTTCTTCCTATCTTTCCCCTTTTCTACACTGTTTCTTAATATGTCATTTAAATTACAGATGTTTGATTATATATTGTGTAATAATAAATTTGATATTTGCATGCTATGAAATTCTATTGTCTAATATTGTATCTTAGGAGAAGATGATCTAAGTTGGACTAACTTGTGTCTAATCCTTTTTGTGAGTTCTTTTTGCAAATAAAATATGTTTAAACTAAACATCAATCTAATTGGAACAATGGTTCCAAATAAATGCGTGAGGCTATCAGGAAGCATATGAGGCTACCAGGAAGCCTATGAGGCTATCAGAAAGCCCATGAGGCTCTGTCTGAGGAAGCCTATGAGGCTATGAGGAAGCCTATAATGATGCTATGAGGAAGCCTAGTATGTGGCTATGAAGAAGCCAAGTAGTGTTGATGTTGAATTGGTGTTGGAATGAATTTGTATGACATTTGACAGTTTATCCACAGAAATTCTTGGGGGATGAGTGAAATTTTTGAAACAACCAGTGATAAAATTTCATAAATGTCCAGACCTGATGGAATTGCTTCAGATGCTGAGGTTATTTATCTGATCCATGCCTAAACCAGCAACCTATATGTGCGTACTGAAAAGTAGCAAAGTATAGACCCCTGGCTTGACATCACACCAATCCAACATAGCTCCTAAAAGTAAATTATTGCACCACTGGTTGCTAAGATCTACTGATATGAATTGGTGTTGGAATGAATTTTTAAGCAATTTGTAACACACAAAAATTATTCTTTCAACTGCTTAATCTGCATTGAAAAAAATGGACACTAAAGGCAGCATGTTCTGGTTTTCAATATAAAACTAGTTAATGGGATATTCCTAAATAGGAGGAACTAAACTACAACCAAGTTTCTGTGCAAACAAACAAAGGACAAAGGAAAGCCAGATGCCACAAGTGGTCACTAATTAACAATTAATTGTATATTTGTAATGGAACTGATGTTATTAAACCCCCTGCTAAGAACACCTGATAACCTCACATGTAGCTGATTAAAATATGATAATAAATCTGTTTCTTCTCAATAGTAAAGAAAACAAACATCCTTGGAAAATCCTAAAATAATGACTACTGAGTGTAATGGAAATCAAACTATGTATAAACTTATATACATATTTTATTTAATTAGTTTAATATTGTTTTCAAAAGAAAATAATTCATTGTTAAAATTATTTAGTTGCAAGTGAGTTAATATCTTGTTCATTTTCTTTACTTTTTCATTAATTCTAGGCTTCCCTGATTGTTTTGTGCTGAATTTAATCTTATTTTCATATACATAATTGTACATAGGATCAACTTGGCTTAGCAAATATTGCTACATTTTCTGGCGTTAACTGTTCTTCAATATAAACTTTCATATCACAATTAAGTCCTTTCTCCTTTAAATACTCTACTCTTCCATAGTCAATAAGTCTTTTACACTTTCTCCCAATTTCTTCTCTCTGTTTGGTTGATAAATTCAATTCTGGTCTGGAAAACAAAATGTATAGACTGAGCTTTATAAATCTTTAAAATTAATTATTAATACATATATAAGAATTTTTAATTAAGTTTTTAGCTCATCAGGCTAATATGCGGCCTTGTGAGCTATTGTCATCGCTTTCTTAATTGGTACAAAAGTGTATCTGTTGTTCATCCATTGTTTAATAGATAATCTACATTTTCGTTAGCCAATTTAACTTGGTAGGAACAGTATATCGAAGATGCTTTATTTTTTACAATCAAATTCTATAATATGGAACAACAAATCTGTAAATTATCAAATAGAATGGTAGCTAGTCTTCTGTTTAGTTGATTGTTTATGTTTCACGTCACTTTCAGCACTGTTAGCTATATCGTGGCGCTGCCAGTTTTTATTGGTGGAGTAATAAGGAGTGCCATGAGAGAATCACCAACCTTATGCAGGAAAACTTGCAATTCTAGTCAATTAAGATGTGAGTCAATTTCAACTGCCAAGTGCAGGGTTCAAACTAACAACCTCAGTGTTGACAGGGTAGTGATACAGTAGATGTACTACTTAAGACTACTCTGCCACAAAGGCTACTACACAACCTCAGTGTTGACAGGCTAGTGATACAGTAGATGTACTACTTAAAGACTACTCTGCCACCAAGGCTACTACACAACCTCAGTGTTGACAGGCTAGTGATACAGTAGATGTACTACTTAAGACTACTCTGCCACAAAGGCTACTACACAACCTCAGTGTTGACAGGCTAGTGATACAGTAGATGTACTACTTAAGACTACTCTGCCACAAAGGCTACTACACAACCTCAGTGTTGACAGGCTAGTGATACAGTAGATGTACTACTTACGACTACTCTGCCACCAAGGCTCCTACACAACCTCAGTGTTGACAGGCTAGTGATACAGTAGATGTACTACTTAAGACTACTCTGCCACAAAGGCTACTACACAACCTCAGTGTTGACAGGCTAGTGATACAGTAGATGTACTACTTAAGACTACTCTGCCACCAAGGCTCCAACACAACCTCTGTGTTGACAGGCTAGTGATACAGTAGATGTACTAATTAAGACTACTCTGCCACCAAGGCTCCAACACAACCTCTGTGTTGACAGGCTAGTGATACAGTAGATGTACTACTTAAGACTACTCTGCCACCAAGGCTCCAACACAACCTCTGTGTTGACAGGCTAGTGATACAGTAGATGAACTACTTAAGACTACTCTGCCACCAAGGCTCCTACACAACCTCAGTGTTGACAGGCTAGTGATACAGTAGATGTACTACTTAAGACTACTCTGCCACAAAGGCTACTACACAACCTCAGTGTTGACAGGCTAGTGATACAGTAGATGTACTACTTAAGACTACTCTGCCACAAAGGCTCCTACACAACCTCAGTGTTGACAGGGTAGTGATACAGTGGATGTACTACTTAAGACTACTCTGCCACAAAGGCTCCTACACAACCTCAGTGTTGACAGGGTAGTGATACAGTAGATGTACAACTTAAGACTACTCTGCCACCAAGGCTACTACACAACCTCAGTGTTGACAGGGTAGTGATACAGTAGATGTACTACTTAAGACTACTCTGCCACCAAGGCTCCCATACAACCTCTGTGTTAACAGGCTAGTGATACAGTAGATGTACTACTTAAGACTACTCTGCCACCAAGGCTACTACACAACCTCAGTGTTGACATGGTAGTGATACAGTAGATATACTACTTAAGACTACTCTGCCACCAAGGCTACTACACAACCTCAGTGTTGACAGGCTAGTGATACAGTAGATGTACTACTTAAGACTACTCTGCCACCAAGGCTACTACACAACCTCAGTGTTGACAGGCTAGTGATACAGTAGATGTACTACGTAAGACTACTCTGCCACCAAGGCTCCTACACAACCTCTGTTTTGACAGGCTAGTGATACAGTAGATGTACTACTTAAAGACTACTCTGCCACCAAGGCTATTACACAAACTCAGTGTTGACAGGCTAGTGATACAGTAGATGTACTACTTAAGACTACTCTGCCACCAAGGCTACTACACAACCTCAGTGTTGACAGGCTAGTGATACAGTAGATGTAATACTTAAAGACTACTCTGCCACAAAGGCTCCTACACAACCTCAGTGTTGACATGGTAGTGATACAGTAGATATACTACTTAAGACTACTCTGCCACAGAGGCCCTTCTTCAGTTTAGTAATGATTCATTAAAGAATACTTGTAGATACAATTGTATACCATCATACATCCCTCATTAACAGACTTATGAAGAATATTGGTCTTCAACATGGTAACTTCTATGTCATTTGGTCTCTGGTGGAGAGTTGTCTCATTGGCAATCATACCACATTTTCTTATTTCTATATTATACATTTTTTTTGCTAAAATTTAACAAAGTGGTTATCTACCAGGAAATAAATGCTTCCCCTAACCTTTTAAAGGACATCTGTTCTAAGTTATTGGATCTATCTTCTGTCTCAGAATCTGAAGATTCTGTATCAGCTGTGTTCACATTTCCATCCAATGGTGAATTGTCTTTTTCTTTACTTTTCAAATTGTCAGAATAGGCTAGTGTCTTTTCTTCTTGTTGACTGTTGTCAGAAACAATGCTTGATACTGCTTCCTGATGCAATTTGGTCTTTTCAACTGACAGTTTTGAACAGTCAGTTGATATACCCTGAGATTTGTTCATTTCATCAACAGATTTCCAGCCAGTCCATGTTGCTGCTGTCCAACTACTTAATTTACATAAAATTCTAAAGTCTCTGATCGACAAACTGTTTTTTTGAAAGAAAGCCTTGCCAACATATGGTTTCCATTGACAACGATGATGACAACATAAAGCTATGGATAGTCCTCCTAACTTTTTGCTGTTAATGTAAAAACATAACAATTTTATATGACTTTATATACATTTCCATGAAATTTTTAAAATGATAAGATTTAATATTTAAAAAAACAAAAAATAAAAGATCAGAACTGAAGAGGAGTTTCAGAAACTATAGGTTTCCAAAAAATAAAGCTTTGAGTCCATGCTTTGGTAAGGGAAACTTAAAAATAATTTGGACCGAAAAATAAAATAGGTGCACAATGTCATAAAGAATCAGAGTAAGTTTCATTAATTTATGGGATTTAAGTTTGGGGGAATACAAGTGTCTTCTAAAGTGTTCAGATAGGTATACCAAAGTCCATGTCACCCCAAAAATTATTCAGATGAAGAAATAATATAGGAGGTGCAAAAGTACATTATGTGAATAAGGTTATCAAAAGTTTCACAAAATTCTGCAAAGCGGTTCTGGAGCAGATGCAGAAACAAAAGTGGGATAGCAGGAAAAACAAATGAACGAACCGATGGATGAACAGATGGATGGACTCCCCATCTGTATATACCACTCGCCACAGAAAGTGGGGGTTATAAATATTGAATTGGCAGATAAGGCCATTTCAGACAGGCATCTAGTTTTAAATTGCTAGATGCCAAATCAATAAAATTTCTCCTTCTTAAAATAAATTATCAGAAAATAATCTTGTATATCTGTTTACAAGAAAATGATCTATAATTTGCAACATAACATCTATAGAAATTCCTTTCAACAAAAAAAGGTGTAATTTTCATCTATCAATGTTCAGTACACAGTTGCTTAAATACAGCAAGATAATACATTTTAAAATAGGATAAATTTCTGCAAAATAATAGAACTAATTACCATTTATCATTTTTTGACTTCTTTTCTACAGGTTCATCACCATCTACTTCTGTTGTTAATGTATGAGTTACACAACGAACTGCCAAATCTGGAGAAAATTTCAAATACATTTAATACATTTTATAATCCACAATGTTAGTTTTTCACATTTTTAAGTTATTATATGTATAATATCTCCTAAAACTGTTAATATTAAACAAAATTTGAAGCAAATTATCTTTTTGGATAAAGCCTTGGCTTATATCTAAATATAAATGATTGATATAATTTGGACACTTTAGTGCTAAGAAGGTCACTAGTGATGTCACTATGATGTCATGAACTTGTGGAAATTGACATATTTGACCTTCAATGGCCGTTTTACACAATAGATTTGGGATGAAATAAATATGAGCCAAGGCTTTCCCCAAAAAGATATTTTACACACATTAACATCTTTTTAAAGAAAAAATACATCTTGAAGCAAAATATATTTAAGAAATAATTCTTTCATGCCATGCTCTATGCTCATTTTAACATTGGTAGGCATTATATATGTCAATATCTTTATACCGAGGTGTAAAATGTTGACAAATAAAATGCCTAGTCATGTTAGCACTGCCTCATTAGTGTTTACCTATTGATTATAATACAATGTGTACTATTTACCTGTAGCACTGCCTCATTAGTGTTTACCTATTGATTATAATACAATGTGTACTTTTTACTTGTAGCACTGCCTCATTAGTGTTTACCTATTGATTATAATACAATGTGTACTATTTACCTGTAGCACTGCCTCATTAGTGTTTACCTATTGATTAAAACACAATGTGTACTATTTACCTGTAGCACTGCCTCATGAGTGTTTACCTATTGATTATAATACAATGTATACTATTTACCAGTAGGACTGCTTCATTAGTGTTTACCTATTGATTATAATACAATGTGTACTATTTACTTGTAGCACTGCCACATAAGTGTTTACCTATTGATTATAATACAATGTGTATTATTTACCTATAGCACTGCCACATAAGTGTTTACCTATTGATTATAATACAATGTGTATTATTTACCTGTAGCACTGCCACATAAGTGTTTACCTATTGATTATAATACAATGTGTACTATTTACTTGTAGCACTGCCTCATTAGTGTTTACCTATTGATTATAATACAATGTGTACTATTTACCTGTAGCACTGCCTCATTAGTGTTTACCTATTGATTATAATACAATGTGTACTATTTACCTGTAGCACTGCCTCATTAGTGTTTACCTATTGATTATAATACAATGTGTACTTTTTACTTGTAGCACTGCCTCATTAGTGTTTACCTATTGATTATAATACAATGTGTACTATTTACCTGTAGCACTGCCTCATTAGTGTTTACCTATTGATTATACCACAATGTGTACTATTTACCTGTAGCACTGCCTCATGAGTGTTTACCTATTGATTATAATACAATGTATACTATTTACCAGTAGCACTGCTTCATTAGTGTTTACCTATTGATTATAATACAATGTGTACTATTTACTTGTAGCACTGCCACATAAGTGTTTACCTATTGATTATAATACAATGTGTATTATTTACCTGTAGCACTGCCACATAAGTGTTTACCTATTGATTATAATACAATGTGTATTATTTACCTGTAGCACTGCCACATAAGTGTTTACCTATTGATTATAATACAATGTGTACTATTTACTTGTAGCACTGCCTCATTAGTGTTTACCTATTGATTATAATACAATGTGTACTATTTACCTGTAGCACTGCCTCATTAGTGTTTACCTATTGATTATAATACAATGTGTACTATTTACCTGTAGCAATGCCTCATTAGTGTTTACCTATTGATTATAATACAATGTGTACTATTTACTTGTAGTACTGCCACATAAGTGTTTACCTATTGATTATAATACAATGTGTACTATTTACCTGTAGCACTGCCACATAAGTGTTTACCTATTGATTATAATACAATGTGTACTATTTACTTGTAGCACTGCCTCATTAGTGTTTACCTATTGATTATAATACAATGCGTACTATTTACCTGTAGCACTGCCTCATTAGTGTTTACCTATTGATTATAATACAATGTGTACTATTTACCTGTAGCACTGCCTCATTAGTGTTTACCTATTGATTATAATACAATGTGTACTATTTACCTGTAGCACTGCCTCATTAGTGTTTACCTATTGACTATAATACAATGTGTACTATTTACCTGTAGCACTGCCACATAAGTGCTTACCTATTGATTATAATACAATGTGTACTAGTTACCTGTAGCACTGCCTCATTAGTATTTACCTATTGATTATAATACAATGTGTACTATTTACCTGTAGCACTGCCACATAAGTGTTTACCAACAGCAACGACAGGATTACCACTTCCTGATATAGTATTTACTTTACCTAATAAATAAAATAAGTCACAAACAGAATTACTATTACCAGTTAAACAATGTATTTAAGGCTGTTCCAGAATCATATGTATGGGGGAGGGGTCAAAAGGTACTACAGTCATATTTGATGGATGGTGAATAGTTAAGGGAGATTACCAGATCAATAACAGGAAATAATCAATAAAAATGGTATGCATCGCTGGGTAAAATTTAAAGGACCTTCCAACCCCCAAACATTTATTTCTGGAACAGCCCTTTGCTACAATAAATTATTTTTAAGATAAAATTGCAAAATACCAGAACCACTTTTTTACTCGAGCCTCTTTGTACCATTGAACATTGCTAGCTTAAGTGTTCATAAACAATTGTAACATTTTCAATACAAAAAAAAATTTTGAATGAATAAAAGGAGATGTCATAAGAGACAATGACCTAATAACACAAAAACCAAAAGATATCTAGTGGTCAATATACAGTCTTTAACAATATACAGGTGCCTATACAATATGTAAATCATTAAATCACCCCAAGTCTAAAGAAAATTCAATAGATAAACGGAGACCATCAAAGATCTGCAATCAACAACAAATTCTCTAAATGACAAAACATGTTACAGCTACAGACAACCCTTAACTGCAATCAACAACAAACTCTCCAAATGACAAAACATGTTACAGCTACAGACAACCCTTGACAAGAATCCTACTTGGGACAGGCAGATGAACATGTGGTTGGTTGAAAAAAAAAAATGTCATTAGATCTCTACCCTCCCCCTTTTAATCTTGAATCCAAAACTGACAAGTTACAAAAAAGATTGCAAAACAAAATTCAGTATAGAATAGGCTGTATAATGACAAAAAACATGATTAAAAAAAAACAAAAAATACACCAATAAAAAATATTTAAATTATGGTTTGCTTCAAGTTAGCAATTCAGTTTTATTCCTATAATATTTCAAAAGTCAAAAATGCCATCAAAATGAAACATGTGTCTATTATCACTGTACCATCAATATTCAGTGTTGCACTAGAATCCACAAAAATTTGAAGAATATTTTTTATCCACGTTGGGGGTTTCAACATGAAATAATGGTACAGACATGCAGCTGGAATTTCAAGAGCACCCCCATTCATATATTAAAGTTTTGTGAATATCAAAACCCATAAATGTATTTCATCACAAAATCATAACCCATTCATATATTACTCAGTTATCACATATTCTTTACCTTGGTGAAGTTGCAACCCATTGATATATTTGAATTAATAAAAAAGTGACCCATTCCAGTATCACGTCTTTGTATACCTTCATATAGGAAGTGACCCCCCCCCCCCCCCCCCATGATTTTAGCATTCTAGGAGCTCTGGCAATTTGTTGTTCAGACAAACCCTTAATCTGAACATTCTTAAAGTCTTAAAAACAAGAGGAAATTTTAGCTTTAAAAATGAGAAACTGGTATATTGGTGATGACTTCTAGGTAGATTAACTGTATATCGCCATCTCAGATTGTAAAATAGCAGTACACACTCTTATTTCTTTGCTTTAATATGCAACTTTTGAGACAGATTGGCAATTGATGTGTTAGACTGTTAATTTGAATAAAGAAAAATAATTGATTTATTGCATTATTTGACTGTTTTAACAAATACCATATATTTGTTTATGTTTGAATCATTTTTTCAACATAGACATTCAAGGGTAGATAACTCTAATAGTAAAAATTTTATAAAGGAATGTTACAGAAATTATTATTTATTTACTTGTAGCAAGAAAACAAGTTCGGTGACACCCTTTTTTATTTTTATTTCAAATTCTATTTCATAAGAGTGTATTTTTCATGAACAATACAATACGACTTTTAGCTTGAAAAATAGCACAGTGACACATATTTTTTTTTTTTTTTAAAAAGCATGGTAAAATATACATTTTGGCAAAGTATAAAAAAATGCTATCCGAGGAAATATATATCAATAATCCACCTTAAGTTTTTGTAGTCTAGCAAAGCCACTGATAATAAAATCTATACCTAGATGAAGATGCTCAATGTCAATTCTGATCCTCTCAAACTTTGGTCCTTTATCGTCCCACTTATGGAAATTGTCAGCCTACAAATATATTATGGGGAAATGTAAACTTATTATGAGAAAATCTAATGGTTGACTAAATTATGGCTTTAAAACATGAGACAAGGTTTCCTAAAAAAGTTATACCCAGATGATTGTTAGCATATTACTGTAAAATTGTTAAAACACATTATTTTGGTGAAACCTTTAAAATGACATTAATCTAAAATGCAAATATTTATAATTAACAGTGAAATAGTACCTGAATATCATCAATAAGGTTTTTAAGATATTTTTCACATTTACATATGATAATGTACATAGATAATAACCTACCTTGTATCTACAGGTACCCCTGTCAACCAATATATAGTTACAGTTGTCATTCACCTCCCCAGCTTTTTGTACCCAATGAGACAGCATACCTTAACAAAAATATTTTCAGTGATCATTATCAAAGTGAATGCAGTTATCTATGATACATAGAGACAAAAAAAAATGGTCAAAAGTACAATACTGTACTTATATGGTCTTGGAATTTTTATTCTTTCTTCAACAACATTTGACAAAGACCTTTCAGGTCAAATTATTGGGCCCCCATTTTCTGTCTTTTAACTTTTCTATTTTTCTGTTTTTAAGATCAGCTCCTTTACCTTTGAGTCATTAATGGTGGTACCTTTGACCACTTCTTTATTTTCACATTTTTGTCTTGTAACTATTTCACAACAATTATTTTGTAATTTAGGTTACACAGCTTTCGTTTTTTTCAAATGACAAGGTATTAGTTGTGAAGTTTGTTTTTTTTTAGAATGAAGCTCAAAATAAATAACTACCGGTAAGTTAATAGGTATTACAATTACTGTTATATCTACAAAACCATAACATAGGATGCACTCTTGTTTATCTTTATACTGGAATATGGCAGTGTGCATTCATTTACATCTTACTTTATATAGGAATAGAAAACAATATAATATTTGAAAGCTTTTGTTCTGCAAGATGTCATGTTGTTTACTCAACACTGTTCTTCCACATGTCTGGATAAATTAATGTGCATGTGACAAATCTAGACTCTTACCTTTGCCTGCTCCAAGTTCAACAAAAGTCATAGCATCTTTAATCAACCCCATTTTATCCAAATGTCCAATTAAAGAGGCCTAAAATATATTAAAACAAATGACATTATGAATAGCGCTTCAAAGAACATACGGTAACCTGTGTTGAGAAATTTATAAAAGATTTTCAACATCCTTTAATTAACCTATCTTTAAGTTTAACTGGAATGATATCATTAATAGATTGTTAGATCAATTTTTTCTATGTCGCACAGCCATAAAAATGACATTTTTTTAAGAGTTAAGAAGCATGCTGGATATTTAAGGTAGAGAGAAGTATGATAAATACCTGTTGTTTTCTATGCCTGATAGCAGGAATCCCATAAGAACTGTTACAGAGTTCTTCCTCCAGACAGGTGTGAGACAAAATCTCTGATGGAATCTTTATATGTTCTGAAGTATTAGTTCAAAATAAATTGTCATTTAACACTAAGTAAGGAACGTTTGTATGCAAAATGACGCATCACAAATAAATTGCAATAATATTTGGCAGTGGTAACATTTGCACTGCAACACAATATACATGATATAATTATATTGTTCTGTTATAAGAGTAAAAATTGGTATATAATATAACTAGAGGCTCTTAAGAGCCTGTGTCGCTCACCTTGGTCTATGTGCATATTCAACAAAGGACACTCTCCAACATTGAAGACAAGAATAGAATTCATAAGAAAAATCTCTGTTTTGTTGATCGTGTATTGCTGATCATTTAATCTGTTTAGTTTCTCTCTGTCTTCTTTAGTTTTTGCTCAAAACACAAAAGAGGGTAAAAAAAATCCTTATTTAAGGGGCTGGGCAATCACTCCTATAAAGAGTGACAGCCTACTACCTTTAAAATTATCAGCAAAATGTGACTTGTTTGTAGATCGGACGATTTCCTCTAAATTGTAGAACTTGTCTTGCTGATCATTTTTGCAATTTAATGTTTCTCTTTATCTATTATAGTTTCAAGATAATAGGCAAAAAACAAAAAAAAATGGTAAAATTTGTCATTTAAGGGCAATAACTCCTGTAAGAAGTCGTCTGACAATTTTGACGTAAATGGACAGTTGGAAGAGCTCAACATTCTAAACATTTTTTGCCTTCGTCAGATTTTTTCTATTCATAACGGTTTTCAAATAATAGACAAAACTTGCATTTTAACTCTATGTTTTATTTTTAGCCATGTCGGCCATGTTGGTTGGCAGGCGGGGTCATCGTACACATTTTTTACACTAGATACCCTAAAGATGATTGTGGCCAAGTTTGGTTAAATTTGTCTCAGTAGTTTCAAAGGAGAAGATTTTTGAAAAAGATTACAATAAAATGCTTTGCTGAGCGCAGCCAGATACAACCGCAGAGGTCTAACCCTGAACAGTTGGGTCAAGTTTGGACACAATATTCAAGCTTGATACTGTCTGAATTTGGATTGTGATCAAATTTTTGACATAATATAGGTTTCTGACACAAAAAAATGTGGTCAAAGATCTTAAAAATTTGAAATGGGACATTTAATTTACCTAGAATGGTCTGATATCCAAAATCTAACAACATGGTTAGATTCAGCATATAAAAAAAAACACCCAAAATTTAATTTTAGTTGAAATCAAACAAAGTCTAATTTTAGACCCTTCAAACCTTAATATGGACCTATTTGAAAACAGGGCCCAAAATAAATAAATGGAGAATGTGTCCCCATGAACACAGATGATGCCCCCGCTTGCATACAACATTATAAAGGGACATAACTCAAGAACAATAAAAGTGACGCTACCCAAATTTCTACTTGATCTTAGTTTTGTGGCAATAAGTATTGTGTATAGGTTTCATGTTTGGTTGGGGCAAACTTAAGTTACAGACCGAAAACTAAAAATTTTGCAATTTTTCGATTTATAACTGGGCATACACTACCCAAATTCAACTTGATCTGTGTTTTATCAGTTTTAAATTTTTAAAAATTACTTGAACAATAACATCATTGATACTTTTAGAAAAAAAAATGAAAATGTAAAGGGGCATAACTCTAGAACAGTAAAAGTGACGCCACCAAAATTCAAGCTTGATCTGTGTATTGTGGCAATAAGCATTGTGTATAAGTTTCATAACATTTGGTTGATCGGTCGTTATTTAATGATGTCATAATACATGTGATGTCACAATTTTTCCTTTAAAACCTCATGTGCATTTCTCACTGATAAAGGGTTTTCACAGAAATACATCTAAAAAACCTTTTTTTTTTAAATAGAATTATGTGAAAAAACAAATTTTGAAAATGTGTACTTCATTGCACTCTAATTACATGATAAAAATGACATTCACAGTAGTTAAGAGTGGATTCTATAGTTTAAAATACCGATTTCCACTGGTTAAAATATTTAAGTATTTTGGTGTCTTTTTTATGAAATCTACATTTTTGCATAATTTCTCAGTCAAAATGCACTTTTAGGCTCCAGAAATTTTTATTGAATGCTTTAACAGGGTCTGTGTATTGTAATTTAAGGTTATCATCAAATGTTTTGTCCATATTATGACTAGTGAAGGTATATTGGGAAGAAATAATTATACATACACATTGTATTAAAAATAAATAGATAAAGCGATAAAAGGGTCATTACCTTATAGTGCTGAAACAAATTTATTTTTTTTTCAGAAATGGACAAAAATACACAGATTTATTCAGAAAGTCATACCGATGAAGACCACACAAGAATATTTGGAAAAATCAGAACTATGGATTTCAATATGGGTCAATATCCCTAATGCGCCTCAAAATGAGGAACTCAAAAGTTGTGTGTAAACAAAAAATCTCTGTGTAACACTACAAACCAGTAAAAGTCAGAAATGGCCTATATTTGTACTCGACTGTACTGATTTTTACTCGACCAGTCTGAATTGGTCTGAAATTTACTTGATAATACTTGACTGTAGTCTGAACCATACTTAACAGTCTAAACTTGTACTCGACCTTTACTCGACCAGCACTTAACCATTTTATTTTCGTCTGAACCATGCTCAACCTAGTCTGAACCATGCTCGACCTAGTCTGAACCATACTCGACCTAGTCTGAACCATACTCGACCTAGTCTGAACTATACTCGACTAAGTCTTAACCAACCTAGACCTAATTTTTGTATCTATCTATTGTATTTCATCAATTTAGGAACTTTTTTTAACAGCTATTTCCCCTGGCTAGAAATTTGAACAACAATTTGAAATTTAAAATGTATTCAATATGGCATTGAAACCAAAATTTCACAATAAACATAATATAAATTCAACACCATATTTATCAACACTTACATATATATATATCACCTTTAGAATAAAAATAAAACAAGCTGATCAAATAATCTCAAAACTGAATTGTGACTAATATTTTCAATGTTATTCAAATTTTTTGAATGTTTCAGATATATTTTACGGTTACTGGACAATTTTCACCATTTACCTAAGCCTTGTATAGATTTATGGTGTCAGTTGTGTTTAGTTAATAATACAGTGAACATTTTTTTTATTAAAATATATCTAAAATAGTATACAAAGCAACTTAATAAATTTTAAAAATCACACCTTTGTTTTGTAAAACCAAGAATTTAATATAATCATGATAATAGAACTTCCATAGCAATCCTTGATAACCATTTAAGAAGGAAATGTGTTCCAAAGTTGCAGAAAAAATTTATTTCAATTAAATTTAAATAACTTTTATCAAAATTAAAGACATGGCATACAAGAAGCACTTTAATAAGGTTTAATTACCTCAGTACATGTGTGTTTTACAGGTAAAAAGAAAGCCCTTTTTTTCTTAAACTCGTGTATTACTTATCTAGTGAATTCAAAAGGCCTTGCGATTTAAGTTTTACAGGATGTTGCAATTTTTTAATGAATGCTAATTAGAAATTAATACTCTCTGACCAGGTGTGATCTTTTTAATGAGTTTGCCCCAAGCAGGAGGTATTACTTTATACTTTACCACTAATCAGAAGAAAAATTTTATCTATTTCTTTAATTCTTTTATCCCTTTTTGATATATATTATATATAATATATCCCAAACTATAATAAGAATAGATATATTTCTAATATAAGGTTAAACAATTTCAGTGATTTTTTGGCTGTTGTTACCTCATTAAAAAGATAGTTATATAACTATTGTACGAACCATGAAACTTATATAGTTTTTCTTTAGGATTTTAGGAAAATTAAGTTAAAAAAAAAAAAAACACATGCCAAACAAGAAGCATTTTATTACCCTCTTTTTTTTTTACAAAACTCTAAAACTTTAAAATTAATATAATTAAATTATTATATAAAATAATTTAATTTAACTATCTCTATTTGATAAATCTGAGAATCATGTAAGGATGTAAAAATATGTTTTTATATATATCTTTATTTTATTGTGGCTGTTGTCATGTCAGAAAGAAAGAAATTAATTTTAACAGCTAAATTTTAAAAAAAAGTATAGGGTTTTTTGGTCAAGTATGGTTCAGACTGGTCGAGTATTGTTCAGACCTTTGGTCGAGTATGGTTTAGACTGAAAAAATTGGTCGAGTACAGATCGAGAATGGGTTAAGACTGTTTCAGACTGGTTGAGTAATAGTTCAGACTATTTTCAATGGCAAAGATAAGGGTCAAGTACAAATCAGTACGGTCGAGTATGGTTAAGACTGGGGTCGAGTAATGTTGAGTAAAATTCAGACCAATTCAGACTGGTCGAGTAAAAATCAGTACAGTCAAGTACAGATATAGGCCATTTCAGACTTTTACTGGTTTGTAGTGTAATGATATTTGACACGTTTCTATGATAAACAAGTGACTGAGCTTAACCATTTGTGTTGATTTAGAAAGAAGGGGAACAAAGAATAAATGTGTAAAAACTATGGAGCTATTAATGGGTTCAAAGTATTAAATTTTCAAAGAACTTATTGTGTTAAAAAAGGGATTTTTTAACACGAGGAGCCGCATCACAAAAGGATTTTCGGGGTTTGCTAATTTACGGAAAAAGTAATCTCACTTCGTACCCCGAAAATTTAACCACATATGTGAAAATGTCTCATCTACGAAACGAGCCATCATACATATCCAAGTTAACGATATGGACTGAGCAACAGAAGAAATCGTTACCATTACCGCCTATGGAGAAAAAATTGCAAACATTGACCCAATTGAAGATTTCTTGCTATTGCCCAATACTGTGCTATTGTGCAATAATTGTCTATTTCATGTAGTTTTAACTGATTATCTCTAGCGAGTGAGTTTTATACAGTACCATCATAAAGCTTGTTGATCTTTATAATCAACTGTTTCAGATCATCTGTTGGTATGTCAAGCAGTGAAAACTGAAAGATAATAAAACATGCTGCTGAATGCAGAACTAAATTGGGTGACATCAAATTACAATCAATGTACATGTATGATCTAACAATGATAAATCTCATACTATAAATGGGGAAATATTTGCAGCAGTCTTGTTATTTCCAATATTGAATGGTAAATATTCAAAAATGCCATTGTGAAATTCATATGTATTTGGTGTCTTTTTACATGCAACATTGGGAAAGTCCGAAAGTGGAAATAAAATCATAATGTATGTTACATTTTCTGTTCCTCAATATTTGTGTTTCATGTGGAAATTTTTTAATATTTTTCAAAATAACATGGACCTTTATTTTAGACTAGATGTGTCAGTAAGCCATGATTGCCCCACACCTGCAGCCTATTTATCAAATATACATTTCTGTGAATTCATATGAAAGGTGGGGTGTACCAGGGACATAAACTGGCAACACTGTGTTCATGGTTGTATTGTTTGGCTAATATGAAGAACTGTAAAATTTATTTTGTATTTTTTTGTTTATAATGTTGGTATTTAATGCCACTTTCAGCAACCTTGGCTATATCATGTATCGTTGGTATTTAATGCCACTTTCAGCAACCTTTGCTATATCATGTATCGTTGGTATTTAATGCCACTTTCAGCAACCTTGGCTATATCATTGAAGCCAGTTTTTATTGGCGGAAGAAATAGTACCCTGAGAGAACCGCCAACCTTCTGCAGAATAACAGGAAATCCTTATGCATTTGTTGAATGGAAAATAGAGATATATGATACATTATAAAATAGACTTTTGAGTCTATGAAAGGTTGTTCAATCGGGACGAAAGGTAAACTTGATCCTTAAGCCATTACTATACACTAATGTACCAAAGATGAGCTTGAGATCAGCATGTATTACAGAAAAAGTCTGAACAAGTACAATTTTATGAAACTTTTGAAGTCCAATGGCAATTATTCCATGAAGTGGGCCAACTGGAACAAAAATCAGAGACCTTACACTGTAAGTTGTCACATTTTTAATTTTCAAATGGAAAAGTACCACTCTTACAAACTATTGTTTTATGATCTGCTTATGTCAGTAAATGTATTATCCTTTTAGATATTTTATGTCTTAACCTACCTTGGCATCAAGATCTGCTTCATCTGTTTCACCAGAATTTATTCCTGGACAATGATAAGCCTGTAGAATATAACATAAACATATGAAACATGTTTACATTTAAAAGTAGTTCTGGGGTCTAATAATTCTAGAACTAAAATGAATGTTATACACTAACTGGAATTTGAAATATATTTGCATGATTGTTCAATCATATGAAGACATTTGTATTGAAGATTGACAATGGTGGTTATGTTTATCATCCGATTTGAACCAAATGAATTTTGGTAAAAATGAGAGAAGTCATTTTGGAGAAGATAAAATTGTGATTTTCTATAAGGTTTCAAAGGGAACAATGTGCCAACAATGCTATCCTGTTTACCACCCTATCAACATGAAGTGAGATCAGTTGAGTTTGTAAAGGGTCTTCAAATCATAAATTTTTTGAAGTTTCAAAACATTTAAAATAAAAGAAGAATGTGCCCACTTGTAAATATATGGCAAATTCAGCATTTTTTTCAGATTCAAACTTGATCTATGTTTGGTGGTACATATGTCATGTATGTAATAAGCATTGTGTATAAGTTTCATACATTTGGTTGAGGCAAACTAAAGTTAAAGTGCAGAAACAGCAAATTTAGCAATTTTTCCATTTATAAAGAGACACACATTGTAAACTCTAGAACGGTAAAAGTGACACCACCCAAATTAAAACTTGATCTGTGTTTGGCGGTATTAAGCATTATGTATAAGTTTTATTACATTTGTTTGAGGCAAACTAAAGTTAGATAAACCAAAACTAATTTTGGGACGTATGGAAGGACGTACGACCAAACATACAGACAAGGGTAAAACTTAATGCCCCCTCCACCTCGGCGGGGGCATAAAAAGATTGAGAACAGAATCAAAGATTGCCTTTAGTGGCCAATTTTTTCATCTGATCAGAGCCATTTGAGATTTATTACTAAAGTATGTTCTATACTACATTCCTGTAAAGTTTGCTTGAAATAGGCCAAATACATGTAGGTTCAGAGACAATTGGAAATGTATTTTTTCATATAGATTTAATGGGACCTATTAGCCCCTTAATTCAGGATGAAAACATTTTAATGTGATATGAAGACACACTTCTTTGTTCTAGATCAACATGCTGAGAAGAATTTTTTGTGTTCGTCCACAAAATTGCAGTCAATCTATAGTGACACATTATTCTGACTTCTGAGTTGACTGGTCTCTGCTCTTATTCCTAAATACTGGGTGAGAACCAGCAATTACCTATTTTAAAATCTATGGTTTGTACTAGCCAGGGATAAAACCAAAGACTTCCTACTTCCTGAGAGCAGGTTACCATTAGACAACTAAGGTAGATTATTAAAACAAATTAACTTACAGGTAAAACTCCTAGTTGCTTTCTACATTTCTTTAAATGCTTTGACAGCTGATCTTCATAGCAGGTACTGGAATATATATATGACGCCTTCTACTTAGTCGAGAAAAAACATGGTAGAAACATATACAAACATATCAAAATGAATTTTCTTTTATTTCTTGCCATGCTTGCTGTAAAAGAGTATAATCCGCACCCCTGCCTGACAATAACTTTTATGAAGTAAAAAACCAGCGATTAATGATGTCTGAATTCGGTAATGCTAATGTGCTTTAAAAAAATATCTATTCAATATATATAAGTAATAATAATTTTAAAGTTACTTTAACATGTTTAATACTAAAAATTATCATGATTATGTTTTAAATCATTGGAAAAAATAATAAATGACAATTTTTACTGAATAAGAGTATAAAGATATGACAGTAATTCACTCACTGCTTTGAGTCTACGGGACATATGATTCTTTTTCTGTCAGATGGTATCTGAAATGTGAAATAAAATTGAACTGTTCATTACATTTGTAGGTACATTTTACCTCATGTTTGATATAAATGATTATTCCAAACTTGTTTCAATATTACACATGTTAATTATTATGTTAATTTGCACACAATGTGAACAGGGCTCACACTACTTCAGAATCATAGGGAGAAGTGACTTCTCTTTTTGAAACTGAGAGGAGAAGTGGTGAGTTTTGAAAGAGAAGTGCTCGTTCGCTCGCGGTGCTACAATGTTTGGTTTTTACTATAATACAAAGGGCCATATGTATCTTTTTTTTTTTTACATTGTTCAATTTGTACCTGGGTATACAATTAAAGTAACAGTTCAAACTCAAAGTTGTTTAATTTTTTCATATCTTGTTGCACAATCATGTTAGTCCTCTTGTCAGAAAAAAACAATTAAATATCTGGCAAAAATAAAAAAGAATTTTTTTAATATAAAAAGGAAAAGAAAGTTGTTATATCAATTAAAATTCAATTAAAAAACTACTCTGTTATCATGTTTATGAAATAAGTATTTCTCATTAAAAAGATATATAAATTTAACAGTTAAGCTTGGACATAATATAATTATATTAGTGTAATAGTCCCAGAGTTGAGCAACTTTAATTTATAAATTGAAACAATGCATATACATGGAAATATATACATTAATCAAGTAGATCTAACCAAAAGTATGTTAATGCGTGTGGAATGCGTAATTTTTCCTTTTGGGATCAATTTACTTCGAATTCTGTCAGCTGTGCCATTCATGCATCCGTAGTCATTATCGTAAGAATCTGGATTTCGGTCATAGCTGTCCGTTCCCAATGAGTCCCGACTCCGATCCGTTGTTGTACAATAATTTGCCTAATAATTTCAATGGCGGACGAAGAAAATTTACAAAAATAAATGATGTTTGACACGCTATTTGGAAAGATATATGACATTTTTAATGCAATATATGGATAACAAATTTACTTCAGGCAAATTTCATCATGTTCTAATGAAGTAACAAACATATTTTGCCGAAAGTTAGAATGATTTGATGTACGCTCTCGAGTAACAAGTACCGGAAGTGATAAAAAAATTGTCTTTATGTGAAAATAACATGCAACCAACTTTAAAATCAATGCTTTAATCTCTTTTCTAAAGAAAATAAATTGTTTATGTCTTTGAATTTCTTTACTTTTAAATGAAAAATTGCTGTTTCATCGACTTGGTAAATATTGAATATTGCAGATGACGAAAGCAACTGAAAGCAAGTATCGTGAACAACAGGGCGACTAGATTTCGCTTTTCACGGTCGGGCAAAGCGAAGTGACGGACAGGAAAGTGACTTTGTCGCCCCAGTCGCCTGCTAGCGTGAGCCCTGGACTGAAGCTTTTTTGCCTGTTGGCTGCTCTCACTCACCGAAAAAGGTTCACATTGTGGCTCACGGCTGATATTTTACAATATCAATGTGTAGAAAACCCAAAAATCTATACATCTACATCATGTAAATGTACCAGAGCCCATTTTAAACCTTCAACACAAGATGGGAGCTATGGATTTTTCCAAAATCATCATAAACATGATAAAGGAGAATACAATTTTCAGCAAATTTGTATCAGATTACAACAGAAAGGAGCATTAGGTGACAATTTTGCAGCAAATTAGTATATCTGATTGCCACAAATTAAAACAAACATGCCACACTGTTCCTTTGAGATAAGAACAGCAATAAAAGCACTGTTCCTTTGCTTAATGTGTATTTTTGCTGTGCATGTACTGATTTTGTGTCATGGATGGATACTTGATATCCTTTTTTTTTCTATTATGCAAAATCCACAGGCACTTATTAAACTTGTTAGTTTAAACATATTTAATTGTTCAGAAACTAAAAAAACAGACAAATCACTAGTTTTACAACTTCATAATGTCTTCTCCGGTATTTAAATTTAATATTTAAACATGTTAAAAACCATAACTTTTTGGAGCTCATCAGGTTGCACCTGCCTCATATTATTCTAAGGATTTGGATTGGGAATGTTAATTGATGATATCCCTCCTAAAATGACTAGGGATGACAATTTTGTCAAAGACGTACTCATGGTATTCAGTACTTGCAAGCTTAAACAAGCTGTACTCAAGTACTTGCTTGGAAGCAATAAATTGAAGCCAATTCAGCTTGCTTGAATTACATTATGAGTACATGTTTTCTCCCGAATTTTGGTCTATACCACTATATATGCTATATGGAAAAACCTTCAACAACATGGCTGTGACAACACAGAGGCAATAAAACTCTTTCCGCTTGTCCTTTAATTTCCTTTCCTTACAGGATTGTTCTTAAAATATCATAAAGGAGCATATGATTTCCCACAAATTTGTAAAAAAGAGAGAAAAATGACACCAAAGGGGCATTCAAACATCATACTTTATATTTCAATAAAAACAGACAATAGATAGGTTCATTATGACATAATGAGTATGAGTTATTTCCCTTGGCTGCCATTTTGGAGGGGGTAAATAGTATATTACTGTGGATTCATTTATTTTCGTGGGTATCAATTTTCGTGGATAGAGCAAAAAAGGCATTTCGTGGGATATGTAAATTCGTGGTTCGCTGTTTCAAAAATAAAAAAAAAAATGTTTCAGATACGTAAATTCGTGGATCTCTGTATGAAGAATAGTTAAACAAAAGATAGTAGTTCATTGAAAATGTTTTGAATCTTCAAAATCCTCGCGTGGTCATTCTATGTTAAAGTGTTCATTTACAAGCGTGGACAAAGGCAACTAATGATTTGTTTGCTTTACAATTTATAATTTGTAGTTAGAATTTTATAAGGTATACAAAGGCCCTTTGATGTTCAACTGATTGAAAGTTATTTTTCCTAATCAAGACATAATAAGAAGTAATTAGAAAATGATCAAAAGTAAGAAACAAGCTAACGAAGTTTGCGATCCAAGCTGGAACCCAAGCCATACAACAATGATAAAATATACTCATCTCACGATTATGTTATATATACTCTGGGGAATATGATTCCCTCATAACAAATAATGTCGCTTCAACAGTGGTTAAAGTCCGGTAGTATTAAGGTGAAAGCTCCTGCCATGCAAGGCTTGCCCGATCCATCTCAATGCAGTACACAACGTGATGTTCTTGTAACCCAAGCAGCCAACGACGGTATTGACACGAATGAATTCTGCTACTAGCCTTCCAACTACTCCAACCAGAAAACGCAAACGGGGAGAATCAACACTACACTAGTAAACATCCGATTTATTTCAAATTTGTCGGGATTATTGTTCGTTGAATTCTTAAATTCGTGGTTTGCTGTGTCCGTCGAAAACCACGAAAATTGGTATACCACGAATAAAAATGAATCCACAGTATTTGACTTACCAAATTGAAACATGCTGTACAACCAAGCCTGATAAGAGATCCTTACTAGATCATAGTGATGAATCAAGCAAGGCTAATACAAATTAAAATTGTTCAGAAAACCAGTATTTCTAAAGTCTAGTGGTCAGTATAACAAGTTGAATTTGGCTGATTTATGAAGGAATTTGTGCACATACATATAGACCTCCAACATGGCAACAAAAGGGAAATATCTCTTGAACAAATTATTTCAATTGAAATCTATCAATAATGATGGCCAATTTTTTTTAAAAAGACGTCACGAAAGGACAAACAACAGTAAAGTTAATAAATTCACATAGAAAACTAAATACTGAGCAACATGGACCCCACCAAAATCAGGAGTGAACTCAGGTGCTCCAGAATGGTAAGCAGTACATGTATCTGCTCACATGTGGCACCTGTACGGTTGTTCAAGTAAGTAAAAAATCCAGTAATAAGCCGCTTTCCTTAATGTCACAAAACGTCAAAAGAGAAGATAAGGTCTGGATTGTGGTTTGATAAATGGAGCATATCCGTAGTCATATGTGACTAAGATATTCCATATATTAATGATCCAGCAAACCATGATTGCGTCTGTAAAAGTTTTGAACTGTTAACTTGAAGGGATGACAGAGGAGTATTACTATTAGATCTAATACCAGCAACTTTTGTTTATCTGACTGTCACTACCGAAAAGTATAATAATCAGTAAAACAAACATGGACAGCTCTTCAGGGCTCATCATGTAGCACCATGCTCATATTATTACTGACACAAAAGCAATAATAGTCAGTCGATATGGTCAGACATGCTTTTTTTAAAAGCTAATAGCTGTAGCTTTTTGCTTCATATTGACAACACCTTATTTAAAACGTGTTGATACTAACACCAAGAAGACCCGTGTGTTCTGCACAATATTTCTGTCCTGAATTTGGTTTAAATCTGCAAAATCTTCTTTTCTTTTCTAAGAAAAACGAACAGTGCCCATCTGTCATTTCCACGTGCCGGAAGTAAATAACAAATCACTGAACCGCAATGAATTTTGTTTACACTTTTGTAAAAGACAATAAGAAATAAGATTCATGATTAAATACTATACTTTATAGTTTATACTTTACTTTAAATTTGGATTAATAGTCGAAAGACATAATAAAGATTTGTTTTTAAGTGCGAACCTTTCGGTAATGACACTATATCCGGTTACTTGCAAAATCGATTTGAAAACCGAAGAAGCACAACTTTCCATGTAGATAACACCATTAGATTGAATCAATATGATAATAACACTGAAAACTTTGCAACAACAAACGTTTAAGGTTGAAATTGGGGAAGATGAGTTGGTAAGTTCTTGTGCCTTGTCATAGAGGTTTTCCCCTTTTCCGGCGTCACTTTCGGCGTAGATCCGTACATGTACTGTATTTTGTATGGACATTGGAGGAGTAAGGCTTTAATAACAAACTGAGATACACGTAAGCATGGTGAACACATCCGCCAAATAAAAAACTGTGGCTGTTTCCTGCCATCGATCGTCTAAGATTTTATTGCTTGTCAAAAAAAAATTATTCAAGAAATAGCGTATTTCGGTTACATCGATTTCCTGAAAACTCAAAAAAATCTCAATAAACACATGAGAACTATGATAATTTTACCAGAACACTCTTTTTTTTTAAAGAAATATGAGGCAGGTGTCACCTGTGGAAAGGGGCGAAGTCAGCAAACCTTTAGCATTTGTTCAGAATACTTTACAATAACCGTTAACAGCAGATTTATATAATTAAACATTCATTGTAAAAAAAAATCCCAGCATAATTTCTGGTGTAAGAGTTACTGAATATTACGGAAATGTATCCGATGTTGGCCCTATCGTTAGGAATTTTATAAGTGACATCAAGTGCAATGTAAACAAAGAAACTCTATCTTCAGGCAGTGTTTTTTTTCTTGTCTTAAAGTATAGTTTAAAAACAAACAGAATAAATTTGAAATGTTCGTCCTCATTATTTTCTTTTTGGTGATCAGTTATACAAGTATGCGGGAAATCGTATGACTAACAACATGTTGCAGCATCCGTCAACAAAACAGGAACAGGGTAAAAGAAATTCATCACTCATTGATTAATTTACCTGAATTAAAAAAAATATCTAAGTAGATGAGAATACATGTATCAACTCACATAATTGCATGTGATGATGTATTTTTCATTATCAACAATATATTTTCAATCTGTTCAATATAAACACGAATTTAATCATAAAAAGTTGATTTCCAACAATTTTTTTAGCATTGTTCTTAATGAAGTTTGCATCTTTTTTTTTTGTTTAGTTATAGAATTCATTTAAGAAGGCCTTTATACAGACATGGTCAAACACCCAAAAACAAAACAAAAATTCAATAGGAACAGTGTTGAAAATTTTGTCAGAAATCAACTTTTAATATTTGCAGGGTTCGACATTAACTTTTATACCAGCTTGTCCAGTTGGGCAAGTGCCCTATTACTTTTATTTGTCTGAAAGTGAAATCTACATGCCCAAACTTTTACATGCTATTTTTGTGGTTGTAATGTTGATTGTTGTGTCATGATGGCAGCAACTAGACTTGACCACTGAGATACTATGAGGCATATATGAGCCGAGGAGGGAGGGAAAAGATCGACTAATATACGGGAATTGGATCATTTACATAGAGATACTTATTTGATAATAATTTATCTAAGAAATGCCATTTCAAAAAACCCTTCTTGATAAACTAACAACAACTGACAAATTTGTTAAAGTTTAATTTCATTTTCTCTTTCAAGCTTTTACGTTTTTCCATCTTAGGAAAATACACATCCGATGTCAAATTCTAAAGTTAGAACAACGAAAATAGACCCCCGCTTTCCATTAGTCGGTGGGAATATCACGTGCGTTGTTAACGCCTGAGTGGTGTCCTGATTGATAATGATAATGACGAAGCAACGCCGCGGCCGCCTGATTGGCCAATATTTTTAAACGTGATCTATTTTTGGTAAAATGGGGAATTCAGTGCGAACAAATGACGAAATATACACATTGAAGGGGGGTTAAGACCACTTTACTTGACCGTGCGGTGTTATCACTGAGTAATCTATGGACAAAACAACAGACACTATTTGTGAAATTTTAATCATATAACACTTTTTTTTTCACTTGCCCGATCGGACAACCAAGATGATGTTTTTACTTGTCAGAATACGGCATTAACTTGCCCCGGGCAATCGGACAACCGTAAGTGTCGGACCATGATTTGAATCAGTGTTTACATTCATACATTGAACAGATTGAAAATATATTATTGATATTGAATAAAAACAACATCACATGCAGTTTTGTGAGTCGATACATGTATTTTCATCTATATAGAAGATTTTTTTTTTTATTCAGGTAAATTAATCAACGAGTGACAGATTTCTCTTAGAAGAAATTTAAAGGTCCTAGTGAATAAACTACACAGAGAACAATAGCTATTGTATTTATTTAATGGGACAATAGAACTGACAAAAGTTTAAATACCTTAACCAAGAGGAGATGACTATGGAAAAGTTTCATTTGGTTCGCAATAACAGACATTTGGTTAAATCCCCTTAGTTAAATTTACCATTATATATCTTTTTAATGAGAAACATTCAAATTTTGATGGAGCTATGTATTTAAAAAAAATTCATGTGAGTGATCTGAGTGACTGATACCATTGAAATTAAGAAATTTTAGTTTCATTGTTGTGAAAAAAATGTTGAAGGTTTGACACAGAGTTCGCGAAAAACTTATTTTGGTCCGTCGGTCATGGGACCGACAAAGCATGATTATTTGTCAGTCCTACAAAATCTCTCAATTTTATCCTGAAATAAAATTAATAACATATTTTATCGAAAAATAACTTTATTAATATTAGTTTTATTCTTCGCACCCACAGGCAAATTAACAATGAAGGACCAGTTCAGGTCTTCTGATTGTTCTTATTTAAAGTCATCTTCACTATCCATTTCATCATCTGAATCACTTTCTCGGCTGTTACAGTATTTGTTTGCTCCATTGTAGGGTTCAATCGCCGATTGTTTGCCAGGGATGGCTCTATGAACAAATTTAGTAGGCCACGTGTAGATCGCCGCTTTGGTTTGTTTATAATAAATCCGTAAACCAGTACCGGAAATTGGCAGCGGGTACATCTGATAACCGATGTAAACACTTATTGGAAACAGTTGCCGTACATCTAATAACCAATGTAAAAAAGTGCCAAAATATGCACTACAACGGCCGTTTTTACATCGGTCATTGGGACCGGCTCTAGCCTTCAAAATACTGGTCCGAGCCTCATTTTGACCGACAGGACCGACCATTTTCGCGAACTCTGTTGACAAAGTTATTGATGTCTTAAAAAACTTTTACCACAAACTGAACCTTAATGTTGATATGCTGACAGAATGCAGGATCACTATGTCTCGCTTCAACTTGGATTAACTTGTACATGTTGGAACAACACTGAATACAGTATACTGCTAAAACAAACAATTTAAAGTTACATTTAGTAATTTCCTTGAAAGTTGATTTTTGTCATTTTATAGGTAAAGAAATTAAAAGAAAAAGTAGAGGCAGAGAAAGGAAAAGAAACGTTTCCTGCTGGTGGACAGAAATTGATTTATGCTGGTATATATGATATATATTACTAAAACAAGGTCCTTCATTAAAGAACAATTGCATTGAAATTTGTAACAACTGTTTATAACTTACCATTCAGTAACTAGGATGTTTTTGGCAACTTTTTGCTATTGTGGCAAAACATGTCAACCTAAAAATTACTTACTATGCAGCAGTAACTAGGATGTTGTTGCCACATGCACACAAATGATGTAGTGCTGCAAAACATGTTGACCTAATAAATAACTGCTTATGTTCTTCTTTCAATTGGACATATGGCCACAACAAGCTATTATGTTTAAAACCGTCTTTGTTTGAACTCGGATGTGATTACATTTCTCCAAAGACTTGATGATCTTATTGGCCAGTATATTCTCTATCAGTTGAATGCTTTTTATAGGTCACTGAATAACACACCAGCTTTCTGAATTAGACAGTTTGAGGACAGATTTTACATTGCTGTTTTTGATTTGTGGTTTGGTCTTTAAACTGGACTGGTTGGACTACAAATAAATGTACCCAATTGCCTAAAGTCTAGCATGCTTTGGCATGTCTTGGCTTTACATGTATACTGTTTCCTGTCCCATTATCTTTTCTGAATATTCCTTCAAAAAAGGTAAAATCTTAAACAACTTCTACTGCCAGTTCATTGATTGGAATTGGTGCTGTATTCCTGCAGTGAGAAATCTAGTGAACAAGAACAAAAGAAAATTCACTCTTCCTATGATAGAGTTGAGAAAATCAACAATCAAGCAATGCCTGTGACAATACTGATCAAAAGTTATTTCTAAATAACAATTGTACATTGAAAGAAATTATTTGTTAAACTGTGCTATTAGAAATATACATGCAAATACACAATGTTTTATGTTCAGTATTTATCGATATAATTGCATTAGAAAATAGAAGCTTGTGAAACTAAAATCTAAAAAATGTTAATCTTTGCTGCATATTGATAAAAAAAAATTGAAAAAATTCATGTACATACAAAATCTAAAGATCTTTCGGGTCACAAATTTTTGGAGTGTTCCACAAAGTCCTTAGCATGTTAGAATTTCCCAAAATATACTAATTTTTCACATCTAAGTTTTCCAGTACACCGGTCTGCTCTTGTCACATGAACATTCAATATAGAAATATTGTCTTTTCGTGAATGTAACAATTTAAAAGTCCGTCTGTGCAGGTTAAAAAATTAAAGATAAATTTCAGGGGTTCAAATTAGCAGTGGTACGAGGTCCGCGACCTTCCACTGTTGCAATCAGACTTTCGTTTTGGTTACTAGCTACGCCCGACGGACCTTCGATTTTAAAGGAAATAAAAATGATCTTTGCTGACCTTTTTAACCACCTGTATCATCATTTTTAAGCCATATTGTTATTGAAATTGAGATAAAAAAAATATTTCATCCCTGACCTTGCTGACGAGTGATAAAAGTTATTTTTAACCTTGTATTTCTTGGAAACACAAGGTTATAAATAGTTGCGAGAAGTCACGTGACAAATCATTTAATCATTTAGACATTTTCGAACAAAATCATGAGTCCGTTTCACTTTGGTATCACGTCTTCCAAGAGAAAGCCTGAAGATCATGAACAGTCTTCAACCACAGGTACTTGTTTCTATCCATGGGAAGGTCGAATATCCATAAATATAGAAGGATATTCAACCTTCCCATGGATAGAAACAAGTGCCTGTGCCTTCAACGTCTTCAAAAGAAATCAAATGAAGATCTCACTAAAGACCAAAAATGCGATCGTGAAAAACTGGAATGGACATTTAAGCCCCACTGGAAAATCGATTGAACCGTGGCTATATTTTGATGAATAAACTGGTCTAATGTCATGCACATACAGCCAGAAGTTCCCCACCCATTCAGAAAAAGAAAGTAAGGGGAACACAAAATCTTAAAATAGACGCAATAAAAATATACGAAGTGGCACTTCGGCATTTATCTTATCCATGAAAGTGACCCAAATTTTAAGTGTAAAGTTTAAATGTCAGACACTAAACTTGGACAATGTATTCTCAAGCAGCAATGTAAGCCTGATCAGTTAAATAGATATAAGGTTCTTTTCAACACTGCATACAGTATTGCAAAAATGGGAAACCCTTCAGTGACTATGAATTTATTCTTGAAATCCAGTGCAAAAATGGTGTTGATGTGTAAGCAGTATTTCAATATTGAAGGTTGTAAACTGTTTATTCGCTGAATAGCCCATTATATGAGAAACGAAACATCACATGCAGTTCAAATATGATGAAACAAACTAACCTTACTCCAAAAGCACATTAATTTTGTATCTTATTGAGTTATGAAATATTTCATGTAAAAGTAGGACCTATGATTTAGGTTGTGGACCTTTCAATTTTGGAGTGTCAAAGGTCCTGGACCTTCCAGTACAAAATGTTAATTTGAACCCCTGAATTTTTTTATAAAGTAGGTATCTATTAACTATTTTTTATGCCCCTGCGGTAGCGGAGGGGCATTAAGTTTTACCCTTGTCTGTCTGTCCGTCCGTACGTCCCAAAATTGGTGTCCGTTCTCTAACTTTAGTTTGCCTCAACTAAATGTTATGAAACTTATACACATTAGAAATAAGAAGATGTGGTATGAGTGCCGATGAGACAGCTCTCCATCCAAGTCACAATGTGTAAAAAGTAAGCAATTATAGGTCAAAAGTACGGCTGTCACTTTTACCGTTCTAGAGTTATGCCCCTTTACAAATGGAAAAATTGCTGAATTTTTGTTTCGGTTCTCTAACTTTAGTTTTTCCTCAACCAAATGTTATGAATCTTCTACACAATGCTTATCACCACAAAACACAGATCAAGTTTGAATTTTGGTAGCGTCACTTTTACCGTTCTAAAGTTTTGCCCCTTTACAAATGGAAAAATTGCTGAATTTTTGTTTCCGTTCTCTAACTTAAGTTTGCTTTTACCAAATTTTATGAATCTTATACACAATGCTTATTACCACAAAACACAGATCAAGTTCGAATTTGGGTGATGTCACTTACACCTTTCTAGAGTTATGCCCCTTTACAAATGGAAAAATTGCTGAATTTTTCGTTTTGGTTCTCTAACTTTAGTTTTTCCTCAACCAAATGTTATGAATCTTCTACACAATGCTTATCACCACAAAACACAGATCAAATTTGAATTTTGGTAGCGTCACTTTTACCGTTCTAGAGTTATGCCCCTTTACAAATGGAAAAATTGCTGAATTTTTCATTTCCATTCTCTATCTTAAGTTTGCTTTTACCAAATGTTATGAATCTTATACACAATGCTTATTACCATAAAACTCAAATCAAGTACGAATTTTGGTAGCATCACTTTTACCATTCTTGAGTTATGTCCCTTTATAACATTCTATGCAAGTGGGGGCATCATCTGTGTCCCATGGACACATTCCCCATTTATTTTATACTATTTTAAGAAAAGGTCTTCTCGATTTTTGTTCATGTATTTGCGGTCTTCTCGATCTATTCACATTCAATGTTTACATCGGGGCGATGAGGTCTGTTTGAATTTGTTTAGTAACTTAATTTCAAAAGTGTTACATCTTTGCTGCATATCAATCGATTCCTTTGGAATTTTTTCCCTGACTTTCTCTGATCTAGCTACATATATATATATAGGGATAATTAGCATTTTCCAGAGAGGTGTACAGCCAATAGAAAAATAAATTGGAAGTTGGTACTGAAGGAATTTATTATACGGGTATAATGTTTTTACCCGTCCGTCTGTCCATCCGTCAGTCCGTCATCCCTGTTCTTGTCATCGCAACTCCTCTGAAACCACACAACAGAATTTCATGAAACTATAGATACATGTAATAAGGACATACTATGTAGACATGGTAGATGTGCATATCGACAGGAAATTATGATTCAATTTTTATACAACCGCCAAAAAATTTTGCGGTCGTATATTGGTATGACGTTGTCGTCGTCATCGTCATCGTCCGAAAAACACATTGGTTTTCGCACTCTAACTTTAGTTTAAGTGAATGGATCTCTATAAAATTTTACCATTAGGTTCAGTACCACAAAAGGAAGGTTGGGATTGATTTTGGGGGTTATGGTACCAAAAAGGGGCCGAAAATAAGCATTTTCTAGTTTCCAGACAATAACTGTGGAATGGTGTATGGATCTCTCTGAAATTATACTACAAGTTTCCATACCACAAAGGGATGGTTAGGATTTGCTTTGGGGGGTTATGGCTCAAACCGTTTAGGAATTAGGGGCAAAAAAGGGGGAAAACAAGGTTGTCCTGGTTAATGGACAAATACTTTAGTACAAAACATAATTTAAAGCAGTGTAAGGGAGATAAATCAAATACATCATTGAAATTATCTCCCTTACACTGCTTTTAAATTATGAATAAAGTAATGGTTAATGAACAATTAAGATAATTTAAAACAGTGTAAGGGAGGTAATCCAAATACAATGTTTTGGTTACTTCCCTTACACTGCTTTTAAATTATGTTTAAAGAAATGCATATTTATAAAGGAAGACCAGTAAAAATATCTGCAAATGTTGCATCTTTTTTTTTTACAAAAAAATCCATATGAAAGATTTGACACTATACTTTAAATTCTATTATAAAATAGATTAAGTTAGCACTATGGTAAATTTAAATGGGTAATTATGGTTGCAAACTCCATTGGAAATTTGATTGAGATTATGACCATATCTTGAGGGAAAGAATTTTTTGGGAAAAAGGGGGGGGGGGTAAAAAGAAATTGTGGGGGGTCAATTTTTTCTCATTTCAGATTTCAGAAATAATAAAGAATTATTCTTCAAATATTTTTTTTTTTTCAAATTTCAAATATTGAAAAATTTCAAGAAGTAATCTTTAATTGCACAGTATGGCACATTAGATTTTTAAAATCTTTGACCAACATTTATTTATTTGTTATGCCGAATCTAACCGTGTATTTAGATTTTTAATTTTGGGTCCAGTTTTCAAATTGGTCTACATTAAGGTCCAAAGGGTCCAAAATTAAACTTTGTTTGATTTTAACAAAAATTGAATTTATGGGGTTCTTTGATATGCTGAATCTAAACATGTATTTAGATTTTTGATTTTTGGCCCAGTTTTCAAGTTGGTCCAAATTGGGGTCCAAAATTAAACTTTGTTTTATTTCAACAAAAATTGAATATATGGGGTTCTTTGATATGCTGAATCTAACCATGTGTTTAGATTTTTTATTTGTGGACCCCGCTATCAAATTGGTTCATATTGAGGTCAAAAGGGTCCAAAATTAAACTTCGTTTGATTTCATCAAAAATTGAATTATTGGGGTTCTTTGATATGCCAAATCTAACTGTGTATTTAGATTTTTAATTTTGGGTCCTGTTTTTTAAATTTGTCTACATTAAGGTCCAAAGGGTCCAAAATTAAACTTAGTTTGATTTTAACAAAAATTGAATTCTTGGGGTTCTTTGATATGCTGAATCTAAACATGTATTTAGATTTTAGATTTTTGGCCCAGTTTTCAAGTTGGTCCAAATTGGGGTCCAAAATTAAACTTTATTTGATTTCAACAAAAATTGAATATATTGGGTTCTTTGATATGCTGAATCTAACCATGTATTTAGATTTTTGATTTTTGGGCCCCATTATCAACTTTGTCCACATTGAGGTCAAAAGGGTCCAAAATTAAACTTTGTTTGATTTCATCAAAAATTGAATTCTTGGGGTTCTTTGATATGCTGAATCTAACCATGTATTTAGATTTTGGATATTGGACCATAATAGGTGAATGTCCAATTTAAAATTTTTAAGTTCTTAGACCACATTCATTCTGTGTCAGAAACCTATGCTGTGTCAAATATTTAATCACAATCCAAATTCAGAGCTGTATCAAGCTTGAATGTTGTGTCCATACTTGCCCCAACTGTTCAGGGTTCGACCTCTGCGGTCGTATCAAGCTGCACCCTGCGGAGCATTTTATTAATTTTAGTTTCTTGTGTATAATTTGGAGTTTAGTTTGACGTCCATTATCACTGAACTAGTATACATATTTGTTTAGGGGCCAGCTGAAGGACGCCTCTGGGTGCGGGAGTTTCTCGCTGCATTGAAGACCTGTTGGTGGCCTTCGGCTGTTGTCTGCTCTATGGTCGGGTTGTTGTCTCTTTGACACATTCCCCATTTCCATTCTCAATTTTATTGTAAAAAGGGGGGTTTATGTCCATGGCCAAACAGGAAATAAATGGTCATTTCACGAAAAAAGCCCAGCTACTTGTTGCTTTTCATCTGCATTCAGGAAGCATAGTGAATAATGAGCTTCAAACACGAAAAAATGTGAAATAAAAATTGCAACCATGTCGCTCGAAAAATTATAACTCTTTACCATCCGCGTGTCATCATGGTCATAAACGAAGTAGACCTGTCCAATGGAAAAAATGAGGATAGCGGTTTCATCCTGTGGCAGGCTATCACGCTTTTGGTATCCAAATGGACAAACTTTTTTGTCAATCTATGGAACAAGAAAATTCTAAATAGTTTGTGGATATCTATTAATTTTCACTTGACGTCTTTCACGTTTGGATGGATCCATTTCATCTATGAGATGAAAAATCTTAAGGAATTATGGAAAAAAAGAAAACGATCTTGTTGTAATGGAATTTTAACACAGGTTATTATTTGCGTAAACAACATTTGAAGGTCAGTTTTGATTGTCTATATTTGCCAATGGATGTTAAACACCAATCCATCTATGCATCAAGCTGATTGCGAATAGGAATGTTATAAAATATGGTCCAGCAATGTTATGATGTATACAAAAATCAGAAAGAAATTAGTTTTCATGTAAAGAAGGAAGCATGCATATACTCAAGTCTAGAAGTTCTATTGCCTCTTCACCATGTTTATGTGTCAGTTTTTATATTATAGGTAAAATCCTTGATGATGAAAAGAAAATAGCAGAATACAAAATAGAGGAGAAAAACTTTGTGGTTGTTATGGTAACCAAGGTATAAAGTTTATAAAAGTATGATGGAAAAAAATTACTAAATAGAACCTTTGATATTAAGTCTCTTTTCCATCATGTCCATTAAAAAGTTCTAACCAAATAAATCTTTTAAATTTTCTGTTTACATGTATTGCTGGTTCTGTAATAAACATGATTATACAACAATATATAACATTTAATTGTTATAATGAATGAAGAACTGTTTATAATAAGTAATTTTTCAACTGTCTTTTTTTTATAAACAGCCAAAAGCAGCACCAGCTAAACCAGCAGAAACGCCAGCTGCCCCACCCCCTGTTGAAGCAGGTTTAGCTGTTGTGACACCAACACCTACTCCAGCAACACAACCAGAGACGAAACCGGAAGAAAAGAAAGAAGAAACCCCTCCAAGGTGTGTTTACAATTTGTGTTTAACATATCAGAAAACATGTCCAAAAATGAGTATTACCCTTGTAAAATGCATTTCACATCAAATTTATATACATATATTGAACATGAATGTTACCAATATCTCAGTGTAATTGAAAAGAATATCATTTCAAAATTTGTATGCGTGATATCATTTGAAAGTTTGAAATGCAGGGAAATAAATCTTGAAAGAGCACTTATGCTTAGATTTGTGTTTTGCATTTAGATTTATAGTGCTATAGATCTATAAATGGACATAAACAATACTTGAAAAGCTAATTATTCTTTCAATTTTTATCTGAAATGTCTGAATCAACTGCAGTGTTCCAGCTAGGATTTGAAAATAGAGGGGCGCGTTTTTAAAAAAGGGCACTTTAGTGCGTTCTCACTGAAAAAAATCAAATACTTAATATTACCACATAATGACATATTTTTAGCAAGCATGTAGCTAAGTTAAATACTCTATACTATTATATACAAGTTTAAAAATCACTTATTTAGAACATATAAGTAAAAATCAAACTGAGAGCACTAATAGTCATTACTATATTCATTTCTCTTTCAGAACTACAGATTTTTTCAAAGAAGAGTTCAAATGCAAATAAATATTAAACAACATTGACAAGTCTTCTGTTTTTCTTTTTGAAGAAGGTTGTCACACATTGATCAAGAATTTTTTCAAATTTAGTTTCATCACAGTTTAATTTTACAGTTAACATTTTTATACGAAAATTTTGTGGTCGTATATTGGTATGACGTTGGCGTCGTCGTCGTCGCCGTCCGGCGTCGTCGTCGTCGCCGTCCGGCGTCGTCGTCCGAAGACACATTGGTTTTCACACTCTAACTTTAGTTTAAGTGAATGGATCTTTTTGAAATTTGGCCATAAGGTTAAATACCACAAAAGGAAGGTTGGGATTGATTTTAGGGGTTATGGTACCAACAGTTAAGGAATTAGGGGCCAAAAAGGGGCCAAAAATAAGCATTTTCTAGTTTCCAGACAATAACTCTGGAACGGTGTATGGATCTCTCTGAAATTATACTACAAGTTTCCATACCACAAAGGGATGGTTAGGATTTGCTTTGGGGGGGTTATGGCTCAAACCGTTTAGGAATTAGGTGCAAAAAAGGGGGAAATACAGGGTTGTCCTGGTTAATGGACAAATACTTTAGTACAAAACATAATTTAAAGCAGTGTAAGGGAGATAAATCAAATACATCATTGAAATTATCTCCCTTACACTGCTTTTAAATTATGTATAAAGTAATGGTTAATGAACAATAAAGATAATTTAAAACAGTGTAAGGGAGGTAATCCAAATACAACGTTTTGGTTACTTCCCTTACACTGCTTTTAAATTATGTTTAAAGAAATGCATATTTATAAAGGAAGACCAGTAAAAATATCTGCAAATGTTGCATCTTTTTTTTTTACAAAAAAATCCATATGAAAGATTTGACACTATATTTTTAATTCTATTATAAAATAGATTAAGTTAGCACTATGGTAAATTTAAATGGGTAATTATGGTTGCCAACTCCATTGGAAATTTGAATTGAGATTATGACCATATCTTGAGGGAAAGAATTTTTTTGGGGAAAAAAGGGGGGGGGGGATAAAAAGAAATTGTGGGGGGTCAATTTTTTCTCATTTCAGATTTCAGAAATTAAAAAGAATTATTCTTCAAAAAATTTTTTTTTTCAAATTTCAAATATTGAAAAATTTCAAGAAGTCTTTAATTGCACAGTATGGCGCATTAGATTTGTAAAATCTTTGATCACATTTATTTATTTGTTATGCCGAATCTAACAGTGTATTTAGATTTTTAATTTTGGGTCCAGTTTTCAAATTGGTCTACATTAAGGTCCAAAGGGTCCAAAATTAAACTTAGTTTGATTTTAGCAAAAATTGAATATATGAGGTTCTTTGATATGCTGAATCTAAACATGTATTTAGATTTTTGATTTTTGGCCCAGTTTTCAAGTTGGTCCAAATTGGGGTCCAAAATTAAACTTTGTTTGATTTCAACAAAAATTGAATATATGGGGTTCTTTGATATGCTGAATCTAAACATGTATTTAGATTTTTTATTTGTGGACCCCGTTATCAAATTGGTTCATATTGAGGTCAAAAGGGTCCAAAATTAAACTTTACTTGATTTCATCAAAAATTGAATTATTGGGGTTCTTTGATATGCCAAATCTAACCGTGTATTTAGATTTTTAATTTTGGGTCCTGTTTTTTTTAAATTTGTCTACATTAAGGTCCAAAGGATCCAAAATGAAACTTAGTTTGATTTTAACAAAAATTGAATTCTTTGGGTTCTTTGATATGCTGAATCTAAACATGTGTTTAGATTTTTGATTATGGGCCCAGTTTTCAAGTTGGTCCAAGATAGGGTCCAGTATTTAAACTTTGTTTGATCTCAACAAAAATTGAATATATGGGGTTCTTTGATATGCTGAATCTAAACATGTATTTAGATTTTTGATTATGGGCCCAGTTTTCAAGTTGGTCCAAGTTGGGGTCCAAAATTAAACTTTGTTTGATTTCAACAAAAATTGAATATATGAGGTTCTTTGATATGCTGAATCTAACCATGTATTTATATTTTCTATTTGTAGGACCCGCTTTCAAATTGGTTCATATTGAGGTCAAAAGGGTCAAAATTAAACTTTGTTTGATTTCATCAAAAATTGAATTATTGGGGTTCTTTGATATGCCAAATCTAACCGTGTTTTTAGATTTTTAATTTTGGGTCCTGTTTTTTAAATTGGTCTTCATTGAGGTCCAAAGGGTCCAAAATTAAACTTAGTTTGATTTTAACAAAAATTGAATTCTAACAAAAATTGAATTCTTGGGGTTCTTTGATATGCTGAATCTAAACATGTGTTTAGATTTTTGATTATGGGCCCAGTTTTCAAGTTGGTCCAAGTTGGGGTCCAAAATTAAACTTTTTTTGATTTCAACAAAAATTGAATATATGGGGTTCTTTAATATGCTGAATCTAACCATGAATTTAGATTTTTTATTTGTGGGCCCCGCTATCAAATTGGTTCATATTGAGGTCAAAAGGGTCCAAAATTAAACTTTGTTTGATTTCATCAAAAATTGAATTCTTGGGGTTCTTTGATATTCTAAATCTAACCGTGTATTTAGATTTTTTTATTTTAAGTCCCGTTTTTTTTAATTGGTCTACATTAAGGTCCAAAGGGTCCAAAATTAAACTTAGTTTGATTTTAGCAAAAATTGAATTCTTGGGGTTCTTTGATATGCTGAATCTAAACATGTGTTTAGAATTTTGATTATGGGCCCAGTTTTCAAGTTTGTCCAAGTTGGGGTCCAAAATCAAACTTTGTTTGATTTTAACAAAAATTGAATATATGGGGTTCTTTGATATGCTGAATCTAACCATGTATTTTGATTTTGGACATTGGACCATAATAGGTAAATTAAAAAAATTCAAGTTCTTAGACCACATTCTTTCTGTGTCAGAAACCTATGCTGTGTCAAATATTTAATAACAATCCAAATTCAGAGCTGTATCAAGCTTGAATGTTGTGTCCATATTTGCCCCAACTGTTCAGGATTCGACCTCTGCGGTCGTATCAAGCTGCGCCCCAGCGAAGCATTTTATTGTTAATGTCTGTGTTTTCAAGTTTGCCCTGTGACTTGTCTTTATCAGTTTGACCTGAGAGAATATTCTCTCCACTCTGCTGTACTGAGTGGTTGTATTATTGCAACACTGAATAGTTTTGCAACAAGAGAGTACATATATAATAGGTTTTTATCCTTATGACAAGGTGAATGAAATAGCTCTAGCAGACTAGGTAAGGAACGATCTGTAAGTTCTGCTGATGACGCAAGAGCTATAAAGTCCTGCCATTGAATAAGGAGAGTTTCAGGGTCCATGTCAAATGTATTTGCCAGAGCTTCTATCTCTGTATAACCATACATTGTTTCAATTTTGTCTGTTCCTGTAAGGTCTAAAATGGCCAACTGATCGATTGTGTCAGCATCTTAAAATCTAACTGTTATATTTAAGTATTTAAGTTTGTTAATTCAACTTTGAAAGTTTATTATCAATTCAACAAGCATCTCCGTATATTTCATGTTGAGCGTATCTAATAATATCAATAAGTTTGTCAAAACGGATTTCAATAAGAAAATTGATACAAAAATCTGACTTTCGAGAGCTCCGTAATCGTCACAATAATAAATTAATTCAACTTTGAAAGTTCATTATCAATTCAACAAGAATCTCCGTATATTTCATGTTGAGCGTATCTAATAATATCAATAAGTTTGTCAAAACGGATTTCAATTTAAGAAAAATGATATAAAAATTGGACTTTCGAGTGCTCCGTAATCGGCGGAATTTACAATAGAAGAACAATTGCAATATCTGATAGAAACCTTTCTTCTTCTCGATTTTTCATAAAAGTAAAGAATTAAATTATTTTTTTACCTTTGATGGTCATATTCTTGGCAAGTCTTTGATATTTTCTTCTTGTCATTTTCGAGTTGGTCAATTTTTCTTTTTTTCGTCGGCATTTTGTGTGTTGACGATTTACAATATACTATTGGAATGATTCTTTTTTAATGAACGTTATTTTATAAATAACAAATACAATAGAAATGAACATCGTTCACATTTATTTTATAATTTCTATTTTGCATCGTCAAGTGTTAAAAAATCAATTCATTTAACTTGGATGTTTGGTGCTTCAGGGCAAAGGGATTAGACAGGGTCGTAAATTTCACCTGATTTAAGTAATTGACTCTAATCAAATAGGTGATTATATACAGGTAACAAGTGTCAACAATTTTAATCTGTTGTCTTAATGAAGTGTGTGTATAAAGAACTCAACAAAATGGCGACGATATGAGGAAAAAAGATCGTTTTTAAAACTTTTTTCAAAAGGGCACAGAGGGGCACATCAGAAGGGCAGAGGGGCGCAAAATTTTGGGGGCGGGGCGCGGCGCCCCTCCATTTCATGCTAGCTGGAACACTGAACTGATTAGATATTTAGCATACAGTCAAGAAAAGTCACTGATTTGAGTTTTGTTCGGGTTGAACAATTTTTGATTCAGCCATGCTGGATCTATGTGATCACTCCGGATTTGGAGATGGTGCAGAATTCTAAGTTGAAGATATATAATGAATGACTTTCAGATACTTTATACACCATATTGATCATTTATTGCCAACTTTTGAAATGTTATTTTCCCTTAAATTAAGAAAAGATTGGTTGAACAGCTACTTTATTTTATATATACACTTGCATATAGTGCCTTTAGAAAGCAAAATTTTTAATAAATTACTGTTTATTAATTAATGTGAAAAAGTAATATATATAATTTAAGCAGTTGATGAGAATTATGGAAGTATTTTATCAGTATCTTATGCTTGTGTAAGTAATTGAATACATTTGGTACAAGATGTGTTTATTGATATTAAAGTTGATTCCCACCCTTTTTAAATGTTTTTATTCCAATTCTTTTCTTAGGCAAATAAGAGTACTGCTACAATACAGTATGATGAACAACTGTCATTATTTACAAAAAAATTCACTCAAAGGTGAAAGTATAAATTGGAATCACCTCCACTTTAATGCCAATCTTAATTGACCACAGTTAATACCGGTATCTCTTGTATTACATAATTGAATACATAATTGAATAGACCTCAATAAAATTGAGAATGGAAATGGGGAATGTGTCAATAGTAGACCTATAATCGCTTTTGATCTATACTACATAAAATTATTCTGTAAATTATTTCTCCGAGATGAATGATTATAGATAAAAAATATGCATTTTTTAGCAAAGAAAAGACAAAAACAAAATATGTGTGAAATAATGCAAGCAGGGTCTATTTTACTTGTAAAATCAGTGTTATAATCATCTGATTTTAGTCAATAATTTATTTTAATTTAAGTTACAATTATATTATCATTAATTATCTCGAAACAATAAACAAAATTGCATAACTCTAACCTGGGGATTTTCTTCAATCAAATTAATTTGTTTATTTCCCATTATATTGCTATTTAACAGTGTAAGGTATTGTACATGTATATTTGAATACAGGAAATTATTTTTTCTCAAGGAAGAAGGAACACCAATTTAAATAAAAATTAGTTATTTGATCTTTGTTGTTGAAAAAGTGCATTTTCAATGCCTCTTTTCTGAAATCATTAAGTCAAACTTCAATAAAAAATATACAATACCTTCCTTTGAAGATTTCTTTTTCAAATCAATACCCCTTCCAAAAATTGAAATATAAAAAATAAAATGCTTCGTTGAGCGCAGCCTGATACGACCGCAGTGGTCGAACCCTGAACAGTTGGGGCAAATTTGGATACAATATTCAAGCTTGATACTATCTGAATTTGGATTGTGATTAAATTTTTGACATAATATAGGTTTCTGACACAAAATAAATGTGGTCAAAGATCTTACAAATCTAATGCGCAATACTGTGCAATTGAAGATTTCTTCTTGAAACTTTTCAAAAATTTGAAATTTTGAAAATTTTGAAAAACAAATATGAATCCTTTTAAAAAAAAAATGAAAACCCCCCCTTCCCCCATAAACTTTTTGAATTCCCATTTTAGCATTAGCCATCAAACTCAATTGCAGTCTTTCCTTTGTAGTATGGAACCTTGTAGTACAATTTTAAAGAGATCCATACACTTAATCACAAGTTACTGTCTGGAAACTAGTAAAATGCCTTTTTTTTACCATAAAAGCCCATTTAAATACATCATAAAAGTATTAAAATAGAAAATGACATCATAGTCATGGCTAAAATGAAAAACCTTCATCAGCAACTTTCAATAGTAATATCTAAAAATAAAATTCCTTCATCAACATTTAAAAGTAACTTCTAAAAATAAATTGACAACTAGGACTTTGCAACCATAAAAACCCATTTAAATACATCATAAAAGTATTAAAATAGAAAATGACATCATAATCATGCCTAAAATTAAAACACTTTCATCAGCAACATTAAATAGTAATATCTAAAAATAAAATTCCTTCACATACATTATCATGGCTAAAATTAAATAATTTTTAAAATAGAAAATGACATCATAATATTGCCTAAAATTAAAAAGCCTCCATCGGCAACATTAAATAGTAATATCTAAAAATAAAATTCCTTCACGTACATAATCATGGCTATAATTAAATTACCTTTATTAAACATTTTTAAAATAGTAACTTCTAAAAATAAATTGACAGCTAATCACCTAAAGACAATACATTTCTTTATAAATAATTTACAAGCAGTGTAAGGGAGGTAATTTGATAATATATGTTTGAATTACCTCCCTTACACTGCTTTAAAATTATGTTTTGTGCTTATGTAATTGTCCATTAACCTGGAAACCCTTGTTTTTCCCCTTTTTTTGCCCCTAATTCCTAAACTGTTTGAGCCATAACCCCCCAAAGCAAATTCTTACCATCCCTTTGTGATATGGTAACTTGTATAATTTCAGAGAGATCCATACACCATTTCACAAGTTATTGTCTGGAAACTAGAAAAATGCTTATTTGGGCCCCATTTTGGCCCCTAATTCCTAAACTGTTAGGACCATAACCCCCAAAATCAATCCCAGCCTTCCTGTTGTGGTCATAAACCTTATGGTTAAATTTCATAGAAATCCATACACTTAAACAAAAGTAAAATATCCGGAAACCAATGTGTCTTCGGACGACGACGTGATACCAAAAAAAGACCGCAAAATTTTTGCGGCCGTAGAAAACTGTATCAAAATTGAGAAATTCTCTTTGGCCAATTGAATACAATTTTTATAGTAAGATTATGGAAATGAAATTAAATGATTCCAAGATAAGTAAGAACAATTGCATACCTATGTTTAAAAATAGAAATATTCCCAAAAGCAACCATTTACGAGTAAATTTAGGGAGACAAGCTTGTGTTATCAACTGAAAAAACCCAATTATCTTTCTGAAATTAATGCAAGAGTGATATATTATCAAGTTTTTGTTTTGTTTACCACGATACCTGAGATTATGATATTATGCACACAACTATTCCGGTCTTTCCATCAGTGATTTCAATCACTTTGATACCATAGAAGAAGTACATTTTTATTGAGAATTTCATAAACTGAAAGGGGTGATTTAGAAAAAGGAAAATAATACGGTTTATTTTTTAGTGAAATAATAATGAAAATGATAATGTTTAACATTCAATCCAAGTGTGGTCTGTTTTTTTTTAAACATAATATTTGATTGTCCCTTGGTTACTTCTCTTTTTAAACACAAATTAACATTTTGAGCCAAAATAACTTATCCAAAGTTGTGATGGTTGTCTCTAAATATCTTACAAGAGCTTGTATAAATTCTTTTTAATTAAAAATGAGATCAGAAAAAATGTTGGTCTATCGGCCGTAGCGAAACAAATGGCTGAATCACAGCACCGACGATGCTTTGATTAGTGTAAACTTATCCAATGTTCCTGCTTGATAGGGAGCTTGTATTGCAAATGTAATACCCTCAAACATGTCAAATGCATTTAGGTTTATGCTATTATGCAATTCTTTTCGAACATTTCATTAACTTATATGTTTAAAGATTTGTTTCAAGCAGTTTTGATGGAATAATAAAAAGTAAAGAAGAATTGATTGTTAGATGTTTGATTGTGTCCTTATTGAAGAAAACTGCCTCCAAATCTGTTTGTATAATAAGCCATCTCTTAGAATTTCTAAGTGTACTTAAATGTTTCTATGATGATCTTGGAAACAAAAACTGAATATTCACATATGTTTAAAATTGGCTTGATAACAGTATTTTAATTATTAAATTTCAGTACTACCACAGAGTCTTCACCTGCTCCTCCAGCAACAACAACAACCACTACAGCTACTACAGCAGCAGGTTTAGCTGAAGCTGTTTCATTGGCATCTGCAGAAAGTGCTCTAGTTACAGGACAGCAATATGAAAATATGGTTACAGAATTAATGAGTATGGGCTTTGAAAGAGAACAAGTACTTAGAGCACTGAGAGCTAGTTTCAACAATCCAGACAGAGCTGTAGAATATTTGTTAGGGGTAAATATATAATGTCATGTATATATGCTGGGTGTCACATGTGGAGCAGGATCTGTTAACCATTTGGGAGCACCTGAGATCACGCCCTGATTTTGGTAGGGTTCTTGTTGCTCAGTCTTTCGTTTTCAATGTTGAATTTTACATACTGCTGTTTGTCTTTTGATCCTTTTTAGGTTTTTGCAATGGCATTATTATCAGTTTGTTTTTGACTTATGAGTTTGTATGTCCCTTTGGTATCTTTTGCCTCTCTTATATATTTTTGAGCTTGACTGTAGATTTCTTTTTATGCCTTGTCAAAATATGATCATTGTAAATAGGTTCATCCATATCTCTCATTCCGAAATAATTTTCTGTTCTGAATTTACTTGCAAATATTGAGTAATTATTTTTTTGAAAATTGTACTTTTCAATATTGCCGATATTGATCTGATTTTTGTACAGTGCAGTGGGTTGTTTTTGCAGTATGCTACTATTTGTCTATTTAAATGGTGTCATGAAATTCACTTAAAAAAAATTAAAATGTACATTGTGAAAATAATAGTTTTTCTGCTGAGAGATCTTTTTGTGGATTTCAAGATTTTTGTGGATTTCGTGGGTATAGGTGAACCACAAATTTAGATGTTCAACGAATTGCAAATTTTCTATAGAAATCCACAAAATCAAATATTCACGAAAACACAGGCATTCATCAATCCACAAAAATTGGTACCCACGAAAATAAATGAATCCACAGTTATAGCTCTTGGGGTAGACAACTTCAATGAAATACAAGTCTTACATGTCCTGTGTTCTGTCAGCATTTTTATACGACCGCAAAAATTGAAAATTTTTTGGTCGTATATTGGTATGACGTTGGCGGCGTCGTCGTCGTCGTCGTCGTCGTCTGGCGTCGTCCGGCATCGTCCGAAGACACATTGGTTTTCGCACTCTAACTTTAGTTTAAGTGAATGGATCTCCATGAAATTTTACCATAAGGTTCAATACCACAAAAGGAAGGTTGGGATTGATTTTAGGGGTTATGGTACCAACAGTTAAGGAATTAGGGGCCAAAAAGGGGCCAAAAATAAGCATTTTTGTAACTTCCAGACAATAACTTGTGTGTAAGTGTATGGATCTCTCTGACATTGTACCACAAGGTTCCATATCACAAAGGGAAGGCTGTAATTGATTTTGGGGGTAATTGCCTCAAAATTTTAGGAATTAGGGGCCAAAAAAGGGGCAAAAAACAAGCATTTTTCTAGTTTCATGACAATAACTTGTGTGTAAGTGTTTGGATATTTCTGAAATTGTACTACAAGGTTCTATATCACAAAGGGAAAGCTGGAATTGAGTTTGGGGGTAATTGCCTGAAACGTTTAGGAATTGGGGGCCAAAAAGGGGCCAAAAATAAGCATTTTTCTAGTTTCCAGACAATAACTTGTGTTCAAGTGTATGGATCTCTCTGAAATTGTACTGCAAGGTACCATACCACAAAGGGAAGGCTGGGATTGAGTTTGGGGGTGATGAATCATAAGGGGGTTCAAAAAATTTGGGGGGGGGATTTTTTTTTTTTCTTTTTTTTTCTTTTTTTCCTTTTTTTTTTCTTTTAAATTTTTCCATTTTAAGTTGGTTATTTCTGATTAATATTTAAAAGCAAATAATAATGATATGGTAGGAGATACACACCAAACAGGATGTGTAAATTATTATATAATAAGTATTGTGCAATAGCAAGAAATTTTCAATTACACAGTATTGCACAATTGCAAGAAATCTTCAATTGCACAGTATTGCGCAATAGCAAGAAATCTTCAATTGCACAGTATTGCGCAATAGCAAGAAATATCCAATAGCACAATATTGCGCAATAGCAAGAAATTGTCAATTGTACAGTATTGCACAATAGCAAGAAATATTCAATTGCACAGTATTGTGCAAAAGAAGATACTTCGTATAAATTGCTTATTTCTTGATCAATTCCAATGGGGTTTTATTCTTGAATTCTTGGGGTTCTTAAATATGCTGAATCTAACCGTGTATTAAGTTTTTGGATTTTGGGCCCCGTTTTTAAATTGGTCCACATTGAGGTCCAAAGGGTCCAAAATTTAACTTTGTTTGATTTCATCAAAAATTGAATTATTGATGTTCTTTGATATGCCGAATCTAACCGTGTATTTAGATTCTTAATTTTTGGTTCCGTTTTCAAATTGGTCTACATTAAGGTCAAAAGGGTCCAAAATTAAACTTAGTTTGATTTTAACAAAAATTGAATTTTTAGGGTTCTTTGATATGCTGAATCTAAACATGTATTTAGATTTTTTATTATGGGCCCAGTTTTCAAGTTGGTCCAAATCGGGGTCCAAAATTAAACTTTGTTTGATTTCAACAAAAATTGAATATATGGGGTTCTTTGATATGCTGAATCTAACCATGTGTTTAGATTTTTGATTTTTGGGCCCCGTTATCAACTTTGTCCACATTGAGGTCAAAAGGGTCCAAAATTAAACTTTGTTTGATTTCATCAAAAATTGAATATATGGGGTTCTTTGATATGCTGAATCTAAACATGTATTTAGTTTTTAGATTTTTGGCCCAGTTTTCAAGTTGGTCCAAATTGGGGTCCAAAATTAAACTTTGTTTGATTTCAACAAAAATTGAATATATGGGGTTCTTTGATATGCTGAATCTAACCATGTATTTAGATTTTTGATTTTTGGGCCCCGTTATCAACTTTGTCAACATTGAGGTTAAAAGGGTCCAAAATTAAACTTTGTTTGATTTCATCAAAAATTGAATTCTTGGGGTTCTTTGATATGCTGAATCTAACCATGTATTTAGATTTTTTATTTGTGGACCCGCTATCAAATTGGTTCATATTGAGGTCAAAAGGGTCCAAAATTAAACTTTGTTTGATTTCATCAAAAATTGAATTATTGGGGTTCTTTGATATGCCAAATCTAACCGTGTATTTAGATTTTTAATTTTGGGTCCCGTTTTTAAATTGGTCTACATTAAGGTCCAAAGGGTCCAAAATTAAACTTAGTTTGATTTTAACAAAAATTGAATTCTTGGGGTTCTTTGATATGCTGAATCTAAACATGTGTTTAGAATTTTGATTATGGGCCCAGTTTTCAAGTTGGTCCAAGTTGGGGTCCAAAATTAAACTTTGTTTGATTTCAACAAAAATTGAATATATGGGGTTCTTTGATATGCTGAATCTAAACATGTATTTAGATTTTAGATTTTTGGCCCAGTTTTCAAGTTGGTCCAAATTGGGGTCCAAAATTAAACTTTGTTTGATTTCAACAAAAATTGAATATATGGGGTTCTTTGATATGCTGAATCTTACAATGTATTTAGATTTTTTATTTGTGAGCCCACTATCAAATTGGTTCATATTGAGGTCAAAAGGGTCCAAAATTAAACTTTGTTTGATTTCATCAAAAATTTAATTATTGGGGTTCTTTGATATGCCAAATCTAACTGTGTATTTAGATTTTTAATTTTGGGTCCCGTTTTTTAAATTGGTCTACATTAAGGTCCAAAGGGTCCAAAATTAAACTTAGTTTGATTTTAACAAAAATTGAATTTGTGGGGTTCTTTGATATGCTGAATCTAAACATGTGTTTAGATTTTTGATTATGGAACCAGTTTTCAAGTTGGTCCAAGTTGGGGTCCAAGATTAAACTTTGTTTGATTTCAACAAAAATTGAATATATGGGGTTCTTTGATATGCTGAATCTAAACATGTATTTAGATTTTAGATTTTTGGCCCAGTATTCAAGTTGGTCCAAATTGGGGTCCAAAATTAAACTTTGTTTGATATCAACAAAAATTGAATATATGGGGTTCTTTGATATGCTGAATCTTACCATGTATTTAGATTTTTATTTTGTAGGCCCGCTATCAAATTGGTTCATATTGTGGTCAAAAGGGTCCAAAATTAAACTTTGTTTGATTTCATCAAAAATTGAATTATTGGGGTTCTTTGATATGCCAAATCTAACTGTGTTTTTAGATTTTTTAATTTTGGGTCCCGTTTTTTAAATTGGTCTACATTTAGGTCCAAAGGGTCCAAAATTAAACTTAGTTTGATTTTAACAAAAATTGAATTCTTGGGGTTCTTTGATATGCTGAATCTAAACATGTGTTTAGATTTTTGATTATGGGACCAGTTTTCAAGTTTGTCCAAGTTGGGGTCCAAAATTAAACTTTGTTTGATTTCAACAAAAATTGAATATATGGGGTTCTTTGATATGCTGAATCTAACCATGTATTTTGATTTTGGACATTGGACCATAATAGGTAAATTAAAAAAATTGAAGTTCTTAGACCACATTCTTTCTGTGTCAGAAACCTATGCTGTGTCAAATATTTAATCACAATCCAAATTCAGAGCTGTATCAAGCTTGAATGTTGTGTCCATACTTGCCCCAACTGTTCAGGGTTCGACCTCTGCGGTCGTATCAAGCTGCGCCCAGCGAAGCATTTTATTAGCATATATGTAGCTATTTTTTTTGTAATTAGAAGATTAAGATTGTTTATAAGTGTCACTATGGTTAAAATGCTTTTTGTGTTATTTCAGGTAAGGCTGGATTTGAGGAACCCTTGTCTAATTATTTTTAGTGGGTTTTTATGAAAGGTTTTCTTTAATCAAATGATTGCAAATATAATATTTAACTACAGTTACATGATTTTCAGCAACATTATTGATAGTAAATCTCCCAAAAGGATCAGCTGGGAACAGGGGAATCATCTGCCTATTAATTGTAATTTTGGAGCTCAAATGGTTGCAAATGAAAGCAATATCATACTGAATGGAGTTTCAAAAATAGATTTCTGCATTTGTGTTTTTATGTTCCTTTCAAGTGTAACCATGATCTTTTTTGAACACAGATACCATTAGATAAAGTCACAAAAAAATCTTCTTTTTTTGCAAGTTAGATAGCAAGGATTACCACCAAGACAATTATTTTTCCTTGCTTGCCATATATTTAACTGAATTTGTATCCTTTGAACAAAACAACAAGGCCAATTGTTAGTGAAAAGATTGATGACACACTTTCAATGATTATTTCTTCAATGATTATTTGATATCAAATGTTATTTTAGCACAAAATTCTCTCAAAAACATTATTTCATTTCTTACCTACTGGATAAAAGAAACTGAAACAAAGTTTGGGAGTGTTTGAACATTGCATCAGTTGCCATCTGTGTATTCATGTAATTCAGCCAAAATATAAATGCTTGTAACTTTAATTTTTTGCTAAATTACTTATTTGTGTTTTATTTACTGTAACATATACCGGTAACAACTTGCTATCTTTTAGGGCATTCCTGATGTACAAGAACCTGCACAACCAGTAGCACCTTTATCACAACAACCTACTTCTGCTACAGGAGCACTGCCTGCCACAACTGGAGCACCATCAGCGTCCCTAGGAGCACCACCTCCAGCTGCTGCAGGGGCTCCTCCTACTTTAACAGGAGGACAAGCAAGCACTGGTATTGACAATTTTATTTACAAAAAACTAATAAGCAAGGACATTGTAATAGGCATCTGGAGATGGAAAAAAATCCAGGAAATCCCTCAAACTACAACTGGTCTTTACATGAATATAGGGTGTTATTTTTGTCTAGCATGGGGAAAATGACCAAAACATAGATTACAATTCTTCTTGATAGAAATTTTGTCAGTTTTTTAGCATTCTATAACTGATTGAAATAAGATTATTATGCTTTATATTTTCTTTATCAATTGGAAAATATGCAGGTCAACACCTATTGCCCTGGTATTGTCTGTCTTTCTCAACTTACAATGGCTTATTGCCCCTTGTATGTTCCCCCCTTTTTAGCTCACCTGGCCCAAAGGGCCAAGTGAGCTTTTCTCATCACTTGTCGTCCGTCGTCGGCGTTGCCTTTTTACATTTAGAACTTCTTCTAGAGAACCACTGAATGGAATGAAAGCAAACATGGCATGAATGTCCCTTATGAGGTGCTCACCAAGTGTTGTTACTTTGTAGCCGATCCATCATCCAAGATGGCCACCAGCGGGGGATTTAGTTTAACATAGGACCCTATGGGAAATGCATACAAATGACTTCTTTTAGAGAACCACTGAATGGAATGAAACCAAACATGGCATGAATGTTCCTTATGAGGTGCTCACCAAGTGTTGTTACTTTGTAGCCGATCCATCATCCAAGATGGCCGCCAGCGGGGGACTTAGTTTAACATAGGACCCTATGGGAAATGCATACAAATGACTTCTTTTAGAGAACCACGGAATGGAATAAAACCAAACATGGCATGAATGTTCCTTATGAGGTGCTGACCATGTGTTGTTACTTTGTAGCCGATCCATCATCCAAGATGGCCGCCATCGGGGAACTTAGTTTAACATAGGACCCCATGGGAAATACATACAAATGTCTTCTTTTAGAGAACCACTGAATGGAATGAAACCAAACATGGCATGAATGTTCCTTATGAGGTGCTGACCAAGTGTTGTTACTTTGTAGGCGATCCATCATCCAAGATGGCCGCCAGCGGGGGACTTAGTTTAACATAGGACCCTATGGGAAATACATAAAAATGTCTTCTTTTAGAGAACCACTGAATGGAATGGAACCAAACATGGCATGAATGTTCCTTATGAGATGCTGACCAAGTGTTGTTACTTTGCAGTCGGTCCATCATCCAAGATGGCCGCCAGCAGGGGACTTAGTTTAACATAGGACCCTATGGGAAATACATACAAATGTCTTCTTTTAGAGAACCACTGAATGGAATGAAACCAAACATGGCATGAATGTTCCTCATGAGGTTCTGACCAAGTGTTGTTACTTTGTAGCCGATCCATCATCCAAGATGGCCGCCAGCGGGGGACTTAGTTTAACATAGGACCCTATGGGAAATACATACAAATGTCTTCTTTTAGAGAACCACTGAATGGAATGAAACCAAACATGGCATGAATGTTCCTTATGAGGTGCTGACCAAGTGTTGTTACTTTGCAGTCGGTCCATCATCCAAGATGGCCGACAGCAGGGGACTAAGTTTAACAAAGGACCTATGGGAAATACATACAAATGTCTTCTCTTAGAGAACCACTGAATGGAATGAAACCAAACATGGCATGAATCTTCCTTATGAGATGCTGACCAAGTGTTGTTACTTTGTAGCCGATCCATCATCCAAGATGGCTGCCAGCGGGGGACTTAGTTTTACATAGGACCCTTTGGGAAATACATAAAAATGTCTTCTTTTAGAGAACCAATAAATGGAATGGAACCAAACATGGCATGAATGTTCCTTATGAGATGTTGACCAAGTGTTGTTACTTTGCAGCCGATCCATCATCCAAGATGGCCGACAGCAGGGGACTTAGTTTAAGATAGGACCCTATGGGAAATACATACAATTGTCTTCTTTTAGAGAACCACTGAATGGAATTGAACCAAACATGGCATGAATGTTCCTTATGAGTTGCTGACCAAGTGTTGTTACTTTGCAGTCGGTCCATCATCCAAGATGGCTGCTAGGGGGGGGGGGGGGCTTAGTTTAACATAGGACCCTATGGGAAAAACATACAAATGTCTTCTTTTAGAGTACCACTGAATGGAATGAAACCAAACATGGCATGAATGTTCCTTATGAAGTGCTGACCAAGTGTTGCTACTTTGTTGCCGATTTACTGTTCAAGATGGCCACCAGGATATTTTATTAAATAACGGGACCAATATTAATCAAAATTTGGCCTCAATCATTATTTGGGTATCTGTTATGATTTTTATACGACCGCAAAAAAATTTTGTGGTCGTATATTGGTATGACGTTGGCGTCGTCGTCGTCCGAATACATATTGGTTTTCGCACTCTAACTTTAGTTTAAGTGAATGGATCTTTTTGAAATTTGACCATAAGGTTAAATACCACAAAAGGAAGGTTGGGATTGATTTTGGGGGTTATGGTACCAACAGTTAAGGAATTAGGGGCCAAAAAGGGGCCAAAAATGAGCATTTTCTAGTTTCCAGACAATAACTGTGGAACGGTGTATGGATCTCTCTGAAATTATACTACAAGTTTCCATACCACAAAGGGATGGTTAGGATTTGCTTTGGGGGGTTATGGCTCAAACCGTTTAGGAATTAGGGGCAAAAAAGGGGGAAAAACAAGGTTGTCCTGGTTAATGGACAAATACTTTAGTACAAAACATAATTTAAAGCAGTGTAAGGGAGATAAATCAAATACATCATTGAAATTATCTCCCTTACACTGCTTTTAAATTATGTATAAAGTAATGGTTAATGAACAATAAAGATAATCTAAAACAGTGTAAGGGAGGTAATCCAAATACAACGTTTTGGTTACTTCCCTTACACTGCTTTTAAATTATGTTTAAAGAAATGCATATTTATAAAGGAAGACCAGTAAAAATATCTGCAAATGTTTTCATCTTTTTTTTTTCAAAAAAATCCATATGAAAGATTTGACACTATATTTTTATTAATTCTATTATAAAATAGATTAAGTTAGCACTATGGTAAATTTAAATGGGTAATTATGGTTGCCAACTCCATTGGAAATTTGAATTGAGATTATGACCATATCTTGAGGGAAAGAATTTTTTTTGGGGAAAAAGGGGGGGGGGGATAAAAAGAAATTGTGGGGGGCCAATTTTTTCTCATTTCAGATTTCAGAAATTAAAAAGAATTATTCTTCAAATATTATTTTTTTTTCAAATTTCAAATATTGAAAAATTTCAAGAAGTAATCTTTAATTGCACAGTATGGCGCATTAGATTTGTAAAATCTTTGATCACATTTATTTATTTGTTATGCCGAATCTAACAGTGTATTTAGATTTTTAATTTTGGGTCCAGTTTTCAAATTGGTCTACATTAATGTCCAAAGGGTCCAAAATTAAACTTTGTTTGATTTTAGCAAAAATTGAATATATGAGGTTCTTTGATATGCTGAATCTAAACATGTATTTAGATTTTTGATTTTTGGCCCAGTTTTCAAGTTGGTCCAAATTGGGGTCCAAAATTAAACTTTGTTTGATTTCAACAAAAATTGAATATATGGGGTTCTTTGATATGCTGAATCTAACCATGTATTTAGATTTTTTATTTGTGGACCCCGTTATCAAATTGGTTCATATTGAGGTCAAAAGGGTCCAAAATTAAACTTTGTTTGATTTCATCTAAAATTGAATTATTGGGGTTCTTTGATATTCCAAATCTAACCGTGTATTTAGGTTTTTAATTTTGGGTCCTGTTTTTTAAATTGGTCTACATTGAGGTCCAAAGGGTCCAAAATTAAACTTAGTTTGATTTTAACAAAAATTAAATTCTTGGGGTTCTTTGATTTGCTGAATCTAAACATGTGTTTAGATTTTTGATTATGGGCCCAGTTTTCAAGTTGGTCCAAGATAGGGTCCAGTATTTAAACTTTGTTTGATTTCAACAAAAATTGAATATATGGGGTTCTTTGATATGCTGAATCTAAACATGTATTTAGATTTTAGATTATGGGCCCAGTTTTCAAGTTGGTCCAAATTGGGGTCCAAAATTAAACTTTGTTTGATTTCAACAAAAATTGAATATATGAGGTTCTTTGATATGCTGAATCTAACCATGTATTTAGATTTTTTATTTGTAGGCCCCGCTATCAAATTGGTTCATATTGAGGTCAAAAGGGTCCAAAATTAAACTTTGTTTGATAACATCGAAAATTGAATTATTGGGGTTCTTTGATATGCCAAATCTAACCGTGTTTTTAGATTTTTAATTTGGGTCCCGTTTTTTAAATTGGTCTTCATTGAGGTCCAAAGGGTCCAAAATTAAACTTAGTTTGATTTTAACAAAAATTGAATTCTTGGGGTTCTTTGATATGCTGAATCTAAACATGTATTTAGATTTTTGATTATGGGCCCAGTTTTCAAGTTGGTCCAAGTTGGGGTCCAAAATTAAACTTTTTTTGATTTCAACAAAAATTGAATATATGGGGTTCTTTGATATGCTGAATCTAACCATGAATTTAGAATTTTTATTTGTGGGCCCCGCTATCAAATTGGTTCATATTGAGGTCAAAAGGGTCCAAAATTAAACTTTGTTTGATTTCATCAAAAATTGAATTATTGGGGTTCTTTGATATTCCAAATCTAACCGTGTATTTAGATTTTTAATATTAAGTCCCGTTTTTTAAATTGGTCTACATTAAGGTCCAAAGGGTCCAAAATTAAACTTAGTTTGATTTTAGCAAAAATTGAATTCTTGGGGTTCTTTGATATGCTGAATCTAAACATGTGTTTAGATTTTTGATTATGGGCCCAGTTTTCAAGTTTGTCCAAGTTGGGGTCCAAAATTAAACTTTGTTTGATTTTAACAAAAATTGAATATATGGGGTTCTTTGATATGCTGAATCTAACCATGTATTTTGATTTTGGACATTGGACCATAATAGGTAAATTAAAAAAATTCAAGTTCTTAGACCACATTCTTTCTGTGTCAGAAACCTATGCTGTGTCAAATATTTAATAACAATCCAAATTCAGAGCTGTATCAAGCTTGAATGTTGTGTCCATACTTGCCCCAACTGTTCAGGGTTCGACCTCTGCGTTCGTATCAAGCTGCGCCCCAGCGAAGCATTTTATTATCTATCTTTACATGATTTCTAAAACCAAAGTAGAGTCAGGTGAGCGACACAGGCTCTTGAGAGCCTCTAGTTTGTATCGCCTTGACGGAGTCAAAAAGCGAGACATAGGTATTTGTGTCTGGCTGCGTCAGCGTCAACAATGTACAAGTTTGTGATTAGGTCTAGTTTATGGTGAACCACTAGTGGTAGGTCAATGATATTAGGTATGTAGTTGTATTAACATTGGCACATCTCATTTTCAAGGAGATTATTTGGCCCTGCCCCCTCAGTCATGGTCTATTGACTGAAACTTTTGCTTAGTTTACATGTATTAGTTTGTGATTAGGTCAGTTTATGGGGAACCACTATTGGTAGGTCAATGATATTTGGTATGTAGTTGTATAATTATTGGCACATCTCATTTCCATGGAGATTGTTGGGGCCCTGTACCTTCAGTCATGGTTCATTGACTTTGAATATTTTGCATAACTTGCATGTTAAAGTATTGCTATTTTAATTTCAACATTTGCATTTTCTATCAAAATAACAAAAAGGCGAGACACATCTGCGTGGGAAAAATTGGTTGATTATTTAGGAAATCACTTTAGCATGACTGGAGCGGGCCCCTCTTATGCAGTCAGTGGGCCCCCTTCTGAAAATTTCTGGATCTGCCACTGTAACTTACATGTTAAAGCATTGCTATTTTTATTTCAACATTTGCATAATCAAAATTACAAAAAGGTGTTAACAGTTTATTTATTATACGCCTGTTTACGGGATGTATTAAGGTATACCTTTGTCCATCTGTCCATCCGTCGTAAACATGTCGGACAATTACTCAAAAACGCTTTATTCAATTTGCATGAAACTTTGGTGAATTGTTGATATCTATTGACGTGAGCTCCCTTTCGATTTTTATAAATTTTAGATTTTACGTTTCCGAGTTATGGGGTGTTATTTATTAAAAAAGGGGGGATTTTCCAGTTTTCAGACGATAACTCAAAAATGCTTTGAGCAGTTTTCATGAAACTTTGGTGAATTGTTTATGTCTATTAAAATAACCTCCCTTTAGTTTTTTTAATAAATTTCTGATATGACATTGAATAGTTATGGAACTTTATTCTTTGATAAAGCGACGGGGGTATCATGTGCTCATGGAGCAACTCTTTATTTAAATGTAGTAAAAACTATTCGTTGTATGTCCAATACTAATTTCAGTTAAGACAGTTTTCAAGTCCATACAGGGTTTGGTTTTGTAGGCTTTGCAACAAAAAAAGTGTGAAATATAAAAAAACTGAATGAATATTATGGTGAAATCAATAAAAGAAATGATAAAATTTAAGTTTTATTATTATCTTTGAATTTCTAGAAACATTTGATTTATAACTATAAAATAATCTGTTGTAAATTTTCAGAAGATTTTGAAATGTTTGAAGGTAAGGTTTTGAAAAAAATATTATGTTGACATGTTAAAGCATTATTATTGGGGCCATATAAATTATGGCTTATTAAGTGTATTTTGATATAAGTTATTTGTCTCATTTTGACGGAGTCAAAAAGCAAGACAAAGGTGATGGCAGCAGCTGCATCGTCAACAATGAATTAGCTTGTGATTAGGCCAGTTTATGAGAAACCACTAGTGGTTGGTCAATGATATTTGGTATGCAGTTGTATTAACACTGGCACATCCTATTTCCATGAAGTTTATTTGGCCCCTCCCCTCAGTCATGGTCTATTGACTTTGAAACTTTTGCTTAGTTTACATGTATTAGTTTGTGATAAGTTCAGTTTATGGGAACCACTAGTTTTAGGTCAATGATAGTTGGTATGCAGTTGTATTAGCACTGGTACATCTCATTTCCATAGAGATTATATGACCCCACCGCCTTAGTCATGGTCTATTGACTTTGAACTTTTGCTTAATTTACATACATGTATTAATTTGTGATAAGTTCAGTTTATGGGGAACCACTAGTGGTAGGTCAATGATATTTGGTATGCAGTTGTATTATCACTGGCACATCTCATTTCCATGGAGATTATTTGACCCCGCCCCCCTCAGTCATGATCTATTGACTTTGAAAACTTTTGCTTAGTTTACATGTATTAGTTAGTGATTAGGTCAGTTTAAGGGGAACCACTAATGGTAGGTCAATGATATTTTGTTTGCAGTTGTATTAGCATTGAGACATCTCATTTCCATGGAGATTGTTGGGCCCTGTACCTTCAGTCATGGTTCATTGACTTTGAATATTTTGCATAACTTGCATGTTAAAGTATTGCTATTTTAATTTCAACATTTGCATTTTCTATCAAAATAACAAAAAGGCGAGACACATCTATGTGCCAACAGTTTATGTTAATTAGATGTTGGAGTAAATTGAACTTTCTGTTTTAATTGACTGCAGGGCTTTTCTAGCCGTTTGATTTAGACAGAATTGTGATACTATTTCCATTGACAAAAGTTTTTTCCTAAATTTTAAGAAGAACTTAAAATGAATGATACTAAAGTTGTCGGATTGTTAAACTATAGATTTTGTTACTTACATCTCTTATTTGTAGCAGTGCAATAAGATATCATTTCCGGGCCTATTATAGCTTGCTATGCGGAATGAGTTTGGCTCTTTGGCTTTTTTACCAATTCAAATTCTAAAGGTGACATTGTTCTAAAAAAAAATTGTTTTAGTACAGGCTAAACATATTGCATCTAAGTTAAACTTTTAGTTTTCATATAAAGAATGCATCACCATTGTTTTGATGCCATTTTTCATAATTTTCCTTTCTATACAGATTTTCTTTTTTATGCTTTCAAGTTTAAAAAAAATAACTGAAAATGTATATTCTTCCATTTTACAAGTTGTAAATACCACATAAGTATTTTATGGGTTTAATTTTTCCTAATTTGATCATTGAAATAAAACCATTAAAATTTAAAACCAGACCTTACCAGTTATATCTGACATCATTCAGCAGAATGGCCTTTTGTGATCAATTTCAGGGGAGTCAGATTCTGATTCTTTCGATGGTAAGAATTAAGGAAATTTTATTTTTGCATGATTATTTAAATTGACTTCTGTTTTCGTTCATGTGTTCATACGTTCTTCTTTTTTTTTTTAATTATAAATGCAGATTTATGGTTACACATGCAAACAAGAAAACAAATACAGATTCTTTCTTTTTTCAAACACCTTAATCATTACATACTTCTGGATACAGAACTTCTGCATCAAAATTAGAGAAATACACATTGTTGGCAATATTAAAGATTGCTGGTAAAATACAAGGAATGATCAGAATTATATTTAGCATCAATTTTTCAATGTTCTCAAAAACAACAAACTTACAACATTTTGCAAAGACCTTATGGCAAATTAGTTGATGGCTGAGGACAAATTACGGTTGGTCTCATCATTGGAGATGATACATTCATATGACTTAATAAAGCAATATCCTTGGAACATATTTCTTACTTTAAATCATATGTGATTTCGTAGTTTTCAAGGATGAAGTTGTAAATCTCTTCTTTTTATCTTTCAGGGGAAGATCCTTTAGCATTTTTAAGAACACAGCCACAGTTTCAAAGAATGAGACAATTAATACAACAGAATCCCCAGATCTTACCAGCTTTACTTCAACAAATTGGTCAGTCAAATCCACCATTATTACAGGTAAATCAATAAGAATCCTGCTTTCGAAGATGGAAGGGAAGGTCTTGTTTATATATATATATATGATTTAGGACATAACAAGAATGTGTCCATAGTACACTGATGCCCCACTCGCACTATCATTTTCTATGTTCAGTGGACTGTGAAATTGGGGTCAAAACTCTAATTTGGCATTAAAATTAGAAAGATCATATCATAGGGAACATGTGTACTAAGTTTCAAGTTGATTGGACTTCAACTTCATCAAAAACTACCTTGACCAAAATCTTTAACCTCTACTGTCGTAGGTGGGGCATAAAAAAAGGAAATAATTTGTGGAAAGTCATACAAGATTTTTATACTTGCATGTTGTTTAATTATAGATAACTAATCCAAGAATTTGAATTAAGAAACTTTTAGGTGTGAAGATAATCTAAACATTTATAAATATAAAATAATAACTAAATGAACTCACAAAGGGTACCCCTGCCCAGCTATACTTTCTATATTGAAGTAAGTCAATTATAGATTATCTCCCCTTTAACATGTTGGACCAGAATTATATTCCTTTATGCACAAACTCATGTATAATTCTACAAAATTTCATCAATATCTGTCTAGCCTTTTATAGGAGGTGCACAGACGAGGCACATTGACCAACCTAACAGATGTATAGGGTGATTCCCTCAAAACCTTATAGCAGGGGGTAGGAAATTGTTTTTAAAACAATTTTAAAATCTACTAACATTTAAACTGTAGATGGAGAATATTTATTGTGCTGGTCAGTGTATTATAATCTTGATTAACTTTGAATTGTTCTGTATCTGTTTAACAAAAAACATGCATTACAGAAACATATTTTAGTTGTAATTTGAAATTTACAATAATTAACTGGGTTATTTATTTTTTTTTTGCAGTTAATTAGTCAAAATCAAGAGCGATTTATTCAAATGTTAAATGCACCTGTAGATGAAGAAGGTGGTTCAGAAACCACAGCACAGGGAGCAGGAGGATTGGGTCCTTCTCCACCTGGTGGTGAATATATACAAGTTACACCCCAAGAAAAAGAAGCAATTGACAGAGTAAGTTAAATTAGTGTTTACAAAACTGCTACATTGAAAGAATAAGTTCTGATATGTGGAGCAATTCAACAGAGTCATTTTAAGGTTGAAAATTAACACAAAATTCTAGAAATGTACAAAAAGCAAACATTGTTATGAACAACAACTAACAGACCCCTGACTTGGAACAGGAATATAACTATATGTCATGGATTTAACTAGTTATGCTATTACTCAACCTTTCTGCAATATGAAGAACACAAGAAGAAAAACATCTCTTAGACATGAAAAAGAAAACTTGACAACACATCAAATGTTCACAATTACTAAAAACTAGCTTTGAATATTTTTGATGACCCTAAAATCTTCTCTCATAGTCATATACACAATTATAAGCTGGAATATTTTTAAAAGAAGTAACTTTAATTTAGAAGAAATAAATTGTATTATTAATTTTTTTAATACAATGAATGATTTTCCACTTCATTATGATAATGAGATTAATCTACTGCTATTTTTTTCTTTTTCAGTTAAAAGCTTTAGGATTCTCAGAAGCAATGTGTATTCAAGCTTATTTTGCATGTGAAAAAAATGAAGAAATGGCAGCAAACTTTTTGTTGTCGCAAGGTTTTGATGACGATGAGGGACAGAGCTGATAGACTAAATAAATAAACCAATTTGTGACATTATATAAACATTTTCGTTAAGCGTTGAATATTACAGAATTTTTTTATTATAGACAAAATTTAATAGGAAGACATCTATAATACATCATTTTCCATATCCACATGCTGTTTATGCTTAATAACTGTTAAGATTAATTACATGCAAGCTAGAAGGATACACACAAGTTGTAATGATACCAGATATTTGTTACTCTGCAATGTAATTAAAAACATGGACCGTTGAAGTCCATAAATTAAGATTGAAACAACTTAAATACTTGTCTTCTTTGCATGTATCTAATTTTTTTTGCCTACAGACTTTCTGTGCTTTTCTGGCTATTTGATTTAGTATCAGATTTAAGCAACAGACGAAAAAAAAAAATTTATCCCAATTTTTTGTTTTCCAAACTCCCAATTGCATCATAATTGTAATTGTTAACTTGAGTTACTGTGCTTATTGTCTGTTGTCAGTCATTTGAAAACTTTCACATTTTCCTTAACTCTGCTGATACTACAATTGTTGATTCTGGTTGGTTAGTTTTCAAATTTCTGCTCCTTGAAACTAAAAGGCCAAATCTTTTGAAATTAAAGAAGTCTTTACACACCTGTCCAGGCAACAACATGGCCGACAAAGGAAATTCTTGATTATGATTGGTCAATTTTCAAATTTCTTCTTGATGCCAAACTTAAGAAGATTCAATAGGTATTACGGGTGTTAACGAATGGTCATTTTTGACATGTGGCATAGTTCTAGGTGATCCATACTGGTCCATTTTAACCTCGAGTTTCATTAGTTCATTTATCTTAAGCACTAAAATAGTCTTCTACTGTCAGGTCTGAACAGCAAGTTTTGCATAAGGATTCAGTCATTGTTAGTAAGAAAGAATAAATCTTGTGAAAATGAAATTCATGCTATTAATATTGATATTGATTAAACAGTCAAAGCAACTGACCACAGCGATAACTTTAAAACAAATATGAACTTAATCAGTAATAAAATATTATATGACCATTTATTATTATTATACCATTCATTCAAAGTTGGATGTTTTTTGTTCATATCACAATACAAGTAAATATGGATATAATCAAGTTGTACATGATTATTATCCATACTTATAGATTATCGTTGATCATCTCAACGAGATTGATTTTCTCGCTTAAGCCGGTACGGCGAAAGTGAGAAAAGCAATCGAGTTGAGATGACCAATGATAATCTGTTTATAGCTATTTTACCTACGACAACGTTGTCAATTTCATGTCAATTTCATTAGCAACGCCACGTGCCCCATTAGTTTCTAGCGATAATTTTCATATCACTCGACTCCACTGAGATTGGAAATTATCAGTCAGCAAAATCAAAGGAAAATTTCGTTAAATAGCGATAAATGAATTTACATGCACCTATCATAATCATTGAACTCAAGCTGTCACGTGCAAAACAGGATATTCCTGCCCTTCAAGATCACCTGATATCCTGGTTTTGATCGGAGTTTGTATTGTCCTAGCTTTTGATTCAAGTTTTAGTTGTTTTGTTCACATCTTCTGTTGTTTCCCCATTCACCTGTCTAATTCTTTGAATTGTCTTATTCATGTATTGTCCCCTTAATTTTGATTTAAAAAATTTTTAACACAGGTGTTTGGTATCTTTTAACTGTTATTCTGCAGGAATACTTCATGTTTAAAAAATTCTGTAGAATTTGCGTCACCATGAAATTTCATGTTTGAACAACTTTGGTTTTGGACCATATTTGGTCCTTATGTATATCTACAAAAAGTGGTGCATAAAAAATATTCATCTGACTTGTTGTCTCACCCGTGAGAACTATATTCAGTATATAGAATGATTGTAAGATGTACATATCTGTCTGGCAGGGTTCATCTTACCGTCACCTCATTTTCATGGTTAATTGGTTAATGTTAAGTTTTCACATATTGGTCTTTTTCTCAGATATTATAACCAGAAGATCAACTAGACTTGGTGTATGAAACGAATGTAAGGTGTACATGTCTGTCTCACAGTGTTCATCCAACCTTGACCTCATTTACATGGATCATTGATAATGTTCATTTTATGTGATATTTTTGTAGTAAACCCTATATTTTAAAGACTTTCTACATAAAATCGATCATGATCAGTAAAGCAGGTGAGACATTTCAGTGAGTGCACTCTTGGTAGTTTTTCACTCTTGTTTTCCATGCAATGAATATCATGAAGCTAGACATTGGTATTACTTTTCCTTTGTTTTCTTCTTGTAGCCTTTAAACACATAATCTTAATTTATTCTGAGTATAAAATCAGATAATGTGGTATGATTGTCAATGAGACAACTATCCACCAGAGACCAAATGATGTAGATGTAAGCATCTATGGGTCCTCACAGCCTTCAACAATGAGCAAAACCCATACTGCATAGCAAGCTTTAAAAGGTCCAGATATAACAAAATGCAAAACAATTCAAATAAGAAAACCAATGGCCTGATTTATGTACAAAACAATAGAAAAACAAATGATATACAGTAACAAAAAACAACCACTGAGTTATTGGCTCCAGACTTGAGACAGGCATATAAAGAATGTGGCGAGGTTAAACATGTTTGCGGGTGCCTAACCTGAAACGGTGATGTAACAGCACAACATAAGAATTAACTAAAAAATTTGTTGAAAGGTCAATTTCAGAAGTACATATGATCAATTCATCCAATACATGAAGTATATGATAGCCTGCTCCCTCTCGTCTTCAAGTTAACTTAAAAATTTAATGTTCAATTTCAAAATGACTGAGAACAATCATAGGTTAATCCTACCACATTCCTTTGTAACCTGCAGGTCAAGGATTATCATGAACTTCTTGTTTGTTTCTCAATTTTACTGTTCTTGAAGAACAAGTTGAACTGTGAGCTAATGCTCAATAATGATTTCCCTATAAGTATTTGGTTAAACAAGAAGTTGATGAGAGATGGATCACACGGTATAGCATTCTCACATGAAGGCTGATTCAAAATTTCAGAAAGCCTGGACTTGACCCGAGAAAAAAGGGACAAAAATTTCATACATGGGCATTGTGTGCAAGAACATGCAAGTATTCGGTAAACAGAAATTGGATAAGTGATCAACATGAAAATGCCCCACATAGTATAAAATTTATACATGAAGCTTGATACCATTTTAGAAAGTTCTGATTTGTAGTTCATAAGATTAATGCAAACCAACATTTTATACATGTGTAAGAATATATCTGTATTCAGTAAACAGGAAGTGGATAAGCAATGAATCTGAAAATAAATCAGATAATTAAGCATTCCTGAGAAAAGTATGACTTTATTTTGTTGGACGGACAGATATAACAGTTAAAACTCCCTCTCTCTCCTTTTAGAGTAGGGTCAATTTTCGACTTAGAATTTGTGTGCGGAAGGGGGGGATTATTAGGGCAATTGTTTTTTAGAACTTTTGCATTTTTGATTTTTTTTTTGCAGGATCTATTAATTTTCAGTATACTTAATTAGTTGTACAGTCTCCTTTACCTTTCACCCTTCTTTCCCATTGGTCATTGCAGGACAGTTGTCTGCTAGGTTATAGCGCAGTGGCTTATTATCGCTTATACCAACATGTAATTTTAACAAATATATTTTATGCCATTTCACATCAATGTGCTTTTGAAAGTAGGTGTTATTCATGTTTTAGGTGGAAAAATTTATCAGGCATATCTATACACCATCCGACCATTCATCCTTTAGTTTTTGTCTTGCCTACTACGAAAAAGACAGGAATTACAATCTGGTATTGGCAGTGGCGAAAACTTGTAGTAAGCTTTATATTTCAGTGGATAGAACACATGGAGGCTTCATAAATCGTATACAGATGCTTTATGTTACGAAGTTTCTGTCTGTCACATGTCTGTTGTCCCTGACCTCATTTTCATAGTTCAGTGACTGCTTTAAGAAAAATCTTAGTTTTTTATGTGAATTTCTCTCTTTATATAAGTAATAGGATAACTGTATTTGGTATATGGGTTCCTTGCAAGATCAATATGTCCTTCAGATAGGATTCACCTGACATCGACCTCATTTCATGGATCAGTGATCAAGGTTAAAGTCACGTGTTTAGGTCAGTTTTCTTAAGATATTGTAAGAAGTATGTCAAGTATGTTTGGTGTATGGAATGATTGTAAGGTGTACATGTCAGTCTGGCAGGTTTAATTTGACCTTGACCTCATTTTCACTGTTCATTGGTCAGTGTTAGATTTTTTGTGTTTTAGTCTGTTTTTCTAATACTATAAGCAATAGGTTAACTATATTTGGTGTATAGAATAATTGTATGGTGTACATATCTGTCTGGCAGGTTTCATTTGTCCTTGAACTCATTTTCATGGTTCATTGGTTAATGTTAAGTTTTCCTGTTTAAAGTCTGCTTCTTAAATATTATAAGCAATAAGGTCAACTATATTTGATGCATGGAATGATTGTAAGATGTACATGTCTGTCTGGCAGGGTTCATCTGACCTTGACCTCATATTCATTGTTCATTGGTCAATATTAAGTTTTCATGGTTTGATTGGTTTCTTGTATACTATAAGCAATTCATTGTAGGTCAACTATATTTGGTGTATGGAATGGTTGTAACGTGTACATGTCTATCTGGCTTGGTTATTCTGATCATGACCTCATTTTCATGGATCATTGATAATTTTAAGTATATGTGATACTTGTAGTAAAACTTTATCTTTAGGACTATCAATATAAAATCAATAATGGTTAGTAAAGCAGGCGAGACATTTCATTGTGTGCACTCTTGTTATTTTTTTTATTTCTATATTAGCGGTCTGAACAAGACATAATCAAAAAACAAAACATAAAGATAATGAAATTTATTTTTATAACTTATTACAAGAACCATCAAGATTGTAATGTGTGTTTCATTTTTTCATATTCATTTAAGAGGTCAAGATGTTTAAATTTGTCTGGAGTTAGGTTAAACAATCTGACCAGATTAAATCTTTCACCAGCACTAGGACTATAGTATGCACTCATTTGACTGACCAATATTACAGCTTCTTGTTTACTCTGTAAAAGACATATATGGTATATATTTACAACTGCCTTAAACCATTTGTAAATCAATATTTTTGCAAATGGTCATTTCTATATAAATCTCTTCAAGATCTGTTTTAAAAAGTAACTGGTTATGAATTCAAACTTCTCAGTTTAAATTTCAGTAAACACCTGAAGCAAGTCAAGTGGTTTCATCTGAAAAATATTGATTTCAATGCAAAACACATGTTTAAAAAGTTGAACATAAGTTTCAGATTAAGAATGATCAGATGCAAGACTACCGGTATTGTTTTACACATGTAAAGTTTCTGTTATATTCCTGTTATATTAAATGGATGTTCCAGAAAACTAAAATTTTTGAAAACATGTCTTCTTACTGTTTGGTAACTCCAAATCTTTCTAAAGACAAAGAAAATGCTTACTTTGCTCAATTATAGACAAGTTGAAATTTAACCTTGACTGAAGTATGATATTGCTACAGGGTGTTCATGACCTTGATAACTATGAGGGTCTCCAATGGTAGATGAAGTAACATAAAGAAATATTGGTAATTTCAAATTTAATTTTATATTATATACCTACAGTAATATAATGATACACGTATATATAATTATATATGCATAATCAACATGTGAAAAATGCTGTTTTCCATATGAATTTTATACGACCGCATGCGTTCATATTTAGTTATGACGATATTTCTTCGTCGTCTGAAGACATTTTGGTTCGCTGACAATAAACTTTGTTTGATTTCAAGAAAAATTAAATATATGGGGTTCTTTGATATGCTGAAACTAAGCGTGTATTTAGATTTTGGATATTGGACCATAATAGGTATAAGTCCAATTTCAAAATTTTCAGCTCTTTGACCACATTCATTCTTTGTCAGAAACCATTGCTGTGTCAAATATTTAATCACAATCAAAATCCAGAGCTGTATCAAGCTTGAATGTAGTGTCCATACTTACAAATGTACCCCAACTGTTCAGGGTTTCGACCTCTGCGTCGCCCAGCGGAGCATTTTATTAACTAATCATCTTACAAATACTTCTTGGATCAATTCATGACAAAGGTAGTATGGAAAGTGAACTTTTGCATCATTTCATGTAAACATTTGTTGAGTGTGTTTTACATTGAAGATGAAAAAGACAGTTTGATATTAAATCTAAGAAAAAAGATTTTCAACATTAAATTATACTTAGGAAAACAAGTACACATCATTGACTGCAATAAATAAAGTGAACAACCAATTATGAAGGAACATGCAGCATTACAGCATTTTCCTGAATACATTTAGTCATTTTCTTAAGAAAAAATTACTTACTATAATATTTTCATCATACTGTCCAGCCATCAAAACTATTCCTGCAATTAAGATGAAATAATTACATTAGATGTATGTTTCATTATAATACGCTATTCTGATTGGCTAACTGCAATCTCGCGTTATTCCTTAATCAACTTCATTACACAATGAAATTTATCATTCATGATGACACGAGGTCCCACAATAAAGTGCACAGGTAAATTAAATAAAAACTTGATAAAAATTGTGTTTTCATGATCCTAGCTAAAAAATGTAATTATAAGTATAGAATGCTACTTTTTGTAACTTCATAGGGTTGTAAAAGCGTTGACCGTGCGCACATTTTTAGAATGAAGCGCTTCCATGCTTCATACAAAATGTACTTCGGTCAACACTTTTACACCCCAATGAAGTTACAAAAAGAAGCATTCAATTCTTAATTGAAGAATATAATTTCAAAGGTGTTTAATTTAATTGTTTCACAAAAAGGAATAACTGAAGTTGCATATGGAATTGTTTTACAATACAGGATTATAGGTCCTCATCCAAAGAGCCATATGAACAAACAAGTCAATATTTGAATATGATCTGAACAAGGATTTATATAGTACTACACAAATCCTTGATCTGAATAAATCTAGGATTAGTGGTTGTATATTCACTTCCTGAACAAAATGTAAATTTTGAAAGTATTGAATTCATTGGACATTCTGTAAAGAGGGAAATTTTTGTGAAGGATTTATTAGCAACTTAACTTTGTCATCAGAAGCTGATTTAGGGGAGAGGGCCTTATGGGGTTACATATATGGTTAATGCATAGACTTTTTACAAGTTCCAGTCCTATAATGGTGCCTTGTTGGCATTTTCGAATTTGAAACACCAAACAAAATTGAATGTCTCTTCTCATATTCAGTATAAAAATAGTCTAGATATATACATCTATTAAATACGCATACATGGTTAATGTAAAATTGTTTCTGTAATTCTTAGCTGATTTATCCTTTTACTGACTGGTTGATTATTTCTGTTTAATCAATGTGTGGTTTGTTTGATCTCAGTTCTTCATTGGTCAAAATTATGACGTCAAATTTTCTTGCTTTCCTCCGAATTTCCTATTGTGAAGTCACGAAAAAAAGGCGACCATGCCTGATGACGTTACATAGAAAGAACACATCTTTTTGCAGATCATTGGAAAAGAAGGATTAAGTTCGTCTTCATATCAACTAAAAATCATCAGAGAAACAGATTCAACCACCAAATTTTGTGCAATACGATATTTCTACACTCTTTGAGTTAAATTTTCAATATTTAAAACACTTGGAGAGCCTTGTGTTTTAAATTTGAAAATTTAACTGTCTCAAGCGGAAAAATATATGTATATCATCACTTAATATTGAATATTTTTCATAATGTAATTTCGGGTTGTATTATAACATAAAGAAATGTGTAAATTTTGTGTAACTTTAGTAGAATTATTTTAAGTAAAATGAAATTACCTTAAACTAAAAGCTGTAACATGTGATAAACTTCAACCTTTAAAGGGAAGACTATTTTATCAATATGACAATTCCGGGTGTGAAGATGGATTTGATTTTATCTGAATGCATAACAGATCCCAGATGTCGTTATGACCAGTTTATCATAAAATCCTACCTTTGTCATCTGCAAATTCAGGAAAATGTGCTACAGTCAAACATGGAGGAGCATTTTCTTTCAGAAGCTGTAAAATCATACAAATAAATGATCATCTGGTCCATTTAAATGGTTTTTCATTTGTTTACTTGATTTAGTTTTAAAATAAATTCTATGTTTTACAAGTATGTTAAATAAAGTCCTAAAAAGTTGAAAGAGATAATTGGTTCTTAAAAAAATGGAATGAAGTCTTAAACTAAAAAATCAAAATGCAAGAATAATGTAAGGAAATTACAGATAGTGAAGCATAATATATAGATGAATTTCGATTATTTACATTAATAAAACTTTATGCTTATATGGACATCTTTGCTATATCATCCTTTTGACACATTCCTGGTAATATATGTCCAATAGATTAATTGTTGACTGTTTAACATTAAGCTAATTCCAGCAGCAACTATTACATGTATATTAAGGATGATAACAGTTTAATGTCATATGAATGTATCCTGCTTTGTACTAGACATACACCATGAGTGGTAAGCTCACTACGTAACACTTTGAAGGAAGACATGTCAGTATATATGGACTCCATGTCGACTAGTCTTACCTCATACTACTAAGTACCATGTATTGGGATCAAATTTACAACCCCTTGCATTCAAGAGGATATATGTACTGTAAGACCATAGAGGTAAAATAAATCTTTCTCATGTATCTTTACCAAATTTTATGTATTGACCACCTGGCTCTTAATACATTAACACTTTGATAAAAAGATGTTGTAACATAGATGTTGTTATAGACCTACCTGGTACATTCCCAGTGGGGTAAAATAGACATGTTTTCCGTGTATCTGTGAGAAATAGTATTCATAGCCATCTCCTTTAGGTAATGGGTACAGAAACTGAAAATCAACAACATTTTATTCAAAAAAAATTCCAATTTTTTAAAACTACACTGTTAAGAAAAAAAACTAGAACCAACTGATTCTTAATTTTTTTGAGTTTTTAACACAAAATTTGCAAAATAATATCATTCAAAAAAAAATTAGTGGGAAATGTCTGTAATATTTATAAGAGGGGCAATAGGGGGGAGTGTCATCCCTAATTTCCAGAAAAAAAATAAAGCAGTCTTTCCCAGATCTCAAAAAAAGTAAATAATTAATTCCCAAGTCCCAATAAGGGTAAATCCTGAATTTCCGTGAAAATAAAGGCCCAATCCTGAATTCCCGCAAAAATAAAGGCCTAATCCCGACATCCCGAAAAAGGTCCTTCTGCCCCTCTTATAAGTCAAATTCATAATTTCTAACATAAAACTGATTTTTTTTAAAAATTGTGAATGCAGTATATTTTTGTAACCAGCTTCTTCCAAACAGTTTACTTAATGAAATTTGATATGAAAAGTTGCAAGTCAATATTTGGTGGGTTTATTTTTTTTTTTTTTGGGGGGGGGGGGGGGGGTTTCTTCCTTTAATACCATTTTTTCATAAAATTTCAGCTGGTCTTATCATCAATCGTCCCCCATTAACCATGTAATTTTAATATATTATGATTTTTTTTTTAATCTGAAAATTACACTAATTTCAATAAACCTAAATGGAAAGAGAAATCTGTGTACAATTGTATTATACAACATGCTGTTGGTAAGTTATATCTCAATTCAAACATTTTGACAAATAGAGTGTTATCACTCTTGCACCATAATTTAAAAAACCATCAAAATTATAAAGAAAGAAGCTTGTCTTTGTTTAACCATGACAGATACTGTTTGTCAGACACACTGATTTAAAAAAAGTTATCCTATAAATTTGTCTTGTATATGCTGAAATATCTTTATATGGTGAAATTTGCAGCTTGTATATCTTTAAGGTATATCATTATTATAGTTTACTGAAACAGATTAGACTACTTACAATAGGACATGTCTTTGCTTTAGCATCTAAACTTTCATAATTCATAGCCTGAAAAACAATAATAATCTTTATACAAAAGTCTTACTAGTGTCAGAGAACATATCAAAATACAAGTAGGATATTTAACAAAGATTAATAACTGCAACAGAATGTAAAATAATTTCTTATATGACACCCTATTTTTGCTTTGTAAAAAAAGCAATGTTTCAACTCCAATAAAAAACATGGGTCTTACATATTTACATCACAACTGAATTTGCAAAGTCAGTTGTATTTTGAATGACACTGGAGATCAGAATGAGCATTTTTGGAGAAACTGCTTGCCATGAAATTCAATAAAATCTTTCAAAAAGTAAGTCATGAGTTTTTACACTATAAATCTTGAAACACTTGGTTATTTTATAACATTCTTGCTTCGTTAAAATCAAAATGGCTGCCTTTCTAAAGTGTCTTATAGTTCCATTTTGCTAACACTTGCTATAAAGATATTTACAAATATAATGACTACATATGTGCATAGAGCAGGTGATAAAAGAACTATTGCTTAAATAATACATAGGCCTGCTTTTCATTCTGACAACAAGATAACACAAGATTAATCAAATTCTATATGTGGAATCATCCGTATTGAAGATTTCTACATTGGAATGAATTTGTTATTCCAAAATGAATTTGTTATTCCGAATTATTAAAACATATTATTATACTTTATGCAAATCTCTTATACATTGTATCATCCATTCATTTCATTGGACACGCGGCATTTGTTAATTTTCACTAACCTTTCATAAGCCCTGCCCACCCATAGCAACAGGTGACAATATAAGCAATGGGTGTTAATGCCTACATTGAATCAACACCAGCTGAGCCCTAAGTGTGCCGATCCGGAACAATTAACACCTGCTCCGGCCTAGGTTAACCGATTCTTATTTCTACATCAATTCCATCGTTTTGTTGTTGTTGTTAGTAATCTATCATAATTCATGACTTTATTTTTTTATAATTGTCCTTCTAATAACATAATGCACACTTGAATCATAAGGCATTCAGTATAATCAAAAACATACTGCCCTTGGATGAAGGTGTAAGGGTGATTAACACACTTGGTGAAAAAATTATCACCAGCGACTTAAGTCTTGGGTGATAATTTTTTCCCTCGTGTGTTAATCTACCCTAAGACCTTCATCCAAGGGCAGTATGTTTATATTAAAGTAGGAATCTATGAAATGCCAGTTTATTTATCCTGTCTGAAACCTGAATAACACATACCTCAACTGCTCCAAAAATGCAATCTTTTTCTGCATAGTATTGACTCCATATCTGAAAGAAATTTACTAATTTGTTGAACTGATTTATATACAAATAGATATTGTCTCATCCTAACTTACTCTAAAACTTATCAGCCTTTGAAATGACTTACAAATGTTAAATGTTGAAAAGTGGGATAACTCATGGTGACAAAGATCAACTCATTTACCTATTGCCTCTAAAATGCAATATAGTATGTTTTAAGTGTTTCCTGGGACTATTATACTAACGGGACTGGAAACCGTTACACCAATCATTGTAATAATGTCAACATCACGGTCATTGGAAGGAGACTTTACCTGCGCTATTTATCGATACGCCATATTGTTTTGACAGTGACAGCGTGCCTTGATCTTATAATTTCGGTAATTTGTTTTTTTATTTTATAGTAATTCGAAATGATAATCCTTAATATAAACATGATTACTATAATGATAAAAGATATCTCGATCTTTGACAGTTGTTATTAATCACCAAATTCTGTCTTGAGTGAAAAAAATGACACATAAAGATTGAAGTATTCAGGATGAAAATAGCGTGGGGACGATGTGGAAAAAAGTATATGATTCATAAAATTTCTTATAACCGTTGATTGAAAAGAGATACGCAAGTTCGGTTTGTTGTAAAATCATATTTATAGGTTAAAGTTTGGATTTGCCTATTTTTATAGACACTTTTTAAAATAAAAAGTGGAATATAAATCTCTTTCTCATTACAACCGGAACCCACATGCACGGCTCAAATAAATTATACTATTCCTATAAAATTACCTACTCCGTTTTATGTGTACAATATTTTTATTATAATCAGGGTTAATTTTGCTTAGTAATGGTCTTCTGGTGGCATTAGCATATGACTTTGTGAAAATATGTACACTAGCTTCCATAATTAGAACTACAAAAGTAGGCCTGTTCACAGCCATATTGAAATTTTGGTGTAAACACGAAGTTCACAAAAGTTCAAAACAATGAGGCTATATCTTTATGAGACCCGGGTAACTTTTGTTATATGAATTAATTATGAACTGAAATTGTAAACATTGTTTTTATTGCACACTTATTGTTTTTATCAGGATTAATTATGATCTGTTAACCTTTGACACGTTGTTTTCTTAGCGGTCAAGTAAAGCGCTGGCATTTCGACTATCTGGTTTATTTTCAACACTAATATATTGACTACTTATTAATAAGTTTTCATAAACAATATATATTTTTTGCATTTAAACTAATTAATTTAATAATTATTTTTTTATTTCAAATCCACCAATTTTAACAGTATTATATATATGCTGACTTGTTTGCCGAAATCTATTGTTTACATTCATGTACCGAATGTACTACGTGACACAATAAGCTGTCAATCAAAACAAAAAATCAATAATCCGCTATCGGGGCAATAAAATCTCAACAGATCGATCAGTTTCCAGTCCCGTTAGTATAATAGTCCCAGGTGTTTCTATCAAGAAAAATGGATAGGGCTGAAAGTTAACAAATCTAATATAACAGTAACCCTCCAACATTTTATGTGCCTATGTTAAGTCTGTGATTGTTGCTGTCTCCATTTTTTTTTTCTTTTAAGAGTATTTTATTGGTGTCATATATCTATTTGTTTCCTTTAAAAATATATTTACAGAGCTTGTCATACAGTGTAAGTCCACTGTTGAGGCAAACATTAGACCTCTACATATCTTTTTTAGTTAACTTGTGTTGCTAAATTGGTGTCTTATTGACATTCACTCCACATCTCGTTTTAATAATTGAAATTCAACATGAACTCTGATGTAAAACTAAACAATAGAATTTTTACCACTCACTGTGCAATATCAGTTATATGATCTCCAATCTCCTAGATTAACCTATAAACCAAGTTACATGAATGTAGGTCAATTTACTTATGAGACTTGGTTATAGATATAAATGCTGAGGTATATTTTCACATAGGTATGAATGTAAAAGGTACTCCAATAGACCCTCAACTTCAACCTGAGCCAATATAAAAAAAAACAGGGGAATACTGATACGGCATGTTGATTATTATGTACATTTGTGAAATTTTTTAATACCCCTGGTAATAGAGTTATCTCTGCTAAGCACTGAAAATTCCATTTACAAGTTATTTTGATTTCACAGAAAGAAAAGGAATCAAAATATTAAAGGAATTTGACCTAAATTAATTATGAATAGTTTAATTTAATGGAATTGCCAATTCTTAAATACATCGAAATATCAAGGTATTGTTATTTAAAAAAAAAAGTCATGACATGAAATGAGGACAGTATAATAACATACTATGGGCGTTTGGCTTTAAACTACATGTACACTCTCAGAATTTATTAACAAAAAATATTACCTTCTTTATTTCTTCAGCACTTTTATCTTTGATTAGATCAATTTTCATAACATCATCTAAACTCTACAAATGTACAATTCTATTCATTCAGACTACAAGCAAACAAAATTGTAGGTAACTGGTTGATTTGTAAGTTCTTAGACAATCTACAGATTATTAATGCAAAAAATTGATCAACTACATTTTGTTCACTTTTTCAAATTATATATATGCATTGAAACTAGTGAAAAACTTCAGTTGATTGCCAGGTTGTAAGTATAAAGCAAATGCAGTATAAAGAAAATATTCTTACCATCCATTACCTATGATTGACTTTATATTCAGTTGATATGTTTAAAGAAATGGATTTAAATGATCTTGAAAAAGACTTTAAGATACTGTTTCTTCTATTTTTGTTTGACAGTAAAGATGTACTACACATGTACTGACAGTGTTTTCAATTATGCTCCTTGTATTTTTGTGTCTTTGGGTTGCTGTCTCATCAACAGCTATCCCTCATCCTCTTTTAGTTATATTCTAATGAGATAAAATTGGACACTGCGAAACGTTTTCATAAATTTACAGTAATTTCCTTGAGACATTTTTAGTCACATGATGAATTAATTATTAAGTATCTATTTATGGCAGGTTTTATCATGGTTATTGCATTATTGAACAATATATTTTTTTATCCTGCAATCTCCTATTATATTATACAAATACAGGTATACAAATAAACTTATCATATATGTTTTTTCGAAAACTGTTTTGTATAAATTAGGCCGTTAGTTTTCTTGTTTGAATTGTTTCACATTTTTCATGTCTGGGCCTTTTAAAGCTGACTTTACGGTATGGGTTTTTCTCATTGGTGAGTGCCATTCAGTGACCTTTAATTGCTTTTATCTTTGTTGTTTGAACTCTGATGGATAGTTGTCTCATTGGCAATCATACCCCATCTCCTTATTTTTATTAGACAATATCTGTATAAATTACCAATACAGTCCTCTGAAATCTTAATATTAAATTACTCTTATGTCATAGTTCACTGTTGTGTCCTCTTCTTGGTCCATATTCAAGCAATGTTAAATTACTTTAAAAAAATACAAAGAGTGAGAAGGTACTCACAAGACATTAAAGAATATTATTTTTAAAACATAATAACGAGTATATAAATTTCAGAGGCAAGGTTTATTTTGGGATAAAAAAAAAATAATTGTGGTAATCTACAAATTTTGGCGCTGTAATCATAGTTCAAAGCTTAAGGTGGTGGACATTGTTTGGAAAATTGTAGAAGCATCAATTAAAATTCTGAAAAGCACAGTCCGTGTGAACAATACTTATACAAAAGTTGGTTCAATTTAAATTTGTTGAGCCAGGTTTGTTGCTTGACAGACATAATAAACATAAGTTTGAACAGTTCCAGATAAGGCAATTTAGAAGCATTTTCCATGAATACCTTTTAAGTCCTGCTATCAGCCTAATAATAACCTCATCTAAAATAAACTGTTTTTAAAGTCAATTAAGTATAACTCATATTAATAAAATAATCTTTTTGTTCTGACAATGCTTGACAATAGCATAACAATTCTGATCATCAATACAATGTTGTCAAAGTATATCAATCAAGACTGAAGATTAAAATGTATTGCAGTAAAAACTAAGTTACCCTTGGTGGCCAGTTACCACTGCCATGGGGACTTTCAACACTAGGTTTTGGAACTGATTGAGCTTTTTTAATTTCCTGTTTTCTCTTCTCTGATGACTCAAGTTTTTTGTCCTTCAGTTGGTCAAGTCTAGCCTGAAACTCTTCTGGAGATGTACTGAAAATTGTATTTTGACAACTGACAATTAAGATATATTTAATTTACGCACATCTTTTAATCATAATTATGAAATACAGTTGTACATGAGTGTTTTCATATAGAAATAAAAGTGTATTTCAGAAACAGTTTTATTTACTTTAGGGGATTAATATGAATCTCACTGATGAATAAACATGGTTTATTTTCATTTTCATAACATGAAAAGAATTCACAGATATACAAAATTTACTTACCTTTGTATATTACTGATTTTTCCCTTGTACTTATCAAAGTATGGGTTTTGTGAAATGTCAAGTTCATCTGCCTTCGTATTGGAATAGTCCCTTGTAACAGCCTGTTGGTATTTTTTCCACCTTAGTCCACACTTATTTGAGCATAATAGATTTCTTGAAAATGTTGATCTGTTTAATTGAGATGGAACATTTCTCCAACAAGAGAGACAAACACGAAGTAACTGTGAGCGTGGTAACATAGTTGTATCACATCTGTAATTCATTCATGATATTTTCTGTAGAAAAGAAATCAAAATACAATTGACATTTATTATTTCGAACACCAAAAAGTTGAAAACTTATAATTTCAAATTATGTATCAATCCTGATCATTCTTCCATGAGATTTTCCCCATATTACAATATGTTATTACAAAAATGTTGTCACAATTTTTATCAAAATTTTTGATAAAATATAAAAGAATACTTTTTCAAGTAATCAGTCTTATTTTTATACTCATAGTATGACTGAAAAAATATCAACAACCTTGGAAGAATCCATTACCACCTGCACTTAGGCATACCGCAATAAAATGCTTCGCTGGGCGCAGCTTGATACGACCGCAGAGGTCAAACCCTGAACAGTTGGGGCAAGTATGGACACAACATTCAAGCTTGATACAGCTCTGAATTTGGATTGTGATTAAATATTTGACACAGCATAGGTTTCTGACACAGAAAGAATGTGGTCTAAGAACTTGATTTTTTTTAATTTACCTATTATGGTCCAATGTCCAAAATCTAAATACATGTTTAGATTCAGCATATCAAAGAACCCCATATATTCAATTTTTGTTGAAATCAAACAAAGTTTAATTTTGGACCCCAACTTGGACCAACTTGAAAACTGGTCCCAAAATCAAAAATCTAAACACATGTTTAGATTCAGCATATCAAAGAACCCCAAAAATTCAATTTTTGTTAAAATCAAACTAAGTTTAATTTTGGACCCTTTGGACCTTAATGTAGACCAATTAAAAAAAACCGGACCCAAAATTAAAAATCTAAAAACACGGTTAGATTTGGCATATCAAAGAACCCAAATAATTCAATTTTTGATGAAATCAAACAAAGTTTAATTTTGGACCCTTTTGACCTCAATATGAACCAATTTGATAGCGGGCCCACAAATAAAAAATCTAAATACATGGTAAGATTCAGCATATCAAAGAACCCCATATATTCAATTTTTGTTGAAATCAAACAAAGTTTAATTTTGGACCCCAATTTGGACCAACTTGAAAACTGGGCCAAAAATCTAAAATCTAAATACATGTTTAGATTCAGCATATCAAAGAACCCCATATATTCAATTTTTGTTGAAATCAAACAAAGTTAAATTTTGGACCCCAACTTGGACCAACTTGAAAACTGGGCCCATAATCAAAAATCTAAACACATGTTTAGATTCAGCATATCAAAGAACCCCAAGAATTCAATTTTTGTTAAAATCAAACTAAGTTTAATTTTGGACCCTTTGGACCTTAATGTAGACCAATTTAAAAAACAGGACCCAAAATTAAAAATCTAAATACACGGTTAGATTTGGCATATCAAAGAACCCCAATAATTCAATTTTTGATGAAATCAAACAAAGTTTAATTTTGGACCCTTTTGACCTCAATATGAACCAATTTGATAGCGGGGTCCACAAATAAAAAATTTCTAAATACATGGTTAGATGCAGCATATTAAAGAACCCCATATATTCAATTTTTGTTGAAATCAAACAAAGTTTAATTTTGGACCCCAATTTGGACCAACTTGAAAACTGGGCCAAAAATCAAAAATCTAAATACATGTTTAGATTCAGCATATCAAATAACCCCATATATTCAATTTTTGTTATAATCAAACAAAGTTTAATTTTGGACCCTTTGGACCTTAATGTAGACCAATTTGAAAACTGGACCCAAAATTAAAAATCTAAATACACGGTTAGATTCGGTATAACAAATAAATAAATGTGGTCAAAGATTTTACAAATCTAATGCGCCATACTGGTCTTCCTTTATAAATATGCATTTCTTTAAACATAATTTAAAAGCAGTGTAAGGGAAGTAACCAAAACGTTGTATTTGGATTACCTCCCTTACACTGTTTTAAATTATCTTAATTGTTCATTAACCATTACTTTAAACATAATTTAAAAGCAGTGTAAGGGAGATAATTTCAATGATGTATTTGATTTATCTCCCTTACACTGCTTTAAATTATGTTTTGTACTAAAGTATTTGTCCATTAATGAGGACAACCTTGTTTTTCCCCCTTTTTTGCCCCTAATTCTTAAACGGTTTGAGCAATAACCCCCCAAAGCAAATCCTAACCATCCCTTTGTGGTATGGAAACTTGTAGTATAATTTCAGAGAGATCCATACACCGTTCCACAGTTATTGTCTGGAATCTAGAAAATGCTTATTTTTGGCCCCTTTTTGGCCCCTAATTCCTTAACTGTTGGTACCATAACCCCCAAAATCAATCCCCACCTTCCTTTTGTGGTATTGAACCTTATGGTAAAATTTCAAAGAGATCCATTCACTTAAACTAAAGTTAGAGTGCGAAAACTAATGCGTCTTCGGACGACGACGACGACGACGCTAACATCATACCAATATACGACCACAAAAAATTTTTTGCGGTCGTATAAAAATGGACAATGTCATCTGTAACATCTCATTTCATTGTCACATTTCTGCCCCAAAAATGTTCACTGATAAATCATTTTCAACAGCATACTTTTAGAGAACAGCTAAATATAACTTCTTGGTTATTACATGTATCTCTTCTGAAATTGCTGGATATGTCCTAAAATTTGAACCAAACATATACCTTAGATCAAATATCACACCCTTCAATCCAACATTAATTTCTTCTGGAAATCTGATATATATCATGTGTATATATATAAAGTTCAGCTCTATCCACAGAAATTTTATTTACAGAGGAAATGGCCATGCCATTGACAAATTCAAGTTTTTCAACAACAAAAAATGTCCATATGCTTTTCTAAACAATTAACCTGAATACAAAACTATAAGGAAGTGATTCAATCAACAATTTATACCATGGTGTCAAAAACTGTTGCAAAACTGCATTCTACAACTAAAGAGGACTGTAGAGGTCAAAGGAATGTCAGTCAAAAGTCATGAAAGACGACATCAATGATTGACACCAAGTGATGGCAAACTAAGTCCTTTGGGTCAGGTTAGCTAAAATAATATATGTCACCCTACTATCCACCATCCACATGATGTGTTTGATAGTAGGAAACACATTTTATGTTAAATGCATGTAGACAAATAACGTGCTATAATTCATTATATATCTGACTAAAAAAATATGTAGAGATTCGAAGTCCCTATGCTAAGGGACTCTGTTGTACTGTAATAACAAACTTTCTTGGGCTTCATATAAACTGATTACACAGAGTTGTGTCTCACCTGTGTGACTATATCACAAACTTGAAAACCTGTTGATGCCGCCACCATCAGAAGTTAGTCCAAATAATTATGACGTCTTGAAAGGCTATTTTAATTTTTTGCTGTGATGCCTTCCTACGCAACAAAAATTAAAATAGCCTTTCAAGACGTTATAATTAGGTCTATTTGGACTACAATAGATGTATAAGAATGGCGACTAAAGTCTTGATTGTACATTTTTGTCGCAGCTTAGCATGTGTATAGCCATGATAAGCCTTGGCTACTATAGTACTAAATTAAAAAAAAAAAAGATTTGTTCGTTTCCTATTAATCTGCTTGTTGTTAGAAATTTAGTCAACCAACTGTTTGATACCTCATTGAATAATTTTCCTGTATAATATACATATTATCTGCTATTGTAATCAGAGACATATGTCTCTGTTGTAATTACCCTAAAATTTGACCCTGATTTGTGTATGTTCACACATGACTTCTACATGTTTTATAGTTTTATTCAAATCAAATAATTTGTTTGAGTATCAGTTTTTGAATATTTGCAAACACTTTTTCGTATTTACTTACTGATAAGTCTTCTAAGAAAGACCTGGGACATAAATAGTATAAATATTTGTTAGTCCGGAAAATATTGGTTCCGATGTTAGTTAAACTTTTTAAATTATCATCTACATCATTGTAATGGTTTGATGATTGTACTTTAGCTTAAAAAACGCCGAACAAGTTAAGCGTTTTAAATACATCGAAGAAGAAAAATCGTGTTGAAAATTGTCACAGGTGACAAGACAGGTGTGTGGGAAGACGTATGGTGTTAACTTAAAACATGAGAATATTTGCAGAAAATGACCGAAAGTGAAGGAAAATATTGGACCAGGTACTAGCGAAAACACTGCAAATATCTTTACTACTTTGAATGCTTTTAAATTAATTTAAACTTATGTTATCATGCCATTCATGGTTATAAGAAATTCTTTAATTCATACAATTATGGTAAAAGATTTCCTTCTATCTGATATGAGGCAGGTGTAACCTGTGAATGATTTTTGCAAAGTTAAAACTACAGTAAAATATTTTAATTCTTCTTAATCCTCTTGCTGCCGCTAATTTTATATGGTTACATTTTGTGTGCCAGAAAATACGACAGTTGGACGTCTTTGACGTCACATGCCCAACAATGACGTCATTTGATATATGACATCATGCCCAAATAAAATTACATTGAGGATCCTTTGAAAAAAATATTACACTGTTTAATTTTCTGTATTTTATTTGAAAGAGATACAGCAATGATTAGAAGCTTGCATAATTAAACACATGGACATATGTGTCCCATCGGCACAGCTGGTGTGGACACATATGTCCCTCCGGCAGCAAGAGGGTTAAGTAAGACAATCAGTTATTTATATATTTTATAAATAATGACATATAATGATATAAAACAAAAAATCAGAATCATTTAAAACAACCAGTAACTTATTCATGTTATTGATTTCACGACTGGAGGCTGAACAATAAATAAGTCTTTTACAAATTGCAGAAAAAAATTCCCAGCATAATTTCTGTTGAAAAAAAAAACTGATTAAAAGAAACCTACCAGAAGTTGGTCCTATTGTTAGAAATTTTATATATATGATGCCATTTTCAGTGTAACACAGAACCTCTTATCTTTAGGTAGCGTTTTTTCTTGTCTTTTCTTGAATATACAAATTCGGCGTATTACTAATATTTGTACAAATACAAAAATCTGCCTGATTGATCAGAGGTGAGTTCCCCCAGAGAACTCATTTTATTGTCGAGCATTCGACCTTTGTCGAAAAAGCGAGACATAGCGATCCAACATTCCGTCGGCGTCGTTGTCGGCGGCGGCGTCCACAAATATTCACTCTGTGGTTAAAGTTTTTGAAATTTTAATAACTTTCTTAAACTATCCTGGATTTCTACCAAACTTGGACAGAAGCTTGTTTATGATCATAAGATAATATTCAAAAGTAAATTTTAGAAAAAAAAAATCCATTTTTTCCGTATTTTACTTATAAATGGACTTTGTTTTTCTGCCAGGAAACATTACATTCACTCTGTGGTTAAAGTTTTTGAAATTTTAATAACTTTCTTAAACTATCCTGGATTTCAACAAACTTGGAAAGAAGCTTGTTTATGATTATAAGATAGTCATGATAGTATCCAGATGTAAATTTAAAAAAAAAAAAATTTCATTTTTCCGTATTTTACTTATAAATGGACTTAGTTTTTCTGCCAGTTAACATTACATTCACTCTGTGGTTAAAGTTTTAAAATTTTAACAACTTTCTTAAACTATCCTGGATTTGTACCAAACTTGGACAGAAGCTTGTTTATGATCATAAGATAGTATCCAGAAGTAAATTTTGTAAAAAAATTCCAGTTTATCCGTATTTTACTTATAAATGGACTTAGTTTTTCTGCCAGTTTACATTACATTCACTCTGTGGTTAATGTTTTTTTAAATTTTAACAACTTTCTTAAACTATCCTGGATTTTTACCAAACTTGGACAGTAGCTTGTTTATGATTAAAAGCTAGTATCTAGAAGGAAATTTTGTTAAATTTTTGTTCCATTTTTTCTGTATTTTACTTATAAATGGACTTAGTTTTTCTTCCAGTTAACATTACTTACAGTCTGCAGTTTAAGTTTTTAAAACATTTATTAGATTCATAAACTATCCTGGATTTTTACCAAACTTGGACAGAAGCTACTTACAATCAAAAGATAGTATAGAGAGGAATATTTTTATTAATTTTTTTCCTCATTTTTGTTGAGCCTGCGATTAACAGCAAAAGTAGGTGAGACACTGGGTTCCGCGGAACCCTCACGAATTTTTTGCTATAAAATTGTTTGTTGAATAAGCACTGCTCATTTTATTGTCTCGCCTGCGACGAAAGTCGCAGTATGTGGGACATACAAAATGTAGGTATTACTATCCGGCGGTGGTGTAAACTATTTGTATAAAGCTTTATATTTCAGAAGGTAGGAGACCTGGATGCTTCATATCTTGTATGCAGATACCTTATGTTACAAAGTGTCAGTCAATCATATTTCCATTTTCCTTGACCTCATTTTCATGGTTCAGCGACTGCTTAAAAAAAATTGAGTTTTTTTGTCATGTGAATTTCTCACTTATAATGAGTAATAGGATATTTGGTATATGGGGTCCTTGCAATGTCTACATGTCTGTCAGACAGAGTTCACCTGACCTCGACCTCATTTCATGGATCAGTGGTCAAGGTTAAAGTGATTAGGTCCGTTTCTCAAATACTATAAGCAATAGGTTAACTATATCTGGTGTATGGAAAGATTGTGAGGTGTACAAGCCTGTCTGGCAGGTATAATCTGACCTTGACCTCATTTTCATGGTTCATTGGTCAATGTTAAGTTTTTGTGTTTAGACTTTAGTTCTGTTTTTCAAGTACTATTAGCAATAGGTCAACTATATTTGGTGTATGGAATGATTGTAAGGTGTACATGTCTGTCTGGCAGGAATCATATGACCTTGACCTCATTTTTATGGTTCAATGGTCAATGTTAAGTTTTTATGTGTTGTTCTGTTTTTCAAATACTAATAGCAATAGGTCAGCTATATTTGGTGTATGGAATAATTGTAAGGTTCACATGTCTGTCTGGCAGGTATAATCTGACCATGACCTCATTTTCATGGTTCATTGGTCAATGTTAAGTTTTTGTGTTTTGGACTGTTATTCAATTAGCATACGCAATAGGTCAACTATATTTGGTGTATAAAAAAATTGGAAGGTGTATATGTCTGTCTTACACGATTTATTTGACCTTGACTTCACTGCACAGATCTTTAAAAATGTTAAGTTTCTTTAATGGTTTTAGTAAAACCTTTATTTTAAGACTTTCAACATAAAATCGATGGCCAGTAAAGCAGGAGAGACATTACAGCGTGTGCATTCTTGTAACAGTCACAAACAGAATATATTCAAAATGTTCATCCTCTTTGTTTTTTGTTTTGGTTATCAGTTATACAAATTTGCAGGAAATCGTATGATTAACAACATGACAGCGTCCGTCAACAGAACCGTAACAAGGTAATGGGCAAGTGCAACTGTTATAAAAAAAAGTAATTTGTATATTGTTTTTTCTTTTTATTGATTTACTTACTGTTATTGGGGACTTGGGCCAGTATGCATAAAGCTACTTAAGTTAAGATATCCAATCGTAATACTAATTTATCGTAGGACATGTAGAAATATCCGTCCGTTTGGAACAAAACTCAAGTAGCTTTATGCATACAGGCCCAGGTCCCTATATTACATTTTCACATTGTCAAATGAGAATGTATACAATGATGTAGTAGTTAAGAAAGAGGGCTGGAATTTATATAAAAGCTACATGCATTTCATATTTTAGACATTTAAAAACTTACCTTGATTTTGACATGCATTTTTTTTTAAGTCTGCAGAGATGGCAAATTATACAAACAGCAGAGATTCACTTGATATGGTCCACTCTGTTACAATCACCTATTGTTTGCAAATATCAATTGTCTCTCTATTGTCCATGTCAATTAATACAGTTCACTACATTTTAATATATGAAGGTAGCATCTCTCACATCTTTCCCAACTTAGGTTACTTTGTCACCTGTGTTTTTGTGACGTTTCGGCCACAAAACCAGTTCAGCCACGGGTTGTTTTGGCCACAGTACCAGATCAGGCATAGTCGATTTGGATATAAAAATAAGAAGATGTGGTATAATTGCCAATGAGACAACTCTCCACCAGACACCAATGACATAGAAGTTAACAGTTGGATACACTATTTCATAATTTCTTTTCACATAAATACATGCATTAATTGTTTTGAGAGAAATTTGTTTTCAAAAGGAATACAACTAAATATAAATTCATTTTGTCATATTAAAAGTGTACATCTGCTGTAAAGCACAAGGACACAAGACTTCTTTACGTTACTCTTGGTTAAGACAATAATGTTTCACTTTGACGCTTGATTAAAATATTATTTTTAAATCAGACAATATAAAGTGATCAGTTTGTGCTGCAAAGTCTGTACTGCTAAGAGCTACTCAGGCAGCAAGCTTGCATTGTTATAAGAATATATGCACCAACTGTAAGTTTGTATTCACTTGAACTCAGTGTGTTGTTTTATGGTTATCTTGTATCAATGAATGTAAGTGTATGATTGAATAGAAATAAGAAGATGTGGTATGCGTGTATGTTTTCTTTGTTTTTTATGTCTGTTTGTAGAAAAAAATTATATTTTCCTCCCTTTATCATGACTGAAAGACTTTACAAAGTATGGTAGAACTTGCAGTGGTCGAAATGACCCTGACCAAACTGGAAGTGTGGCCAAAACGTCTTGCATCACCTTCTGCAGGACCATAAACAATGTACATGTATAGCAAAATTAATTCTGTAACTTTTAATATTTTGAAACTTAAAGTGCATTTAAATTTTATTTATCTAGGTCCAGCCATGCCTTAATCCAGATGCACAGGTTTTTCTGTACTCAGAGTATATTTTGTGGTGTAAACACGGCCATACTTTTTAATTGAACATTTTAATTTTACAGACCTGAACGTAGAAAATGGGCAGGTGGACTCTTCTTTGGTTGTATGGCTTTGTATGCTTGTAGAACTGTGCCACCATTATGTTTACCAAATATGGCAGAAGAATTTGGCTGGGACAAAACACAGTCGGTAAGGTTTAATAATACATAAAATGGATGACAGACCACATCAACTAATCAAATGTTCAAACAAAGTCTAATAAAAAACAAAAAAACACATTATGGAAATTTAAAATCTGAAAAACGCAGCTCTAAAATAGCCTTGGAGAGAACACTGACATGGTCCAGACAACCTGACTTAGTTAAGGCACAAAAAATGGTGGGGTTATGGGTAAACCAGTTTAAAGTGTGCACACGTCCTGATTTTTATGGGCACATTGTCATTATCTTTTACTGACCAATGTAAACCAATAGAAAATACAATGTAAAAGGTGACAACCAGAAAGAAATTTAGGTCTGTAAGTCCACTTGCTTGACAAAAGAAAATGTTAACTTATTGTAGTTCTAAGCTAATCATTTTTGTTTAAATAATTTTATATTAACTTTTAACTATATATATTTTTCTATATTTTAAAATGACATTACAAATTTAAGTCAAGGAAAAACAGTCAAAAGATTTTGTCTTATTTTGGTATTTTAAGTATAGTTGATCAATATTTTCAGGGCACAGTCTTGGGAAGTTTTTTTTGGGGTTACACAATGACTCAGTTTTTAGGAGGTTATCTGAGTGACAAAATTGGAGGAGATGTAGTATTGCCTGTAGCAGCCACTTTTTGGACATTAGTCACATTGATGACACCCCAGCTTGCCTATCTTTCAACAGATAAATATACCACTCTCTACATAGTTATATTGTCTAGAGTTTTATTAGGATTGTCACAAGGTATAGTTTTTTATATTGTAATAAAATATATAAAATTGGTCAAAGACTCATATGACTGGGTTGCAATAGTAAGAATTTGTTATTTGAAAAGCCATAAAAATGGTAATTATACTAGAACATGTATTTGATAACCCTAAGGGGCACACACATTTGAATGCTAGTATAGAAAGATCTCTTCAAAGTAGTCAAATTAAGAATATGTCAGTATCGCAGGAGATATTAGCTAAAACAGACATACATTGTCATAAAAACTGGGTATCCTTCATAGAGAATGCTGCTAAATTTTTCATCATACAGAAAACCTGCAAAAAATCCCCAAATATGTACACAAATATATATCTATACATAGGTGTTAATCTTTGATGTGTATATATACAAGACCGTAGAAAGTTTAAAGGCTCTGGGTTGAAATAGTGACACAAATTCAGTACCCTTTATCTAAAGAATATTGATGAACATTGACTATGTTTCACCGAACAAAACTTCTCAAAATTTGAAAAACAAAGTAAGGTGATCATTTTCAATGTATACACAGACATGATAGATAGTTTGAGGTCTCTGGGTTGAAAATTTTCAACATAATTTATGAGGAAATAAGTTGAATTTCTTTATCAGTCCATTGAATAATATGACTAAAAGAAGATCTGTGGTATATTTTAATGAGACAGAAACCCAACTTGAAAAACATAAAGTTGTTATCAAAAATTTATGAGTGCATTAACCATTTTTATTAATGAAAAATCCTAGTAAATACAAAAACTGTTTGATATTGTTTATGATAAGAGTAAATTATCATAAATTGACCTTGTAATGACAAAAAGTGAAAGAGAAAACATGTCTTTTTCTATGCATATAATAATGTTTTTTTATGAAAGGTAAATGTATAGTGATAGAAAGATGAAAGTTTGCCATTATAATTTATTACAGGTTTCCATGTGCCTGGTACAACATCATTAATTGCCAGAAAAGTTTTAGAAGAAGAAAGATCATCAACATATAGTTTTGTGTGTGCTGGATCTCCTCTTGGGTATTGAAAGTACTGATATTATATTTGTATCTCCTCTTGGCTATTGAAAGTACTGATATTATATTAGTATCTCCTCTTGGGTACTAAAAGTACTGATATTATATTTGTATCTCCTCTTGGGTATTGAAAGTACTGATATTATTTTAGTATCTCATCTTGGGTACTAAAAGTACTGATATTATATTTGTATCTCATCTTGGGTATTGAAAGTACTGAAATTATTTTTGTATCTCCTCTTGGGTATTGAAAGTACTGAAATTATTTTAGTATCTCCTCTTGGGTACTAAAAGTACTGATATTATATAAGTATCTCCTCTTGGGTTTCGAAAGTACTGATATTATATTATATTTGTATCTCCCCTTGGGTATTCAAAGTACTGATATTATATTTGTAACTCCTCTTGGTTATTGAAAGTACTGATATTATATTTGTATCTCCTCTTGGGTACTAAAAGGACTGATATTATATTTGTATCTCCCCTTGGGTACTAAAAGTACTGATATTACATGTATTATATTCTTGGGTATTGAAAGTACTGATATTATATTTGTATCTCCTCTTGGGTATTGAAAGTACTGAAATTATTTTAGTATCTCCTCTTGGGTACTAAAAGTACTGATATTATATAAGTATCTCCTCTTGGGTTTCGAAAGTACTGATATTATATTTGTATATCCCCTTGGGTACTAAAAGTACTGATATTATATTTGTATCTCCTCTTGGGTATTGAAAGTACTGATATTATATTTGTATCTCCCCTTGGGTATTCAAAGTACTGATATTATATTTGTAACTCCTCTTGGTTATTGAAAGTACTGATATTATATTTGTATCTCCTCTTGGGTACTAAAAGTACTGATATTATATTTGTATCTCCCCTTGGGTATTGAAGGTACTGATATTATCAGTTTTCTAGTTATTATACATGTTATAATTTATTTATTGTATATATTGAGTCATTTGTTTACAGATAGGAGATTATCTTATTTTTAATTTAAAACCTGTTAAAAATAAAATAAGAATTTTGAAATTTTCCAATAAATAATGCTTTATAAAGAGAGTTAATACTGTTTCAGGGGAGATAACTTTTAGCATGATAATGACCACCCAGTGGCCTGATGTTGCCAGTAATAATTTGTTCGTTATAACAGAATTTATAGGTAATCACAGGTCTAACAAATTTGAAAGATGGTGCCCAAAATTTATCATTGAATGAGTTACAAAACACAATATTTGTCCTTTAAAAAAAACCAAAAGGCAATTTTTTTCATTCTGCTAGAGTTGTTGCCTACAGCGAAAGGGAATTTTCTGTAAAAGGTAAGGTGACAACTGGGGAACACATTTTGAGGAACTTTTAATGACTTTTCTTCAAAAAGCATGGTAGCACATTTTATTTTAAATTATTTGACTCCAAAAAGTCCGAATGCACCATGAAAGCAAATTCATATACAACTATTGGGAAAAAAATGACAAAATAAGATCTCTGTTATCATGGTAAATTGCGCAGCTTTTTTGTTGGATAATGAATTATGTTAATTCAATTAAGTTTTGAAATTAAATTTTATTTACAATTACAATGTATCTTTTTGATTATGCAAGGACAAATTGACTAGCTTCTGGGCATACCTGGTTCTTTTTTGACACAGTGTAAGTAATATTACCTTTAAATGGTAAAAGGATTTACAAAAATATAAGACAGTACAAAAGACCACACTAAACACCAACAACTGACTTCTCGGAAAAAAATAAAATCTATGATACAGCTTTTAGTTCATCAGCATAAAAATAAAGAGATTTGGTATGATTGCTATTGAGACAACTATCCACCAGTGTTCAAATGATGTAGACATAAACAGTTATAGATGTATAGGTCGCTGTATGGTCTTCAACGATGATAAAAAAGATGTACAGTCAGCTCCAAAAGGCTCCAACATAAAAAAGGTGAAATAAATCAAACGAGAAACTTACAGCCTGTTTTATAACAGTACAATTTACAAAATACAAATATGACAGACCTGAGCCAACGATAACCACTGAATTACAGGCTATTGACTTGGTACAGACACATAAAGAATGTGGGCAGGTAAAACATGTTTGTGAGTGCTCAGCCCTCCCCCTAACCTGGGACAGTGATGTAACAGCACAACATAAGAACAAACTAGGTGTGCACAGGACCACCATTTTAGTTACCAGTTCATGTTTTGTATTTTGAAGATAGAGGCTTTTTAGTAAAATTTGTCAAAAGTTGTCCATTAACTTTGAAATTACAATTTTATTCAGAGTCAAGGCTATTTGAAAGTCTAAGAAATGATTTTCAAGTGATATTGACTGATGAACACATACATATTACATGTATATCATACTGTCCATCTGTTGCTTGTCTCAGCTTTTAAAGAAATGTAACATGTTTCTGTGTCTTTGATCTTTATGCATGCATTATAGAAACACATCTGGTTTTTTTTTAGGACTTTATTAACTGGAAGTGTTGGTTCTCTGCTATTGGAAACTTATGGCTGGCACAGTGTATACTACTTTATAGGTATGTGATCATGGGTGTTGTTCTGATATATGTCTAAATAAGACTAAATACATACTTTTTATCATGTGTTCAAAATGCCTTTCTTTACAGAATATGAGATGGTAGTTAATACCAAATTAAAGCTGCTATTATTAGAGTGAATAAAATACTCAGCTGCGGATTTAGGGGGGGGGGCAGGGGGCCCGTGCCCTCCCTTTTGTGGGAAAATTTGGTTGATTATATAGGGAATCACTAAAGCATGACTGGAGTGGGCCCCCACTTATGAAAATTTCTGGATCCGCCACTGATACTTATCGAGATAAAATTATTCTTCAGATTTACTAAATTTTATGATCATTCCAACAACATTAATTTTGTTGGTCTAGTTCAAAGCAAGGTTCATAGTACATTTTGTATATGACTTTATATAGATATAGGAAGATGTGGTATGAGTGTCAATGAGACAACTCTCCATCCAAGTTACAATTTATAAAAGTAAACCATTATTTAGCATGTATTTTATGCTAGATCAACACCCTGGGCCATATTTTTAATATTGCTGGTTCACAATTTAACTGTCCACAGGATGACATGTGACAATAACCACACACATTATTCTGACCAGTCTTTGCTGTAACTTCTGAATGTCTTGTACTTAGTGGAGAAGCCGATATTCATGTCTTTGGTTTGGCCTGGTTTGTGGAATCAAACCCTTGAACTCTAGCTCTTTAGGCAAGTATACTACCATGAGACCATGTCGACTGTTCCTATCTTTTTTAGTAGTACAAAGAACAATTGTGTGTTGTTTGCCCATTTGTTATCGTCAGTCGACTCCTTATTATATAATTATTGCCCTTTGATGACGATTCTTACCAATTTTTTTGCGTTTTTGCTTTATATCTTAAAAGTTATAATAGATAGATAGAAACTGAAATGAGCCTCTAGTTTTTTAAGAATCATCAATATAAAGAAATTTAAGAAAAACCAGGAAAATTTATCAACATTAGTAAGAGATCGAAGACACAGACTGTAAAAATTTATTTATACTATCAAAGGGTAGATTAATATACATTTTTTATTTTAGGTATGTTTAGTATTTTATGGACATTAGGCATGAGATTTATACTGATAGCCAACCATAGAAAAAAGTACCAACTTTCAGTAGATTCAGCAGATAAACCTATTAAAGTAGACAGGGAACCAGTGCCATGGTTAATGTTACTTACTAAATCTGGATTTTGGTAAGACTGTTTACTTGTTATTGTAGACCATTAACTTACGAGAAGAATAATTAAAAAGGGAAATAATTAAATTTATTGACAGTCTACAAAAAAAATGAGAATGTACCAAGGTAACAAACAAAATTATAAGTACCAAGGTTACAAACAAAATCATAAGTACTAAGGTAACAAACAAAATGATAAGTACCAAGGTCACAAACAAAATCATAAGTACCAAGGTCACAAACAAAATCATAAGTACCAAGGTCACAAACAAAATCATAAGTACAAAGGTAACAAACAAAATCATAAGTACCAAGGTCACAAACAAAATCATAAGTACCAAGGTCACAAACAAATATATAAAAAACAAGGTTACAAACAAAATTATAACTACCAAGGTCACAAACTAATACGTACCAAAGTCACAAACTAATAAGTACCAAGGTTGCAAGTTAGATTATTAGTACCAATCTCACAATCAGTACCAAGGTCACAAGTAAAATTATAAATACATAGGTCACAAGCAAAATTATAAATACCTAGGTCAAAAAACAAAATTATAAGAACCAAGGTTACAAACTAATTATAAGTACAATGTACCAAGGTCACAAACTAATTATAAGTACAATGTACCAAGGTCACAAACTAATTATAAGTACAATGTACCAAGGTCACAAGCAAAATTATAAATACATAGGTCACAAGCAAAATTATAAATACCTAGGTCAAAAAACAAAATTATAAGAACCAAGGTTACAAACTAATTATAAGTACAATGTACCAAGGTCACAAACTAATTATAAGTACAATGTACCAAGGTCACAAACTAATTATAAGTACAATGTACCAAGGTCACAAGCAAAATTATAAATATCTAGGTCACAAGCAAAATTATAAATACCTAGGTCACAAACTGATTATAAGTACCCTTGTCACAAACATAATTATAAGTACCAAGGTCACAAGCAAAATTAAAAGTACCAAGCTCACAAACTGATTATAAGTACCCAAGTCACAAACAAAATTATTACATGTAGTACCAAGGTCAAAAACAAAATTCTAAGTCCAGGATGGATAGGTAAGAGTATTGCCATATAAAAAAGGATAAAAAAACACAAAGTCCACAAAACACTTCACAGCAGGAAACTTAATATTGAGCAACATATAATGCATATACCAACAAAAAAATTGGGGATAAACTAAAGTGATTCAGAAGGATAACACAGAAGGGCAGTATCTAGGTTAACAGAGACATAGTTTTACCACAGTGGAAATATTCTGTAGTAAAGCTTAGTCTATGTTGACTAGTGATAGAATAAATGCCATTGTTTTCAGCACTCTGAAACAGAAATTATGTCAGCAATTTACAGATTTACAGACCAATGTCTTAAAAAATCTAAGAAAAAAAATGAAAACAACACATTAAATAATTTCATGCGTCCAAAGCGCTTTTTCTGGATTTACCTTCATCAGGAACACTCAAAGCTGAATATTTGAAAGCAGAGGATGTATAAGTACCGAAACAGTTGAAGAGCTATATGACAAAAAAAAATCTAAAAATTAGCCAAATCCATCTGAGGTCAACTTTGCCTGAGGGAGTTGAAACATACAAAAATGCTAAAATAGTGAGGATTTTTTTGGTAAAATATGGAGGTGTATGGGCAGAAACAAGCTCTAGATGCATTAATTTAACACAATTGATTTATTCACTGAAATGTCTATGGTAGTAATATGACGTGAAAAATTGCACTACACCATTATTTTATTTAACGCTTATTCAACTGTGCGATAAATATTTATTTTGATATATTTCAGGGCTCCTGTGATTGGTCATTTTTGTCATGCTAACTCATTCTTCATCTTGCTATCATGGGCACCAACATATTTTCATGAAAATTTTCCAACAGCAAAGGTATAAATCATGTTGAATTAGATAGCACTAAATTTAAGCCAAACTCCATCTGGTCACTTTGGTTGTTTTTTTGAAAGTTAAATGAAACTGTACCAGTAAATGATCAGATTATCAGTAATTCAGAATTTACTACCTTTGTCAAATAATATATATATATAGATTGTTCGAACATTGAAAGAATTTTAACTATTATAAGATGTACATTGCATTTTGTTGATTGAAAGAATAGCTTATTTGTGATATCAATTAGTAATTCCATTTTAACTGTTATTGTTTTGAATTTGAAGACAATTATTTTATACTTTGATGCTGTTACAGGGTTGGGTGTTTAATGTTGTGCCGTGGGTAGTTTCAATATTCAGCAGTATATTTGGTGGATGGCTAGCAGACACCATGATAAGAAAAGGTATGTTTAATAGGTAGAGCACATAAAATACAGCTATTTAGTATATTCTTTTGAATCTTGACACGAGGTCATATATTAAGGTCATAGTTAATACTTAAAAGTAACCAAAATAGGTATTAAAAAGGGGTTTGTTGATGATAATCCTGGACCTTAAACTTATAATGGAAGGAAAATACCTATTGATTTATTAATAAGAAAGAATAAAAAGAGAAAGAAGGTTATAGCGAGTGATATTGTAAGCTTACTCATTAAGGTTCTTAAATATATTTGATTACAATTTCAACTTTGAATTTGAGCATTATTTCAAAGTTTTCTAAGGGATATATCCTTCGGCAAAAGAAACTAACATAAGCATTTTGCACTAAATAATTCTCTTCAAAAATCTTATAAACTGAATGTACTATAGCATAGATTTTTCAACTTGCTCCACAGCAGAGTCCTGTTGAAGTTTACTTCCTTGACTGGATTTAGACTATGACTGGCAAGCTAGCCAGCAGTAATTTCTAACACAGAAAATAGGTCAAACAAGGCACTTGTTGTATATTGTCCTTTTATATAATTTATGTAGTTGTTGCTATTTACAGTATCTTATTTTTTTAAATCAGAAGTTATTAGATTCCTTGAAAAGAAATGTTTGTATTTCGAAGAAACTCCTGTAATAAATGCTTTATTTCATAACGGTTAAAATTATTATCATATGAATATGCAAATAAATCAGCATGATGAAACATTGAAATCTATATAGATCAGGTATAATACCAAATGTTTGAAATTTTGTAGGGTACTCAGTCACTTTTGTCAGAAAGTTTATAGAGGTAAGTTTCAAATATATTTATTAAATTGTTATATACAGTATTCAATTAAATATTGACATTATTTCACTCTTTTATTTTGAAATGCAACAAGCTTTATGATTGTCAACAGAATTTTTGTAATGTTTGCATTTCTGTTAATACAATTATGTGCCTTATTAATGTGTGAAAAATACTTTAAAATATTACTCAAAGCGTCCTCATTATTCCTAAATCCTATATGTGAACTGAATTTTAGCTAAAAGTTAAATCAACATGAGAATGCAATGGTAGTTTTTATACGACCGCAAAAAAATTTTTGTGGTCGTATATTGGTATGACGTTGGCCTTGTCGTCCGGCGTCGTCCGAAGACACAGTGGTTTTCCCACTCTAACTTTAGTTTAAGTGAATGGATCTCTATGAAATTTTACCACAAGGTTCAATACCACAAAAGGAAGGTTGGGATTGATTTTGGGGGTTATGGTACCAACAGTAAAGGAATAAGGGGCCAAAAGGGGGCCAAAAATAAGCATTTTTGTAACTTCCAGACATAATTTGTGTGTAAGTGTATGGATCTCTCTGACATTGTACCACAAGGTTCCATATCACAAAAGGAATGCTGGGATTGATTTTGGGGGTAATTGCCTCAAATTTTAGGAATTAGGGGCCAAAAAAGGGGCAAAAAACAAGCATTTTTCTAGTTTCATGACAATAACTTGTGTGTAAGTGTATGGATCTTTCTGAAATTGTACTACAAGGTTCCGTATCACAAAGGGAAAGCTGGAATTGAGTTTGGGGGTAATTGCCGAAACGTTTAGGAATTGGGGGCCAAAAAGGGGCCAAAAATAAGCATTTTTCTAGTTTCCAGACAATAACTTGTGTTCAAGTGTATGGATCTCTCTGAAATTGTACTGCAAGGTACCATACCACAAAGGGAAGGCTGGGATTGATGATGGGGGTAATTGCCTCAATATTTTAGGAAGTAGGGGCAAAAAAAAAGGGTGTAAGTGTATGGATCTCTCTGGGGGGGGGTTTCATTTTTTTTCTTTTTTTCCTTTTTTTTTCTTTTAAAATTTTCCATTTTAAGTTGGTTATTTCTGATTTATATTTAAAAGCAAATAATAATGATATGGTAGGAGATACACACCAAACAGGATGTGTAAATTATTATATAATAAGTATTTTGCAATAGCAAGAAATTTTCAATTGCACAGTATTGCACAATAGCAAGAAATCTTCAATTGCACAGTATTGCGCAATAGCAAGAAATCTTCAATTGCACAGTATTGCGCAATAGCAAGAAATATCCAATAGCACAATATTGCGCAATAGCAAGAAATTGTCAATTGTACAGTATTGCGCAATAGCAAGAAATATTTAATTGCACAGTATTGTGCAAAAGAAGATACTTCGTATAAATTGCTTATTTCTTGACCAATTTCAATAGGGTTTTATTCTTGAATTTTTGGGGTTCTTTAATATGCTGAATCTAACCGTGTATTTAGTTTTTGGACCCCGTTTTTAAATTGGTCCACATTGAGGTCCAAAGGGTCCAACATTAAACTTTGTTTGATTTCATCAAAAATTGAATTATTGGGATTCTTTGATATGCCGAATCTAACCGTGTATTTAGATTCTTAATTTTTGGTTCCGTTTTCAAATTGGTCTACATTAAGGTCCAAAGGGTCCAAAATTAAACTTAGTTTGATTTTAACAAAAATTGAATTCTTAGTGTTCTTTGATATGCTGAATCTAAACATGTATTTAGATTTTTGATTATGGGCCCAGTTTTCAAGTTGGTCCAAATCGGGGTCCAAAATTAAACTTTGTTTGATTTCAACATAAATTGAATATATGGGGTTCTTTGATATGCTGAATCTAACCATGTATTTAGATTTTTGATTTTTGGGCCCCGTTATCAACTTTGTCCACATTGAGGTCAAAAGGGTCCAAAATTAAACTTTGTTTGATTTCATCAAAAATTGAATTCTTGGGCTTCTTTGATGTGCTGAATCTAACCATGTATTTAGATTTTGGATATTGGACCATAATAGGTGAATGTCCAATTTAAAATTTTTAAGTTCTCAGACCACATTCATTCTGTGTCAGAAACCTATGCTGTGTCAAATATTTAATCACAATCCAAATGCAAAGCTGTATCAAGCTTGAATGTTGTGTCCATACTTGCCCCAACTGTTCAGGGTTCGACCTCTGCGGATGTATCAAGCTGCGCCCTGCGGAGCATTTTATTTTTTTTATATTGATTAGAGACAAAACAAATGCAATATAAAATATCAAGTTTTCTACCAATATAATCTCACTATCTATTCTGTAAAGTTGATTTTTTTTATATTTCAGACAATCTCATTAATTGGTACAGCTGGAGCATTGATATTAATTTCCTACATGTCAAATTTTGAAGGAGCATTATTCTGTGTGGTCTTTGCTGTGGCTTCATGTGGTCTTCATAACAGTGGTATACTCATCAACACACAAGATATTGCACCAAAACATGCTGGATCAGTGTTTGGTAAGCTTTCTAATTCGTATTATTTCCATGTATTGTGTAACCGGAGAGCATGATTCTATTTGCAAAATCGCATGTCTCCACAGGGACTCGAACCCGGGACCTCTGTGTTACAAGGCAGCGTGTTAACCGACTGAGCTAAAGGAGTACTTCCTTAGCTCAACCGCTTACTTCTGACTAAGTATCTACTAAAGTTCTAAGGGAAGCAATCCCGTCACACTTCCCCCACCTCAAGAGTCATTATACTCTATAATGATGATATCTTCATCTTTTTTATATTTATGTTTTAACCTTGCTAGGTATTTCTTCTAACCATGGGTTTTTATTGTTGGGCGCCAATGTAACCGGAGAGCATGATTCTACTTGCAAAATCACATGTCTCCACCGGGACTCTAACCCGGGACCTCTGTGTTACAAGGCAGCACGTTAACCAACTGAGCTAAAGGAGTACTTCCTTAGCTCAACCGCTTACTTCTGACTAAGTATCTACTAAAGTTCTAAGGGAAGCAATCCCGTCACACTTCCCCCACCTCAAGAGTCATTATACTCTATAATGATGATATCTTCATCTTTTTTATATTTATGTTTTAACCTTGCTAGGTATTTCTTCTAACCATGGGTTTTTATTGTTGGGCGCCAATGTAACCGGAGAGCATGATTCTACTTGCAAAATCGCATGTCTCCACCGGGACTCTAACCCGGGACCTCTGTGTTACAAGGCAGCACGTTAACCAACTGAGCTAAAGGAGAACTTCCTTAGCTCAACTGCTTACGGCTGACTAAGTATCTACTAAAGTTCTAAGGGAAGCAATCCCGTCACAATTGTTTTAATCCCTGTTATTTATAAAGCATTGTTCATAAGTTGAAAAAAAGTTGAACTGGACAATCAAGTCCAAATTTTCTTTCATTTTTATCAGCATATTGATACCTGTTCATTTTTTAATAGAACAGACATGAATTTGATAATTACAAATTCTTTTCATTTCGTTGGTTTTAACTAGTGTTCAGTTCAATGCTGCAGACAGGGGCCAAATTGGAAACATGGTTAATCATATAATAGTACACTTACCTCTGCTAATATGTATTAAGTCACAGTACAATATGCACATTGGTCCCCTGTTTGGACATATATGAGCATGATGAGTTTAGACATATAGGAGCAATATAAGTACTTTGCTAGTATAAAATATGTGTATATAGCCTTTGTCTATTAATTGTTGTATCATCATTTATTACACAATTTGCAGAGTTTTTGAGTTCACATACTTATATAGATGGGGATTATAGATAGATAAGATAGAACACTGTGTTTCTATTGTAAGACACTTTAAGCTAAGCAGAGAAGATGTAAGATTCTAAAGTTAAAAGAAGTACATCACTCTCCTATATGAAAAAGAAGATGTGGTATGGGTGCCAATGAGACAACTCTCCATCTAAGTCACAATGTATAAAAAGTTAACAATTATAGGTCAAAGTACGGCTTTAACACGGAGCCTTGGCTCACACCAAACAGCAAGCTATAAAGGGCCCCAAAATGACTAGTGTAAAACAATTCAAACAGGAAAACCAAAGTTCTAATCTTTATAAAAAAAGAGATTTTTCAATATGTTGAATGAATTAAAAAATTTCCTTGCACATTTCTCCAATACTACTAAACAGAATTACTTCATATGTTCTCAGGAGTTCAACAGTAATGATGTAACACGTGTGTGTTTTTCATATCTGTAAGACACCCACTTTTTTAGTTTCATTACTTTGAATTATGAGTGGGGGTATGTGTAGCATGACAACACGTGCATTCTTGTTCTGACAGAATCTCACTGAAATACTTAAGACATAACTTTTACAACAGTGGTTTGTTCACCACAGGCCAAATCAGGGTTTTACATTAAAATTAAGCATGTATTATTTTATGTAGATATTTTGTTTCAAATTTTTACTTGCATTGTAGGTATTATGAACATGGCAGGAGCTATTCCAGGTAAGACTTAACCTTTACTTTACTTTAATGTTTTGAAAAATTAATATTGTGTCTGTATAAATTTGAATACTATATGTTAAATGTAGTGTCTCTCTCTATATACATGTATATATACAAACAAAAAAGCTTTTACCAGGGTATAATCCTTTTTGAATGAATTCCTTTGTCCTATTTTCCAGAGAGAAATGAGGAAACAATTTTTAAAAGGTACGGGACAAATACTATTAGATCAATATAAATATATGGAAATACATTGTAGCTTAAGGAAATTTGCAGCTTGTTAAAAAAAAAATAATTTGAATATTGCTGTTGCTATCATTTTTGCTTTTTTTATGAGAAACAAAAAAAACAAACAAAAAATTAGTGTTGAGTATTATTTATATTTCATTTTAGGTTTTGTAGGAGTATATATGGCAGGTCACATTTTAGAGGCCACCAAGAGCTGGGCAGCAGTATTTAACCAGACAGCTGGTGTTTGTATTTTTGGCTGTATTGTTTACTTACTATTTGGGACAGGAAAAAGGATTATATGAATGTATTATTAGTTTGTTGAAATTGATTAAATCAAATTTTACACTTGGATTGGAGGGAATATTCATTTACTTATTTATATATTTATTCTAATTGTATTTTATACTGAATTATTTTTTAATTAATTCTTTGAGGGTTGTTAATTTTACATGTGATTTATATTTATATTTGCTCCTATCAAAGGTACACATTTGTTTTTATAAAAGGCCATATTTATACCCCTTCAAGGTGGAGAAGGAGTATATAGTAATTATTGTGTATATCAAATTTTTATGCTCCACATACAATAGTAGTGGTAACTATGTTTTCTTGCCTGTGCATTCATCCGTTTGTCCTTTAGCCTGTCTTGTATCAGGTTTAATTTATGGTTAATTAATGTATTCTTAATTCTTTGATTGTTTTTAATTTGACATTTTATGTTAGCTCTGCACAATTTTTCTAATTTATTTTTACAAGACATTGAAATATAAACAAAATCAAATTTACAATTCTTGTGTTAAAAAATCACAAATATTGACAAACATGTTTTTGTGCTAGGATTTCAACAAAAATTGATATGTATAGGTATAATATGGTATTCAAAATTGTTTCCTGGTATCATAATTTGATTTCTTTTTTTATTAAAAGTAGGGGATAGATATACTTTTTGTTTAAAAATCATGAATTTTGAAAAATGTCCTCTTATGCTAGAATTTATAAAAAATTTGACATATAGATGTAATAAATTATTTCAAAAGTGATGATTGTGCCAAAAAAACAAAATCACACGTTGAATTAATAGGTAGTGTCAAAATTTGTGAAAATTTACAACCTATGAACAGGCATTGCTTTGTATGCATCAGTCTCTTTGCCTCACATAAAAATGTGCAAGAGGGCCTCTTGCTAACATGTCAGTTTTTCTAGTATGTATCTGTTTTATAATTTGGTATACAGTAATTATTACATTACATAAATATCTTGTATGGATTCCATTATATAAAACAACACTTCAATGGCTGTTTGTGCTCATCATGACTTTGTTACATTAAAAATTCTGTATATATCTTTATTAAATAAATGCAGATTTATCAGTAGTTATGCTCAGGTTGATTTGAAATTACAATTAATATATGATCTATAAGAGTTATATATTAAATGATATATATGTAATGGTATATTTGCATGAAATTCATTGACCTGGTTCTTCAGTATATTCAAAATATTCATATACATTCAATTGGATAAGTATTAGATAGACTCCATGGTTTTGGAATTAGTGCTCATATCTAGGGACACTCCAGCTTTCAGACTGAGTCATTTAATCAAACTGTATGTCCAAGATAACATAACTGTGTGTTTACCAATCAAAAAAATAGTTGTAACCTCTTCACATTTGATGATTATAACTCTTGTTGTTGAATAATTGTGTTTGTTTTAAAATTTGTATAAAATTGAAATTGTATATTTACATGTTTATTTTAACCAGATTTTTAAAAAATTTAACATAATGTGAAGATACATAAGAGTAATATCCCATCAGTTTTAATGATTGGTTTATCTCAAACAAAATTGCATAACTCAGATGCTATAAGTTCTTTGATTAAGAATGATCTTGTCTTGTAGTAACATTCTCATTAGTGAAAACTTCAGGATCTATATAAAAAGTGAAGATTCATGCTGAATGCAGCAAGTTTATGCTCATGTTTACATCAAAATTGAATATGTACTATAATGTATAGGATTATAGAATCTTGCTTTCATGTGAACTGATGTAAATGCCAATATAGAGTTATATCTATTCTCCATTATCTTTGTTATATTTATATATATAAGTTGAGGTTAAATTTGTTAAAAACTATACATGTAGATTTATATTTATCATGATTTGGAAATTCATATACTGCAATTTATTATCAAATATTTTCATTAAACCAATTATATAACCAAGCATACTTTGAAATCATGGATTGAAATGACTAAAGTTTTAATAATTTGAATTTATATCGCATTGACTGACTCATACATGTCAATTTTTCAGAGAAAAGAATCTAATGAAAAAGTGCTCAGGTGTGTGTTTTTTTTTTCTTTTAATTTTCATTTCTTAACTTCAATTTGACATTCTAACATATAATAACTTGACATAATAAGTTGGTAATTTTGTTTTTTGACCCAAAAACAATATGGGATATAAGTCTGTGCTATTTAATTTATTTGCTGTCAATACAATTATTTGTTTGTAAAACCTGGATCTATAATGCCATTACTACAAACAGAAATTTATGTGAAAATATTTTAGGAAGAAATATATAAATTGTTATATTTAAGTTTTGCATGCATTTTGAGAAGAGCACGAGGAGCTGTATACATGTATGTAACTTTAATACATTCCCAAAATATAAAAGTTACAAATGATTTTTTTTTCTTATGAAATTCTGCATGCTATTGTTTATGGTTACATCATAAGTGAAACAGATTTTTGCTTCTTAAAGGTTGTTTGAAAAAGATCAGTGGCGGATCCAGAAATTTTCATAAGTGGGGGCCCACTGACTGCCTAAGAGGGGGCCCTGCTCCGGTCATGCTTCAGTGATTCTCTATATAATCAACCAAAATTTTCCCAGAAAAGGGGGGGGCCCAGACCCCCTGGGCCCTCCCTCTAAATCTGCCTCTGACGATGTTTTGATGAGTGTTTTATTTTTATTGACGTTCCATAAACAGATCATGTGAAATAGTTTATTTTTTAAAGGAGCTATTTAAAGATCTGTTATTATTTATAACTTTTATACTGTAAAACCCGAAATCAAAAGCATTTGAAGATGGTAGTTATTATCTAGTTAAACAAATTCTGATACATATAAGTTTTTTCTGATAATCTATATAAATTATTGCTAGTGTTCATTACTTTTCTTATGTTATGCCTACCACATTAGACAATGCAAGTTTGTAGTTTTACCACTGTATATGTTCATACATGTTTTCTTTCTAAATTTTTATGCCCCACCTACGATAGTTCGTTCGTCCGTCTGTCTGTCCCGCTTCAGGTTCAAGTTTTTGGTCAAGGTAGTTTTTGATGAAGTTGAAGTCCAATCTACTTGAAACTTAGTACACATGTTCCCTATGGTATGATCTTTCTAATATTAATGCCAAATTAGAGTTTTGACCCCAATTTCACGGTCCACTGAACATAGAAAATGATAGTGCAAATGGGGCATCCGTGTACTATGGACACATTCTTGTTATATCTTGCCTTGATGAAGTCCCAAATACTTGACCAAGGCATGCTGTTTCTTGCAGTTGTCCCAGGGGAAAAAAAGAAATCGACAGTTGGTTGTTAAATAGGTCAGTTTAAGGTGCACCAATATTGGTAAATCAATGATATTTGGTATGCAGTTGTATTAACTCATCTCATTTCCATGAAGATTATATGGCCAACCCGCTTAGTCATATTTTCATTGCAACTGAAACTTTTGCATAGTTTCATGTAAAAGTTTGTGATAAGGTCAGTTTAAAAGGAACACCCAATGATAAGTCAATGGAGTTTGGTAAGGTGTTACATTAGCATTGGCATATCTCATTTAACAGAGAATATTTAGCCCTGCAACTTCAGTCATGGTTCATTGACTTTGCATAGTTTACACATTTAAAGTATTCCATTTTGATTAAAGTATTTGCATTATACTGTCAAAATTACATACAGGTAAGACATAAATTTGTGTCATCTGTTTATTATTTGTACATGTTTCTATTTTCCAATCAAAACTTTTTTAGCTATAATCATACAATTTTTTATTCTTTAATTTTTGTATGTTTTGATTGTTGCAAAAATTTATAACTTTAGGAAGGGCAGCATCATTTTGTGAATTTTAGGTATTTCTTAAAATAATATTTCTGATTAACATTTTTGTCTATCCAGTGATAAAATCATATAAGCAAGACTTAAATCATGCAGTATCTGTCATTGCTGCATCAAAAATGTTAAAAGTCATGATTAGGTCTATTAAAGAGGGCAATAATGTTCAATCAATGATATTGGTTTTGCAGTTGTGTTAACACGGTTGAATCCCTTATTCCCTGCAGATTTTTTAGCACTACCAATTCATGAACTTGTAATCAGTTAATTTTGCAACTTCTGCATAGTTTACATATTTAAAGTTTGTAATTGGGTTGTTTAAGATGAACCACCTATGGTAAGTTCCATGGAGATTAATTGGCCCTGCCCTCTTAGTCATGGTCCATTTACTTTGATAGTTTTACACAGTTTACATGTTAAAGTGTTGCCATTAAGAATTTTGACATTTGCATTATAGTATTGAAATTATACACATAGGTGAAACATATTTATGTGTTGACAGTTTATAATTGTATTAAAGAAAATGCTTTCAAAATTTTACTTGTTGAGCTGTTATCACCTGAAATCACGGTATCTTGTCCAGAATAAATTTTAACATTTTTCATGGATGATGTAACAGTATTTTTTTAAGTCATATATATGTCCTTTATATAGTTTTCATGCTCTAGTGGTCATTTAGTTTTATGTCACGTGGTCTAAAACAAAATACCCTCAGCATCTTATTTGCATTGAGTAAAATTACGTCTTTTCTTTTGTGCAATATAAACTGAAGGTATATAAAAAAACTCTTTTAACCCTGAAACTAGACTGGAAGTTACCAAATGTACAAAATTGTTAAATCAAGAAATATGTATACAAAACACATTTCAACCAGTTCAACCATAATAAAACAATTTCTAACCATTTATTATAATGATTTAAATTTTAAAGAATCATAAAACTGATAATGTTGCTTTTGTAATCAAAGCAACTTTATAATGCTGTTCACCTTTCTATATTAACTTTTGCTACTTGGTAAAGCTGAAAAATCATAAATTTGATAAGGTCGAATATTTGGAGTAGCTGAAGTTTGATTGAATTTATCATTATAACAAAATAAGATATCAAGATACAATGAAATATAACTTAATGTAGGGAAAAAATAATGGTTTTAGATATCTTTAATTTATTTTAACAATGTTCGACCAAACAAAATACATGTAGTCTGTTCACAGGTATGTTCAATGATTACCTCATATTTCATAATTAAAAAAAAATGAAAACCTGAATCTTTCTTCTAAAAATGCAATGTATAATATTTTTAATTTTTATTTGTGTATTCTTTTATATCCATGTTGAATCATTGCTAGTTTGAAAAGTTCCATCTATTTACAATAAATGTGTAGTAATGTTTTATATAAATGTGATATTTATGAAATAGCAAATTAGTCTTTCAATTGAATTAATATACACCTCAAGTAATAACTTTCAGTAGTGTGTTCTTTCTGTTAGACAATCAATCATAAAGTTATCAGAAGTCCGGGCTTTCTTGGTACAAACTGTTTTATTTTTGAGTTATTTTAATGCTAGTTTTTAACTGGAGAGAGTCTGTGATTTTCACAACTGAAACTTTGTGAGAAAGGGGAATGGACAGGAACACTAAAGAAGAGTTTCATATTAAATAAAAGAAAAATCAAATATGTAGTGTTGTTTTCTATGTGTTCTATCATTCAAAATATATGCTCAAATTCATACTCTACATATGAAGTATTTTTGATACCAAGGGAACTGTTGGGATTGATGTTTTTCCATGCAGATAAACAAATCTTTACACCAGTAGAAGAGGAAGTGAAGAGTGTTGAATTTTTGTACTGTTACCAAAATAATTTCATATTGGATATACCTAAAAATACGTATTGAACACTTCATATATTCTTGCAATAGAAGGGGTCACCTGCTTTTAGCTCATAATAGCTTAGACTACACTGTTGATCAGGGGGTAATTTAAAAGGTTGAAAAATACCTTAAGACCTCAGTAAAGAATGAAAACAACACAATATAAATTTCATGCGTTTGAAGCGCTTTTCTTGATTTAGCTTCATCAGGAACGCTAAAGGCCAAGTATTTTAAAGTCAAGGATGTATTAGAGCCGAACAGTTGAAGAGCTTTTTGAGTCAATGGCCTTGTGTTACCTTTCGCTTTCCTCAGTAGAATCTAGAGTTGTAACACAGTACATGATATATGAGGCATGAAGATGGAATTGATTGCAGATTAGCTAAATTATCTATCGTAAAGGATCGTAAGATACAGTCACAGAAATAATTATGTCTAAACAAGTGACAACTCTACGACAGATCCATCCATTGGATGACCAGTGAAGGTGATACACGGCTGAAAACACATATCATATTTATAATAACTCTATAATGTTAAATCTGCAAATTTGCGGACGCAAATTTTTGTTCTTCCCTCGCAGGGATTCGAACTCATGCGATTGGGATATCGAGACAACAACGCCTGCACTGTGTCCAGCGCTCTAGACCACTCCACCACCTAGACTGAACTATAAATTCAGCTTTCGGTGGCCTAGTGTTACCTTTCCTCGTCAGTAGAATATTATGAGGCGCCGTTTTACTATTTATTCCTTATTTTCTGATATCAAAAAATATTTCTTGATATCAAAAAATTGAATTCCTGATATCAAAAAATGATTTTTTGATATCAAAAAATATTTCTTGATATCAGGAATTCAATTTTTTGATATAAAAAATTGCCTTTTTTGATATCAAGAATTCGATTTCTTGATATCAGAAAATAATCTTTATTTCTTGATATCAGAAATTAGATTTTTTGATATCAAAAAATCATTTTTTGATATCAAGAAATCCATTTTCTGATATCAAAAAATAGATTTTCTGATATCAAATATTACTAACGATATTTTGTTATCAAGAAATACATTTTCTGATATCAAAAAATGATTTTTTGATATCAAAAATTCGAATTCCTGATATCAAAAAATGATTTTTTGATATCAGAAAATAAGAAAAATATCAACGATTGCTCCCTGTGTGTCAATAAAAGCATCAACGTTCACCAATGAGCCCTTACATTAAGTCTGGTGTTTCGGTCGTGTAATATATTATACGAAAGCATATATCAGAGTTCGACTTCATCAGTCTTAATATAAGAACTTTTGTGTTTTTTGTGTTTCACATATTTATTATTTTAAGGTTTATAGTCAACAATTGTAAGTTCTCGCTTCTTTTATAAGCAATTATTGGTTTCCTCTGAAACAGATTTGTGCAGTCAGGTTTTTGCAAATATCAAGCCCCAGTGTTTTGTTCATCTTGTTTTTAAATTTTTTTCCCATTGTTTATGTTGAGGATTTAGTAAGTAAGTTAGTTCTGTTAAGTTTAAAAATAAGGAGATGTGGTATGATAGCCAATGATACAACTAGCCACCAAAGTTCAAATGAAGTTGATGTAAGCAATTATAAGCAACCGTACGGCCTTCAACAATGAGAAAACCCCATACCATATAGTCGCCTATAAAGGCTCCAATATGAAAAAGAAATAAACAACTCAATTTAGAAAGCTAAATGCCTATATGATTTATTACAAAACAATTTACGTAAAACAAATATGGCAGACATCATTCGTAAATATAAATCAACATGCAGACTTCTTTACAAAGCACAAAAATGTCGGCATTCACCTCAAAATCTAACCAAACCTTTAAACAGACTTATTCGGAAAGGATATACCAGTAGTTACGGTACTGTTGTCAATTAGTCATTAATGATTGCATATTTTGGTATTAATATTGATTCACTCATAGGGTCTTTGCATCGGAAATAAACACATTTATTCTTAAACCAGTTGTTGGCATGATACGGTTTATGTTCTCGCTTCTTTTATAAGCAATTATTGGTTTCCTCTGAAACAGATTTGTGCAGTCAGGTTTTTGCAAATATCAAGCCCCAGTGTTTTGTTCATCTTGTTTTTAAATTTTTTTCCCGTTGTTTATGTTGAGGATTTAGTAAGTAAGTTAGTTCTGTTAAGTTTAAAAATAAGGAGATGTGGTATGATAGCCAATGATACAACTAGCCACCAAAGTTCAAATGAAGTTGATGTAAGCAATTATAAGCAACCGTACGGCCTTCAACAATGAGAAAACCCCATACCATATAGTCGCCTATAAAGGCTCCAATATGAAAAAGAAATAAACAACTCAATTTAGAAAGCTAAATGCCTATATGATTTATTACAAAACAATTTACGTAAAACAAATATGGCAGACATCATTCGTAAATATAAATCAACATGCAGACTTCTTTACAAAGCACAAAAATGTCGGCATTCACCTCAAAATCTAACCAAACCTTTAAACAGACTTATTCGGAAAGGATATACCAGTAGTTACGGTACTGTTGTCAATTAGTCATTAATGATTGCATATTTTGGTATTAATATTGATTCACTCATAGGGTCTTTGCATCGGAAATAAACACATTTATTCTTAAACCAGTTGTGGGCATGATACGGTTTATGTTCTTCTTATATATTCTATGGTGGTATGATCCTAAACTCATAACGGGAGGGATTGTACTGGATTTTATTATAATGATGAAGACATAATCTTTCAATCAGTTTAATTGAGGTCTTGAGCTGGCATGTCAGTAACTGCTAGTAGTCCTTTGTTCATTTATGTATCATTGTCATTTTGCTTAGTTTATTTTGTTACCTGTTCTGACATCGGACTCGGACTTCTTTTAAACTGAGTTTTACTGTGCGTATTGCTATGTTTTTCTTTATTCTACATTGGCTAGAGGTATAGGGGGAGGGTTGAGATCTCACAAAACATGTCTAACCCCGTCGCATTTTTTCGCCTGTCCCAAGTCAGGAGCCTCTGGCCTTTGTTAGTCCTGTATGTTTTTTAATTTTAGTTCATTGATATGTTTTGGAGTTTAGTGTGACGTCCATTTTCACTGAACTAGTACACAATTTTGTTCAGGATCCAGCTGAGGACCACCTCCGGGTGCGGGATTTTCTCGCTGCGTTGAAGACCCATTGGTGGCCTTCGGCTGTTGTCTGCTCTTTGATCGGGTTGTTTTATCTTTGACATCCCCCCCCCCCCCCCCCCCCCCATTTCCATTCTCAATTCTATGAACCAAGACAATGCACGAAACTGCAGGCTCCGGACTTGGAACAGACACATAAAGAATGTGGCGGGATTAAACATGTTTGAGCGCTCAACTCTCCCCTTAACCTGGGACACTGGTGTTACATTACAACATAGTGTAAGAACAAACGTGGCAGGGTAACAAATACAAAAAGACACAAATTACAGATGTGATAGTGACAACTAGTTCAAAGCCAACAACAACATAAAAAAATGCATGTCTTGTATTTTCAAAAGATTTGTCTATTTCGTCTTTTTACGAGACTGCTAGTATTTCTTATGAACCGCGTCTTCCATAAACCTTTTAAATACATATGAGCTTTTTCTGTGAAGCAATGAAACGTTTCAGTAGGTTGGATGTACGTTTTCATCTCTAAAATACCTTCATTTTGGAAAAGTTTGTCTTTATATTGAAAGGATTGTCAAGAAATTTTCACTTCATTTTGAGAAAAGTGGTAAGTACAATTTAGTAGGGTATACATTTCGACTCTTCAAAATTCAAGAGTCTATCCTAAATTGCGGTAAATTATATGGTCTTCCAAATACCGTTTCGATTCCTAACATCACTGAAGAGATATTAATTGTCGAAATCCGGATATGGTGTACAAATTTTTGCACCTCATGTTTGCGGTATACCATCTTTTCCGCAAGTTTATTGTTTTCTGTTTGGTATTAAATTAATAATTAAGATCAATTTTGTTACATCTTGTGATCCGTTTATTTGGCAATCGCCAATGGCAGTCAGCAGGGTTTAATAACATCCGTTGTTCGACCTGTTAGTCAAATGCGTATTGTTAAAATATACTTTTTCACTTTTTTGATCTTTTGGAAAATGTTGTTTGTGCTGTATTTAGACCCCTCTACCAAGAAATTTGTTTTGCATGCACACGTATAAAAATTGCGGTTTTTATCCAACGCAATCATAGGTTTGAACGTTGTTTTCAATTTAGACTTGTTTATGCATTGTATTAGATATATAAGGCGAAAAGATCGTGTATATCGCCAGTTGAACCTGAATATATTATCGAGCCATCGTATGTAAATCTTGAAAACATTTTCCAGTATGTAGTAAATTCTTAGGTCGACATATCCCGCCCATTCGGATTGTATGACACAAGAGTAAATATGTTTTATTTAGGAATAATTGTAAAAAATCTTCCATATATTGTCTTTTAGTGCATGGGTCTTGAATTTCGTAATAAGTTTGATCAAACTGAAGATTAGTGTAAATACTTTTTTTGCTTCAAATATTGTTATTAAATAGCAGTTTTCCGGAGACTTTGAAGTCTTATTCATGTTTATAAAACTTGAAATGTATAAGCATTTTTTTGTAACAAGGGACACAATGTCATCAATATAATGACCAATACCGTGTATAGTGGTACTCCACACTATAAAACAATTGGTCTACCGGGAACAATATTTCAGATATTTCCTGATGTTTGGCCTCACTGGTGAGCCTGAATGTTTTAAATGACACACAGGGAGCCATCATTCATTTATTTCTTATTTTCTG